GGATCGTTACTGACGTAGATGAGTGTCACAACGTTTCTAATTGGGATACAAAGCTCTGATTTTCAATGTCAACGTTGCGGCGGAATTTTCTTCTGTCCTATCGTGCCATCTTCCGGGTGAGCAGCGTCGGAGACGCAACTCATGGGGGGTGCGAACGGACTGCGATGCCTTGTCAAGTTCTAAGGTGTCACTATAAGAGCTGTGAGCAAGACCGTGTAAAGTGCAAGAGAAGGGGGCACGCTACGCGTCCCTCGACTCTAGGGGGCATGCTACGCATCCCTCGTCTTTACCTTTCTATGTGACCGCCAACGCAACGTTTGGCTCAAGTCAATGCCCATAGCTAAGTGCTATATGTGTCTTCTATCCTGAGCAATCAGAGCTATCCCGTCGCACAGACGAACCGCCGCCGGCAGTGAGTGCAAAAGGAACGGCCGCCGGTTCTGCCTGCATAGGATCGCACGTGTGGAAGTAAGAGGGAGAGACAGGGTCCAGTCTGTGGAGAGTGCTAGCCAGCCACACCTACATTCATTACAGCTCTGGTGGGGAGAGCAGCAACCAAGTCGAGATCAATCCCCCACGCACATATGTATATGTAGTATTTATGTATATATGTATATATGTATATATGTTATATGATATATGTAATATGTATATATGTATATATGTATATATATGTATTTATTATGTATATGTATATATATATATGTATATATGTATATATGTATATATGTATATATATATATATATGTATATATGTATATATGTATATATGTATATATGTATATATGTATATATGTATATATGTATATATGTATATATGTATATATGTATATATGTATATATGTATATATGTGTATATGTGTATATGTGTATATGTGTATATGTGTATATGTCTATATGTCTATATGTATATATGTATTTATGTATATATGTATATATGTACATATGTATATATGTAGATATGTATATATGTATATATGTATACATGTATATATGTATATATATATATATGTATATATGGGCGTGTGGTCATTCCATCCCCACCCCCCCCACGTTTTCACATCTTCCCCATTGCGCCAAGGAGGGAAGGTAGCCGAGAATCGCCAAGAGGGTGTTTTTTCAGCAAGCTGTCGGAGAATCGCAATTTCTAAGGCTGCGGTTTGTGGCAAGGCACTGGGGGACAGGTAACGGCAATTTGTCCGGAAACTGAAACCTGCACATTACAACTTAAAAACAGGTAAAACTAAACGTTGCAGTACAAACATAAAAGGATGGTGCAATACACTAGCAAAGCATGGTATTGATTCATATGACCCTAGAACACGATGTAGGTATGATACGATGAAGCAAGATGTTCCAGCATCGAATGCTGCAGAAGATTTTCTTGCTACTGACATGTTCAGGCGGCCAGCGGTTGCGCTACCGGTGACAAGTCCGGCATCGTGAAGTCGCTCGGTGTCCCATACCTTCGATACGGCCAGCATTCAGTTTTCACTTGCTTCGAGGTTCTTCCACAATGAGAAAGGCTTTGGATTTATTGGGCAGGCTGACGGTGGCAAAGACCTCTTCGTCCACCGTTGCTCAGCTGTCCCAAATCTCACACACACACACACTTTTTCGAGCTCGCTTAAGGTTTAGCATACTAACCTCTTCACTTGAAGATAGTCAACCGAGGCACTGATGTGATGGGGGCCCTGTTGAGAAAGGGTGATCACGTGCAGTACCGTGAGGCGGTTGACAACAGAAGTGGACGAATGAAGGCCCACCAGGTGACTGGGGGCACAGGTGGCCCGAAGCCACAGCAGAAGGGAAAAGGTGGAGGTAAGGGAAAGAACGGCAGCAAGAGGAATCTGCCAAGCCAGGCCATGCGTAGAGACCCGGCCATCCTCTTCGTTGGCTGCAAGCTGTGATCTGCACTTGCAAGCGCCGTTAAAATGTGCAAAGACGCGTTAGGCTCTGATTGGCAGAGTCTCAAAGAGTGGCGGATGGATAGCAAGAGTCCGGGTCCTCGCCATGGCGACAGTTTAAGTTTAGGGCTTAGCAGCTTAGCAGGTTCGAGGGGCTACCCTGCACCTTCAGATGCCTTCTTGGAAACCGGTGTATAGTATATACTTTACATGTTTTGCATATACAGTAGGTATATATGTATATAGAAAACTGTGCATTTTTACATGTACGCACCGCTTTTTCCATGTGCAAGATGTTGAACGCACAGGGCTGGACGGACTGGTCCTACACCATCTTACAAAAAAGGCTATGTGAGGGAAGTTAGACTTGGCTTGGTGACTGTCGAGCCAGGGGCATCAGAACCAGTTCGCGTGCAAAACGCTCCCTGTTTTTTGTGTACATATCGCACTTCCCCGGTTCAAGACGAGCGAAGGGAAGGATGCACTGCGCGCGGATGTTGTGTGGAGGATGAACACAAAACCCAAATTCCTTTTACTGTAGCAACTCCATGAACAGCGATTGCAACCACAAACCTTGCGAGAAGACAAAACTGACATTTGCGTCGCCTGATGAAGCAAGATGAGTCTTACACAATTTTTCCATTGGTTAGACCTGCGGCCGTATTCAATCTGGCCCAGGGAGCCACGTGATTGCAAAGGGGAGAAAAAAGTTGTGCCCTTGAGACAGTCAGTCACCTTGTCAGGGGCGCCGGTCAAGCTTGGACCAGACTGTTTCTGCCGCTGGTTAGTTGGGTCATATTGGGTCGTTCCGGTTTGTGCATTGTCGTGCCGTGGGTATATGACTCAGGACGAAAACCGTAAAGAGTGAATCCAGCAGGAACCTTTTCCCGAAGACGAAACCCTGAGGAGTGAATCCAGCAACTTCTGCAGGGATTTGCTGTTTTTGGAGCTGGAGACAAGAAGTTACAACTCAGTCATTTTGCTGAGAAAAAATTACATCTAAGAGAAAAGAAGTCACAACTAAGTGTTCTACAACAGATGCAGCAGAACGGGTTCGAATGTCACGCTTGGGCCTGCACTTCCGACGTGATGCTTCAAGTCTACGTAGCAAAAGGGTCTGTTGCCATTTTTGAGCCTGTCCAAACCTGCTTGTGCAGACGTCGTTGCCTCAAGATGAAGCATGAAGGCGCATGTGCAGAGGGAGGAAGGGAACTCTGCGATGGCAGCTTCTCCAACTGACCTGTTGCTTGCTCGTCCATGCTGAGCAGTGCACCACGTCTACTGCCAGCGTGCCGGGGGGGACGGTGGTGACGATTGATTGCGAGCGATCCATCGTCACCATCACGTGCTATCATGCAGAGGCAATTCCAGACTGTCATCGTGTGGAAATGTTCAAGACTACTTCCACCGTTTCCAGCACCGTCTCGTCGACTTCCCTTTCGCAAACGTCCACCACCAGCAGCTCGACAGCTTCAAGCTCTTCAACATTCATGTCTACGTCTACTGTCACACACACGGATACATCAACGGTTTCAACGATCACAGCAACCACTTCGACCAGTGTAAGCCTGACCCCATCATCTTCGTCCACATTGTCGCAGACCGCTACCTTCATGCCAAGCAGCACATCCTGCACCATGAGTTCCACCCGAACTTCTACCGAGCAGCATCTCACCACCACTGCCACGATCACCACATCCACCAGCACTACATCCGCAAGCCGGCTGGACACATCAACCAGGACCAGGACGGCTACATCAATGCCCACCAGCACCATGCAAACAACACAGACAGAAACGGCGACAAGGACAAGAACAGGGGTCGGCACGGTCGCCTACCTTTCAGGATACCTGATCATGATGGTGTCCGGGGTGTCCCAACGTCAGGCTGAACTCGCAGTTGCTGCGGCGCTAGTGGACTACCTGAAGCTGGAGAGACTGGCTGCAGTGGCTGCGACGGCCCGTCGGGAGCACCTCGCTGACACGTGGAATGTGTCATTCTCGATGGAGTTCCCCCGTGCCCGAGAAGAAGAACTTCTGGGGCAACTGAGGGACTTGCTTGCAAGTGTTGAGGCCAATGTCGCCTCCAGATTCTCGGATGTTTTGAGGATACAGCTGGAAAACATGGGTGCAGAGCCATCGGGCCACTTGCCCCTTCTATTTGGGGTGGATGGCCTGGGTTCTGTTCCCGACGGAGAAGCCGAGCCAGCCGACTCTGCCTCCATTATTGTGGGGATCGCTCTGGCGTTAAGCGCGATGGGATTGATGGCCTACTTCTTCTGGCGCCGACGGACGCTCGTGCCAACTCTGTTTCAACAGCTGCCGCAAGCTTTCAGGTACGCCTGGCAAAAGGAGCCTTCATGTGTAGCTTGTGACATTTGGCAGCTTGAAGCTGAGAGATGGGATTTGGCAGAAAGCGTCCTTCGAGCCGCTCCTTCACCGCTAACCCCGAGATGGCGAGGTGTGTGGCAATGGGATGCCGAGGAGAAGAAGGACGAAAGCCGCTTCTATGTTCTCCGCTTTAGCCCAGGAGGGCAGTTCTCAGGCTTTGGCAGAGGCCGCAGCGATTTCACCGTCAGCGGAGGGGCCGTGGATGCCGCAAAGGGAATGCTAAAGTGGCGCGAGCAGGACCTCAACAATCGCATTCTTGAGTGTGCTGGTCACTGGGACCGCCGCGCGTCACCGCCAACGCGAATCGATGGCACCTTCTCTGCTTACGATGTTACAGCACTACCGAAACGCATAGGACAGGGCTGTTTCACCCTCACGGCTGACGCCGAAGGTGTCCCAGCTGCTGTGAAGGGCGAAGCAACAGCACCCGCCGCTGTTTCAGATCTAGTTTAGTACAGAGACGGAGCCTTTGTGCCTCTACGTGTGTCATGCGGGTTCTCGAAGTGACAGAGCCTGTCACGCGGAGCTGCGTTAAAACAAGCTCAGCTTTGTGTTCTAAGTGCTCGTGGGCGTTTCGTGGTCAAGGCATTGCATCCTGGAGTGGCCCTGAGGAGTTTGAGAAAATTCCATGAGTCACCAGCACAATCGAGAGCATCTTGCTACCGGTGAAGTCACGCCCCAAACACGAAACCCGTAGCTCAGAATGTCTTCCGGGCCTGCACTCTGCAGCGCAGCTTCGGCTGGAGACCTGCAGCGCTGCGCCGAGCTGCTGAAGGAAGGAGCGGATGCTCCTCGCTTTGCATCTTCCGTTTTCGAAGTGTTTTTCAGTAAAAAATGCAGCTCACAAGCGGTGTTAGTAGTAAGCAGCAGCTTTACCGGAGCTTGGCTCCGAGGTGAATGAGGCTGACGTGTTCAAGCAAACTCCGCTGATCAATGCCACGGTCGCGGGCCATGCTGCTTGCCCGCAGTGAAGTCCTTTGACGTGCCGTGGCTCCAAATAATCCGAAGAACGAAGGTGCACCTTTGAAGGCAGCTGTCCGTACTCGCTTCACTAGCAGTGAGTCAGTGAGTTAAGTGTGATTACGCGAGGACCAACTGAGTCATCACATTAGTTCAAGCAGAATCACAGAATGTGCGTAGAGTATCGGGATTGGAGTGTGTGTGTGTGTGTGTGTGTGTGTGTGCGTGCTCGTGTTTGATGTACTGGTGGCATTTCGAGGACTACAAAGGCCAACGTCTAGCTTTTCAATGCGATTGGTTCCTGCCAGTACCACAAGCAGTTGATGCTGAGTATTGATACCGTTGTTCATGCAGTGCGATTGCGACTCTCCTAGCGATTGCAGCCGTGCTATTGCCACTGCAGTGGCTGCTGCTGTCCTTCCAGACAGGCGGAGGTGGTGAAGGTCTTGGCAGCAGCACGAGCTAACTTGGCCTCCGCGGACCGCAGCGGGTGGTCGGCGTGCCTCGGAGAAGGAAGCCGACAAGTCAAGTCATGCCACGAATTGTCTTCGACTGTCCCAGCCTTCAAAACTCAAAGACCCTGACTCACCCCCCAGCAACCCCAGCGAGCCTACGGTCTTCACTCCCTGAATATTTGGGCAGCAATGACTGGCCTCTTGTGCTTTGCTTTTCTTGGTCGAGGTTGCATTGGGCAGCTTTCCAGGGCAGCTGTGACATGGTCCGCCTGTGCCTGGCTCTGGGAGCAGACGCCCAGCAAAAGGAGTGGCTCTCCACGGCTCCGAAAGTCTTTTCAAGACCCAAGGCATCATGTACGGGGATTCCGCAACTACTTACTGCTCTTCGCTCCGAATCGATGATTAGCTGGTGTTCAGATCTCAGCATCCCAAGGTGAACAACTGCCGTTAGATCCGCAAGTTCTCACTTATCCCCTTGTCACCTTTGCCAGGACCTGAAGGGCAGCACCCCTCGGGAGGCCCGATCTTTTGAGAGTTTGGGGATGGCTACGGCGACTTCCGCGCACATGCATGTATCTCAGATTAAGTATCTTGTTGGAAGTGTTGCACGGGGTTGCACAACACGCATGCTGTCAATCAGAATCACTGCAAATCAATACACTCATACATATACACATACATATATGTATGTGTATATATATATATATATACATAATATATATATATATATATATGTAGACCTATTGACCTATTGTAGTTAATATTTGTGCGCACGTACACCAACACTTTCTCTCGATGTTCTTGCTTTGGCATGCCAACATTGCCGCGGGCTTGATGCCGGTTGCTACGCATGGCCGTTCCTCGTGACTTAGCTTATTCGAATGGCTTTGCTGGTTGGACAGACAGAGCACTCGCATCCTTCCATGCAGTATCCGAGCTGTGAAGAAGACGATGATCGTGAGGTTCACGTCGCAGTTTGTGTTGTCCGTCCAGCCGCTCATTCGTGTCACGGAAGACATCGTTGAGTGTTGAAGCTTCGCGGTCGTAAGGGTTTTCTTTTGCTCAGCCCGAAAACGATGCAGCAAGTACCATGTCGAAAATGATGGCTAGGTGTGGTGTAAAAAGGGGGCAGACCAGTCTCAGATTGAATTGTGAATGTCGAAAGGCGCGGCCTAATGGGTTGTTGTCGAAACTTGCCAAGAGTCTGCTTTGTTCGGATGTCAGCACGGGACTTTCAGTTCCCGCATCCCGAGCTGAAGCTGAGACGGTATGGGGGAAGCCAGGAGCAACAACCACTTCCACCATCCTTACCTGTCTCAAACCGGACCTACTGTTGCCCCAAAACCTGAAAACCGGTTTGGGCTCTACATATATATATATATATATATATGAGAGGGAAAAGGTTTGGGCTCTCCTGAAGGTGGCTGACCACGTTCTGCAGGGCCAGGGCGAGGCCACGTTCGGCGAGGGTCTGCAGGGCGATCGAGGCACCTGGAACCTTGCGTTCTGGTCTGCCTTGAGGGGTCACCGAGGGTTTAGGGCTTCGGATCAAAATCTAGGGTTTAGGCTCTCTTTGAAAAATTGCCGGAGGACATTGTCAGCCTGGACTTGGGTAAAGTCGCTGTTGGGCCTTGCCGACGTTATCTTGTAGGATTGAAAACTGTCAGGCGGCAGTGGGGTAAAGTCGATGTTGGGATATGTTGGGTGGTGCTGACGTTATCTCGGAGGAAGCAAACCTGTCGGGGTAAAGTTGGCCAGCCAGCTGCTGCCGTATGCTCTACTGTGATGTGGGGCAGGGAGGCACTCCCCAGAACCCTGCAGGCCTTGGAGCGGTGCTGGCTTTGTTCGATGCCTATAGCACTGGCCCTGTTCCAAAGTGATGGGGCCACAGGGAAAGGTCCAAAGTTGACATCCCAAAGACCATGCAAAAGACCTGCCTTCAGACTCCAGCATTTTCGAAAAGGGGGTGGGCCACGTCGCGCCCGTCTGATGAGTTGTCCGACAGTGCCGTTGTCAGCATCTGTGGTGGCACATGCGTTGCGAGGGAGGCTGTCGTGATATCACCGTATGCCTGTGCATGAGGATGTTGTGTGGTTGTTCCATTGCGGACATGCGACATGCTGAGGCCACAAGGCCTGAATGGACAACACAGTTTCTGCAACGTTCTCCCGAACTGCAAACTCTTCTTGTCAGAGGGCTCTCGAAGAGCCGCGCTACTCTATTCAAACCCTATTCATGTCCCTGCTTCTTTCGGTATTCGACACATGCTTATTCCTCACGTTTAGCCCATTTCCGGCAGCTGCTTTTGGACCCCATGTGCCACCCTTAAGGGGTGGCACGAGGGGCCTTGGCCCAAAAGCGGCAGCAAGCAGTTTGATAAGAGCAGAATTTGGGCCAGATCGCATACATCGTGAATTGGTGAAGGGTTGTGAAGGTTTTAGGGTGTAGGAAGAGAGAAGAACAGGCTCGACTTCGGAAGGGCTTCCCTGAAGCTCCGGCGCAGCCATGGAGGCCTTGAGTTGTTGCTGCTTAGGATGGCTCTGGCTCTGATAAAGACTGTGATGGTGATGATGGCTAAGATGACGATGACTGCGATGGAACGGGTAGGGATGGTGAAGGTCAGAAGCCTCAGACGTACTTTCCGGCAGCCACCCGACACCATGGTGCACATGCATGTGCATCCTCTGAGGGGCGGGTTTCCGCAGGTCGCGGCGAGTCTGGGTCTGGTCGCAGACTCAGAGGGCTCTCATGAGTAGCAAGGGCAACCCTGGTAGCAGCAAACTTGAAAAGTAGTGACACAGGTGGTGGTCATGACAGTGGTCGCAAGAAAGACATGACGATCATGGCAACAGAGTCTACGATGGTCGCCGCAAGTGAGTCAATCTTTGCATTTGGGCTCTGACTGCAGGGTGCGAAAGGGCCCCTGCTGAAAGACACCATGACATGGAAGAGGTGTCTCTTAATCGAGTTGTACACGACCCAGACTCTAAGTAGACATCATCATCCGGCCTACCCTCACATGCCGACGGATGTTCTGTGATAACTCTGGATTCGCAGGGCTTTACAAAGAGACCAAGTAGATGGAAGCTCACTGAGATGTCGGGCCATGGCGCCTTGCCAGCGAAGCAGGTCACAGGGCAGGGAGGAGGGCAGTGGGGGCGCGGTGTTTCCAGAGCTCCCTTGTCAGGATCAGGCCGCTCTGGAGCTTTCCCTCGTGATCGAGGGCCCGTCGCCGCCAAGCTGACATCAGGGCCTGGAAAGCTTAGGCAAGGGACATCTCTCTGTCTCCAGGGGTTCGCAGCAGATCAATCTGGTGGGGAACGGTGCCAGCATCAGCATCGGCCGCGCTCCGGACTCCCAGGCCTCTTGGCATCAGTCATGCTCAAGCCGTGTAGCCGAAGGGAAGAAGTCCAGTGACACGTTCCGATCTGCACAGCAGGGATAGACATCTGCACACAGAAGCGGCGGGGGAGTCGACCCAGGTGCAATTGGCGAGCAGCGGTGTCTCTCATCGCCATTGCAAGCTCGTTCTGTGACTCGGTTGCTTTTTGCATCTTTTTGCCACAGCACCTGCCCGTGAAGTGAAGAAGCTGAGGACCAAGAAGGGCCTCGGCCTTAGTTTTCCATTTTCGCGGCTTAGCCAGTACACACGCTCCGCGGGCCCTCAGGCCAAGACGTTGTCCTCAGAGTCCGTGACACTTCACGGAACGGTACCTTGGAGCGCATCCATCAACATCGACTGCATCCGTTTTCTTCAATGCGTGCTTGGCATGGCGGGATGTTCCCCTTGGCCCACTCAAGTCAGGCACCGGTGCGCGGCACAGCCGCTATTCACAGGCCCAGCGTCCCTTCAAGGAGTTGAAGGAAGGGGAAGAGGAGGTCGGGATTTGCAGATGTGCAGAAGCAGTGCTGTGGCTATGTACGTGTGAGGGCCGCGAGGGTGTGCAGCAGCAGGTGCTACATCATCGCTCTCAGCTGTTAATACCTCTCAAAGAAAAAGACAAAGGCAGAGACACTAGATCGGTCCGATCCCGAGAGTTAGCCACGCCTCGACCTTGAAGCACGGACTTCGACGTAAGGTTCTAACGATATACTTCAACCTACCGGATGCTTCTTGGTAAGTTTCAGCTTTTGGGAGGAGGCCTTTCGTGGTTTGCTTTCCAGAGCCAAGGCTTACAATCCTGCGCAAGAGTCGGGGCGCTGGCAGTACGAGGACGGGACCCAGCCGAGCTGGCCATGCGATGCAGCCATGCGCAAGCAGAGATGCAATGAATGTTACCCGTGCTTTTGCAGGGGTGTATATTGTATGTACTGTGTCACGGCCACGCCGTCGATTTTTCAATGCAGCCACAGACACTCGCCGTCTGGTGCGAGGGCAGCCCTAGTCAGGGAGGAGAACCCCTATTCCCGCAGAGAAGGAGAAGCTGGGCGAGGGTGGCTTGGCTGTTGTCTACCGCGCCCGCGATGCCCCTTGGCCTCGTAGGAACTCGGTTGGAGCAGGCAGAGACTGCGTTGCCCGTGGCTCAGGTCTCAGGATCCCTAGGCGAGGTCGCCGTCAAGGTTTCGAAGTTCAAGAACTTGCCGGTAGTCGCTGGGCTGGAGATGTTGCGCCAGATCGGGCATAGGAGCAACTGCAGTGAAAATCAGGTCTCCAATCAAAATCGGCATGTCTATGCTCTGCATCGCGAAGCACAGTGGTCGATGAAGTGCCTGCACAACACTGAAGATCCCCGCTACGACCAGAAAGGCGCTCGGGAGGGCAGCGGAAGCAACAGCAGGATGTGCTCCAACTCTGACGGTTGCCGGAAGGGCGATCGCTTCTTGGACTACTTGCATCATTCCTACTCCTTCTACTGCCCTTCCTGCATGTACTGCTGCTGCTACCAGGGCTACCTGCCAAATGGGTCTTGTCAAAGATCCATCCGGGTTTCTCCAACACTCTTTGCAGGGCTTGGGTTTGGGCTTGGCCAACGAGGGTGGGGCAGGGGTTCCCACCATCAACGCCTACCCGTTGTTCTAATCGTGTTTTAGTTGACATGGGAAACGAGACTGGCTGCACGGACTATCAAGGCGAACAGCCGACAGTAGCACGAGGGGACCGCTGTAGACATGTGGCGAGCCGTGAAGCATTGTGCAAATCGAAGCCTGCCCTGTGAGGAGCGGAGCTCTTCGCGAAGTATTTGGAGGATCACACTGGTGCGCCCTGGTTTTCCTTGCGGGCCTTAAGCCTTAAACCGCGTTATGCGAGATCCCGTCTGGTGGTTGGTTGGGGTGTCGAATGTCGCTTTCCTGGGAATTTCTGCAGGCTTTGATGCACACGACGACGTCACTTTCGATGCCACGAGGCTGGAGGGCCACTTTTTCCGCGCGCGGTTCAACACTAGGGATCTTGAGGGCGTTCTCGGCTAGCCGTTCTGACACTCTGCTGCTTCCAGGCAGAAGTTTGAAGATCCGGACTTTGCGTTGGGATCCCAGATGCTCGCTGCTCCACCCATCCTCGAGGGCCGCAGAAAATTTGACCCCTTGCAGGTGGTCCAAACACAGCTTCGAGCCGAAATTGGCACGTGAGCCTTACGTGGCATCCTGAGATGGGTTCAGCTCCATATGCACTCCTCCTGCATCCGGAATGTAAGTGCAGGTGGTTATGGAACTGGTGGAGGCCAAGCTTCTTCAGTCTGTGATCGATGCGAATCCGCCTTTGGACTTCGTGGAGAAGCGAACCATTACCAGGCACATGAGGGCATCAAGATCAAAGCAGTGAGATTGCCATCTCCTGTTCGTAAAGAAAGCCTGCTGCCGCAGGCAATGTGTGGATAGCCTCCTGTACCTTTCCAAATTTGAGGCATTGCATCGGGATTTCCGAGGCCTGTTCTAGTGCCGTTCATGCCGAATGGTTCTAGGGCTAGACGTCTGCACATTCGCTGCGGGTGCAGCATCTGCAAGCGCTTGACCCCGAGGCTGCAACATATTCCTTCAAGGTCGTGGAAAAGGGTGCCAGCTGAAGGTCATTGATCTTGGCTTCATGATCTCCGCAGCTTGCAATGCACCAGGTCATCTTTTGCTTTTCTTTAGTCCCCGTGCAACCCCAAGAAGCCAGCACCCCAAGAGCTATCAGGCAGATGCCCACCAGGAAAAGAACCCCAACATCGCAGTTCGCTGCGCATGGCAGGGCAACAAAGACAAGGCCCTCGCATCTTTTTGAAGCTTTTTGGCAGAGCAGGGTTACTCTTGAGCTGCTCGAAATCCGTGGGAGCGCAAGGACTCTTTGGAACTCAAGGGCCGCATAAAACTCTCTCGCCACCAAAAACGTTTTGTCAACGCGGGCTCGGTGGGAGACAAGAAGAACTCCCTAAGCCCTGAACACCCAACACCAGACGCCAATTGCCAAAGGAAAAGAGCGAAAAGCAACAACAGCAACACCCAAAACCCTAAACGGCTGTTCCCTGTGAAGCCTTGCCTGCCTTGTGCGAGTGTGAGCATGGAAAAACGGCTGTTCTGCTCTGGAGGACACTCGCATCCGCTTCGACTGGGCGCCGCCAGAGGTGCGGACCAAGGAGGTCCGGAACTTCGGCCTGCCTGGCTCCCAGCTTGTCCCAAGAACTGAGGGCGGGTTCAGGTTTTTTCGAGGGTGTGGAGGGTTCGCAGAGGGTTTTGAGGAGTTTTTAAAGGTTTACATATTTGGGGAGTTTGGAGGGTCTGTAAATAGGGGAGTTTGAGCTACTGGATCCAGATTCTATGGATGATTGTGGATGTACTGTCTCATCTCCCCCCGCCGCGCCCCGTGCTGCCGAGCAAAGCAAAGTGTCAAGCGCAGCCGCCACTGGACAAGTGCTTACACGTATCGGCACAAAACTACAAGAGAACACAAAAGGTTCACGCCAAACTTCAGGGCAACATCCATGACCAGCAAAAGCACGAATCACAGAACTGTTCCTTTGAGCCAGGGGCGAGACCTAATCTTGAGCGGGGGGTCAAGACCCCTTCCATAGAAGACCGGACAGGACCGGTGCTGAAGAACTTCCAGCACTCGTTTTCCAAAGACAGGCTCTGCACAGCAACTACTTGGACCGACCGCGTGCTTCTTAACAGGCTACCTCTCAGAGCGTCGCTCTGCTCTGCATCCTTGTCCCGGTGACCGTAGGCTCCCGGATCCCAAGCTGTGGCCATCCCCGGTGTTTCAGAACAACACCAGAGGCGCTTGGCATTCTGACTAAGTAGCTGCCCAGGCCGGGTTGCTCCTTTGACATCTTCTCTTTGGGCGTGCTTCTCTTGAAGCTGCTGCGTGGCCGAACCTGGACACAGGACCCGAATCATTCGCGCAAGCTGGGCAGAGGCTGCAGGCCGTTTTCTTTGGGAGGACGTGGTGAACAGCCGCGACATGTCCGAAAAGCTCCTGTCAATCACGGCCGACATCAAAGAGCTGCAGCCCAGCTTGCACAAATAAACAATCATGCACAGGAATCAGAGAGCCATAAAGTGGATCGCTGTCATCGCATGGCGAACCGAGGAGGCTGCCTCCTCAGCTCTTCCGCCGAATGCTTGACAAGAACTCGGAGAACAGGTGGGGGAGAGATGGCCGCTGGCCCCAGACTGCGACGCCTCTGCCCGGCTACCCTGCCAGGCCCACGCCCAAAGATCTCTCTGCGGCCTTCAGCGAACGGCCGAAGCGGCGGAAGGGGGAGAGGCCGAGCGCCGAACTCCTTCTATGAGCGCCTACGAAGACCTTTCTTTGTTTCCTGCCTCTCGGGAAGCAGGCCGCCCCTGGTGCAGGTTCAGGCGGGCTGAACATGACTCGAGCTCACAGGCTGCATGCGGGCTGCCCTGGCTACAGGACAAGAATCTGCTCATTCCAGTGACGCCCCCGAGCGACGGTGGCTTCGGCATGGGCTACACGCGTGCAGGTATTGCTGGCACGATTGCTGCACAGGCCAAGACGTGTACAGGTGCTTGTGTTTGCTTCTGACTCTGCTTGGCCAGTCTTTTACCAAGACCATCCGGAGCTGCAAACGCCACCGGAGCTGCCGGCGCCGCCGGGGCAGTCAGCACGGCCACCAGGAACGGCGCGGCCAGCACACCCGTCAGCACCGCCGCCTGCACCAGCGCGGGCAGCACCACCACCGCCGCCGCCTCCGCCGCCGCCTCCGCCACCTCCGCCTGCGCCTGCACCTGCACCTGCACCTGCACCTGCACCGGATCCTTTATTGAAAGAGGCAGGGAAGCATCGGGCGACAGACGCAGACGGGGCTTTTTCTCCTGTCTTCTCGGCAGGTGCCTTTAGCGCTGGCATTCCCCCAAGGGTCTCTGCTGGAAGAGATCCTCCATGGCCCTGGTGACGCCCCCCCGGGCCGCCAGTAGCTGCCTCAAGGTCTCTGAGACTCTGAGTTGTGCCGAGTCCGAAGACGTGGCTGTGCAGCTCTCCCAGGATGTCCGTGCAGGTGCCGGCAGCGTCAGCGTGCCGATCTGAGCGGTGTCCGCTCCGTGTCAGTTTAGAGCTGCAGAATCTGTGTGGGCGCGCGGCACGCAGGCAGACGCAGAACTGCACAGAGCAGAGGCAAGCTGAAATGGGGAGGAAGAGGTGGGAGCAGGGGGACCTCAGGCAAACCCCGGAGCCTGTGATGCTCTTTTGCGCCCGTCATAGCAGGCCCGTCACGCCACCAACGCCACCTGGCCGGCGGAAGTCGCCACGCCAGGTGCGGGGTCTATAGGGCCTATAGGGTTTGCACAGCAGTTTCTTTGGCAGGTCTGTCCAGTAATCCGAGCTGTTATGACTCCAGTGACTCTAAAGCTTTCACACATAGGCGGGCGCTTTCCACGGTAAGCGCTACAGAACAGCAATTACATTAGACGCAGCTTTTGTTTCCACGACCCGTCTTGGTCCGTTCTCGCAACAGACCGTCCCCTGTCCAGTTGGCAACAGGTTTGCGACCTTAAGATCTGTGCTCAGGACCGGCAAGCGCCACGTGGAGATCGCAGGCGCATTTGGACGAATGATGCTGCAACCTTGTCAGTCTTGGACAGATAAACTTCGTGCGGCAATTACATCCAAGTTGAGCTTATGTGGATTCTGTGCACGTGCACACCGGCGCTCGGTGTCGATGGTCTCGCCGGCTTGAGACGACTTTTCAGGGGGACCCTATTTTTCTTGACCCTTTTTTTTTTTTTTTCTTTGCCCTTTTTTTTTTTCCCTTTGGGGGCCTCGGTGTTTTCTATTACAGCTGCTACTGCACCTACTCCCACTAATACCTCCTGCTACACCACCACACACTACTACTACTACTACTACTACTACTACTACTACTACTACTACTACTACTACTACCTACTACTACTACTACTACTACTACTACTACTACTACTACTACTACTACTACTACTACTACTACTACTACTACTTACTACTTACTACTTACTACTTACTACTTACTACTTACTACTTACTACTTACTACTACTACTACTACTACTACTACTACTACTACTACTACTACTACTACTACTACTACTACTACTACGACTACCTACTACGACTACCACTGCTACGACTACCACTGCTACGACTACTGCTACGACTACTGCTACGACTACTGCTACGACTACTGCTACGACTACTACTACTACTACTTCACCTACTTCTACTATACCTCCTACTAGACTACTACTACTACAACTACTACTACTACAACACTACTACTACTACTACTACTAGTACTACTACTACTACTACTACTACTACTGCTACTACTACTACTTCACCTACTTCTACTATACCTCCTACCAGACTACTACTACTACTACTACTACTACTACTACTACTACTACTACTACCACTGCTACTACTACCACTGCTACTACTACCACTGCTACTACTACCACTGCTACGACTACTGCTACGATTCCTGCTACTACTACTGCTACGACGACGACTACTACTACTACTACTTCACCTACTTCTACTATACCTCCTACTAGACTACTACTACTACTACTGCTACTACTACTACTACTACACTACTACTACTACTACTACTACTACTACTACTACTACTACTACTACTACTACTACTACTTCACCTACTTCTACTATACCTCCTACTAGACTATTACTACTACTACTACTGCTACTACTACTACTATTACACTACTACTACTACTACGACTGCTACTACGACTACTACTACTACTACTGCTACTACTACTACTCCTACTACTACTACTACTACTACTACTAGTACTACTACTACTACTACTACTACTACTACTACTACTACTACTACTACTACTACTACTTACTACTTACTACTTACTACTTACTATTTACTACCTACCTACTACTACTACTACTACTACTACTACTACTACTACTACTACTACTACTACTACTACTACTACTACTACTACTACTACTTACTACTACTACTACTACTACTACTACTACTACTACTACTACTACTACTACTACTACTACTACTACTACTACTACTACTACTACTACTACTACTACTACTACTACTACTACTACTACTACTACTACTACTACTACTACTACTACTACTACTACTACTACTACTACTACTACTACTACTACTACTACTACTACTACTACTACTTACTACTACTACCACTGCTACTGCTACCACTGCTACGACTACTTCTACGACTACGACTACTACTACTACTACTACTGCTACTTCACCTACTTCTACTATACCTCCTACTAGGCTACTACTACTACTACTACTACTACTACTACTACTACTTCACCTACTTCTACTATACCTCCTACCAGACTACTACTACTACTACTACTACTACTACTACTACTACTACTACTGCTACTACTACTACTACTACTACTATTACACTACTACTACTACTACGACGACTACTACTACTACTACGTACTACTACTTACTACTACTACTACTACTACTAGTACTACTACTACTACTACTACTACTACTACTACTACTACTACTACTACTACTACTACTACTACTACTACTACTACTACTACTACTACTACTACTCCTTACTACTACTAGCACTGCTACTACTACCACTGCTACGACTACTGCTGCTACTACTACTACTACTACTACTACGCATGCGGCAAATACGGAGAACGCAGGAGCCCAGGGCCAAAAAAAAAAAAAAGGGCCAAGAAAAAAAAAAAAAAAGGGCAAAGGAAAATTCTCCACCCACTTTTCAGTGCAGACCAGAAATTACGGCATGCATACACACAGCATGTAAGGCATGTAGGTCTTGACTGCATCTAGTTTTCATTTGTAGCCCGATGCCATGCTCTTCCGAGTCTTCTGGCCCAGCCCGGCCGAGCAGACTGGAGTGTTGGTTGGATGGTGGCTCACGGAAGAGGGCTATGTGTTGAAGGATGCTGCAGAGGCTCCGTGTGCAGCCTTTGTGGCTTGCACGATCCGATCCTCCATCTCTGAAGCCGAATCACAGCTTCTCAAGCTCAACGCCGTCTTCCAAGGGCAGGGGATCTCGTGCCTCGCGGTTCTCGGAGATTCCCAGGCGGGAGGTGAGTCTGCCGAGCAACTTGGGACCCAGAAGCCCTGGATCCGCAGTCATCGCGACAAGAATCGGATCGTGCGTGTTTCCGTGTCCGGGGCAAAGATCCCCGCACCAACCTCGATCCAAGTCGTCGTGTATCATCTTCCTGCACGACGGGGTGTCTTGACTGAAGCAGTTTTCGGTGCGAGGCCAAAGTGGCTAGATGCCGTGGGAGCTTCCCCTTCCGTGCCTACCCAGCTAGAAGCTTTATTGCCTTTGCTGGATCTCGCTCCTCAAGTGTCAGAAGCCACCGAAGCTTTTCAATCTCGCTCGGCGCGACCCCCGGTTGGCATCATCCGCTGGGTGCTATGCTGTGCGGGTAGCGCTTGTGCTGTTTGCGGCAGCTTCAGTGGACTTCTTCTTGGCTGCTTCAAATGGCGATTGGACCGGAGTGCTCTGATCAGCCAGCTTCAGATTCGTCTGCACCTTCAGTCGCAATGGCTGGCTTGCCAAAGCTCTTCGTCGCCCGACGAGGCCCGAGCCCACACGCGGTGCCCCTGTGCGGCCCGTCTTCTGCTGACCGCGTTGGTCTTCTCCTCACTGGTCGATGCACTTCTGGGTGCCTTGGCCCTGGCCCTGGCCTTCTCCCTCTTTGGCGGAAACGATGAGAGGCTGCCTTCGCCTGCGAGGCTTCATCAGTGGGCCTACGAGGTAAAGCTCGTGAGCCTGGTGACCTGGCTCATGGGAGCGCCTGCAGATTTCAAGCTGAACCGACAGCTGACTTCATTCGCGGGACAGCTCTTCCTCTCCATGTTCTCTTTGTGGGGCCGCTGGGTATTGCAGGCGCTGTTGGCCGCTTCTGGTGCAATCCGGATGCTGTGGGCGCTCCACTATGTCCGGTCTTTCGACTCGGTTCTCTTCGTGTTTGGGTTCTCCCTGGGCTTGTCAGGCCTGGTGGCTTGTGTCATGGATTTGATCGCCATAGCCTCCCTGCCCCTCTTCGTGGCCTACCTGGGGACCTGCTTGTGCTGGAAGATGGCTACACGCTCCCTCTACACGTTGGGCTTGCTGTTTCAGGGTTGGAAGCATAATGTCCTTCGATCTCGGATTGACCACCACAACTTCGACTTGGATCAATTGCTCATTGGAGTCATCCTACTGTCAATTGTGGTTTTCCTCTTGCCCTCGCTCTTCATGTTCTACATCTGCTTTACATGCTCATGGCTCTTGGTGCTGGTTGCCCACTACACCCTCGGCCTGCTGGTATCCCTGTGTAACCATCAGCCGTCTTGTCTCGTCGCCCTGCAACCGAAGGCCCGGCGCATCACGCTCCAAGTGCTCGAGGTGGTGGCGGAAGCTCCAGGACCTTCGCAGAGCACGCTTTCCCTGGCCCTGCTAAAACCGGTGGGTGCCGAAGGCCCAGCGGCGGGCCTGTCGCGGGCTCTGAAAGGTGCCTTTCTGCTGAGCCCCAGCAGCCTGAAGACCTGGCTGAGCTCGGTGCTTTTCGGCGAACCCCTGCCTCTGTGCCGCCTCTCCCGCCCGAGTCCGCTGTGTGAGTCAGAGCCGGTGCGGCTAGCAGAGGTGCTGAGATTCATGTGGAAAAGGCCTTGCATTTCTCGGGAGCATTCAGAGGATTCTTTCGAGTCGCCAGAGCTGCAAGCCGCTTGCAAGCATGCTCAGGGCTCGCAGCCGTTCCAGCCGAGGCAGACGGCGAGAGAGGGAGAGGATGCGCTGGTCCTTGCTTTTCTCCGTGCCCAGGCCGCGAAAGGCGACGGTCTCTCAGCCGAGGCTGGAAGTGCGGCAGCATGGTGATGCTTCGCATGTGCAAAAAACACACACTAGAATCTCGAAGGTGTTTAACATCTGACAGGTCGATTCAAGCGTGGTGTTCGCACGTTGGACTGAGAGTGAGACAGCCCTAGAATGCCTTCAACAGATTTCAAATCGCCCAACTGCGAGCAGTCTTCAGCACACGACCGAAGACCACCGAGTTTGTACTTGGCTGTAGCAGGGAGCCAAGGAAGAAAGCTGGTAGAAGGGAGTGCAGCTGTGCAAGACCACCTTGGACCAGTTGCATCAGCATCACTCTTGTAGCTCGTCGAATTCCGTTCCTTTTCACAACCACTTGACCAAGCTGGTGCGCATCGGTGCGCTGCAAAAGTGTTTCTCTGGAGGAAGGCCTTCCATTGCTTGCACCAGGGGCTCGAACGCTGCTGGCACTCAGGATGGGCAGCTCGACTTCATTGAACGCGCACGTGCCTCAACGCTGCCTGCGTGGTACTTTCTTTGCATGTGGCAGCATAGTCCTGCAGCCGTCGGTTCAGACAGTCCAATGCACCGCGGCAAGAGCTGTAAACTGCAAGAACTGCCACCAGCCACACCGGACACCAACCCGACCCTATAGGTCTGAAGGGCATGCAGGCTGCCCATGCGGCTTCCAGGATCCGCGCGGCGCCTCTCCTCCGCGCTGCCGAGCCAAAGAAGCCGGCACCGCCAGCACATGACCAGGCCGAAGAGGTGTGGGTAGAAGAGGGGAATTCGGGATGCGGCAGAGGCTCTTGAAATTCTGCAGGAGCGAGGCGGTCGCTTTTCTGCGGTGCCCAAAGCACTGGCGCTGCTTGCGGCCTTTCCTGGTCGAGGGAGGCAAACAATATGGGGCCCGTTGGGGGTGGAACTTTTGAAGTGTTGGAACACCCGGTCAGGTCGCTGGCCCTTCGTGCAGGGGAAAATGTCCGTGATGCTGACAAGGATGCCGTGGCCGAAGCCCGTTGGCAGCTGGACCGGCGCTTCGTTGGCATTGCCCTCCCGGCGGGGCCGGGCCATGTCAAGCAATCGTGCCCAATCTGTGCTTTCACAAAAGTGTATTCTGGGTAGCCTGCAACCACATGGCTCCCGTCGCGCAATCGCAACACCTCCCCCGCCTCTGCGAGGCCTTCGCGCAGCTTCTGACAGAACCCCTCGCCACTGTCGTTGACACTGCATGCTGCGGACGTTTGGGCGTGGCCGCATTGGGAGGCAAGCGGAATCGGAAGAATCACTGCCCCAAAACTGCATAATTACAACCTTCGATTGCAGGAATGGGCGTCGCCGTCTCCGCCCAGTACTCCCTGACGAAGACCTTCAATGACTGCCATGCTTGCTTCGAAGATTGCAACACATTCCCCTCTTGTTACAGGACCCACTGCTGCGGGTGACTGTGTCTCTGGTGGCGACCACGTCTCCCGAGGACCTGCCCCAATCCGCCTCGTCAAGACTCGGAGACTCGGAGTTGGTTTTTGATCCGCAGGATCGGCGAGAGGCGTGGGGCAATGTGGGACATGGATGAGCAGGGAAGCTCCGGGCTTTAGTAGTATCTGTCGGCAGGCGGTGTCTGCAGTGGTCTTGTTGGCGCTTCTCCTGGGATTCTTGCAGGCCTGCGGCATCAGGAAACATGTGATGGAAGCGAAGCTTCGCACTGCTGTTGCAGTGAGACCATTCGAGGTGGCAACATTTGGGGTGGCCACAGGCATTGCCATCCAGGGCATGGGTTCCATGGCTTGCACTGGAGTTCTGTAAGGCCTTGCTTTGGTGTGTAAAGCCAAGTCTTGCAGCAAAGGCGTGGATCCAACCTCGTCGATGTTTGGGCCAGCGGTGGCTTACCTACGCTTCAGGGCGCTGGGTGCACCCTTCGGTGGCTTGCCAGCAATGCCGGAGCAGGGTCTGAATAATTTCCTGCTTGTGAGCAGCACCCGCCGGTGCATCCTCAGGCTCAATGCTGCTGGCTCTGACAGGCATCTGCCGCGGTTTGGGCGATGCCAGGCAGACGTGTTCTTTGAATGCTGTTGCTTCTGACGGACTGGTCCTGTCGTGCCATTGCTATCTTGTTGACGACAGCAGCTTCTCTGACGGAGCTTCTTGAGCAGTTCTTGGTTTCAAGGATAAGGCAGGGTCGTGTGTCGGATCGTAATTCAGCTGCCTCTCCACCCAGTGAACCACCCTCGTTCTTTGTTCATGTCAAGCGGCTCAAGCCTTGTGGCAGGCAAGGTTCAGCAGCAGCCCGTGCCAGCAAGCACCTCCGATGTACGACCTACATGGGAGCCGCGTTCCTGAGAAAGGAGACCGGCAAGGCTGAACCGGCTTGGAAGATCATGCGCTACACGATCCAGACCATCGTCCGCTTTGCGTGGCTCAAGAATGAACTTCCAGGAAGCAACTTGCAACCCGGCGGACTGACGGCATACGGAATTGCCGGATGCACAAGCGAGACGGAAAGCGGATCATCGCCGATGCTTACTATCCCAGCCGCGCCTTCGATCTGGCGATCACAGTGGCAGCTCACTCCCAGCACCGACTCGTACTGAAACCTCGGCGGGATGGTGCATGCCGTTTGATGCCGCCGCTGCTGCGAGCCCCAAGAGCGCCGACTGTCTGCTTGATCTCGGCGGCCACATCGGCAGCGATCATCTTCATGGTATCTTCAACGGGGCATCTATGGGCATGTCCGGCGCCGACTCCTATGAGCTGACAAACACTTATGAGACGCTGCAGAAGAACCTGGGCCAGGATGCACGCATGACATTGCGCAGAAAAGCGGTGGTCCCCGAGACGCCATGAGGGCAGAGCTGGCATCGTTGGAGCCTCTTGGTGCCAGCGTTTCTTCAAAATGCATGAATAAAGATGAGGATGACAACCTCGTCCTTTAATTACTGCTGGGGACAGGTGGCATGGGCCTCGGACACGGCCGATGCATCTCTGGAGCAAGTGCGAGGAGTCAACTCCAGGTGACGGCAAGGTTGACATTCCAGAGCTGTTGATAGACACCTTAGAGCCTTAGAGGCCATGCGCCGCACTTGACTTGGAGATCGAAGTTAATTGCGTTTTTCATAGCCAGGTACCAGCACATGAAGCTTGAAAGCTTGAAGCAGTGGTTGTTCCCTGCCCCAAGCGGCCAAACACTTTTTTGACCTGGGCATCGGCGCAGCCACGGCGTGGTTCAAGGGCCCATCGCCAGCACCGACTCCTTTGATCCGAGCGGGACGTTGGAGCAGCAAAATGTGCTGTTTCTGAGTTTTCAAGGGCGAACAGAAGCTTAGCGCCGACGGGCAGATGCGTCACGGGCAAGAAAGCTCCTATAGAACCGGCTCCGAATCCCGTGAAGTTGCACAAGATCTTCGATGAGCCCGAGTCTGCAACCGACCGAGCCACATTCAAGCGGGATCTAGACTGCATGGCAGCGCTGGGCAAAAGAACTCTGCGACTGGCGGCCGCAGTGGCCGAATCCGTCCGGGACCCCAAACAGACTCGGGAGAGCCTAAAGGGCAGAGTGGAAGACAAACAAGATCCCAGCCGCATGGCGGACCTTCTCCTCAAAACCGGCCTCGTGGACTTGGGCACCAAGCAGAAGATCGACAGAGACGAGACCGTTTGCCAGATGTTCTATGCACTGGCGGGGGCTCACGTGCTAGACGGCGACAAGTTTTTCGGTCCTCAGGCTTTGGGATTGGTTTGTGCACCTCTCAAACCGGAACGTCGACGACAACCGGAACAAGAATCTGGAAGAAGCCGCCTGCAATCATGTCGCCGACTGTCCAAGATACCTGGGACGCACTGCAAGTTACGTCGAATTCGGTGAAGAGGAACCTGCGAGCCGCAGAGGATCCTGGGAGCGATATTGATGTCCTTGGATCCGGTTTCACCCCTCGGCGCAAAGGTCTTCCAGTGTTGAACCGGCGCCACGCACCAGACACAATATACTGGAGGTTGCGAGACGTAAGATCTTGGATGGAAAATTCGGCAACATCTCTGCCGTAAAGGCTGCACGCAAAATCTGGGGTTGGAGAGGGCTCCTAGATGCCCAAGGCACAGATGACGGTGTTGACTATAACGTATTAGGCTGTATAAAGTGTGCGCAATGCCGTGTTCGGCTGCGGCGCACCGGTGTGTTCACGCCTTGATCCTTTCAAGCTTATGCCGCAAGCTTAACGGCAATCATCTCAGTGTTTCCGTGAGTGTGCATGATGTCTGCTCACTTCGTAACGGCAAACGGTTGTACACTTGTATAGTGGGATGGCATGTACGACCGATGCGAGACATGCGATCACAAGGTCCGCGCTTGTATAGGATGCCAAGATGGACGTCTTTGCAAATATGTGTCGGGGTCCGTAATGCATCTTAGGGAGCTGCGCATGATAATTTACAGCAAGATGTTGCTTGATTTAGAGTTTGTGTGTATAGGAACTCTCGGGAAAAACTGTGATTTTAGACAAGAACGTGCGTGCAAAATGTGCACATGTTCATGCACATATCTTCAGGCCACAAGCGATAAACATTAGGGTCTGCGAATGTCAGCAAAGCCTTAGCCCTCAGCATGCCTCAGCTTTCTACGTGACTCTGGGTAACTCGGAGGAAGTTGCCGCACACCGTGCCAAATCCAGCATCCCGTGCAGGACGCCAATGGTAGCGTCTGCGCTAGCCACGGCCGTGAACGTGTTTCTGGACCCGCTGCTGATATTCGCACTGGGCTGGGGCTGCGCCGGTGCGGCCGTGGCCACCGCTACTTGTTTGTTTTTGTGGGGTTCACTTCTACCCGACGTTTCACTCCGCTGAGGTTGCTGCGCAGTTTGCCGGCGTCATCTGCATCGCCTGGAAGCTGCGAGCCCTCTTCAGCGGGTCGAGGCGGCTGTTTGGCGCAATCAGCGTGCTTGATCGGGTCTTGTATAGCAGGGCTCCCCGATGGGCCAGCGTCTCGGCGGCTCTGCGGCGCTTCGTCACCACCGCGGGCGCCCCCTTGACCGCAAGGGATAAAAGGGATGATGTATAGAGGAGTGCAGAGCTCATGAGCTTCGGAGGCTTGGCACCCTTGTGCCCTCCCAGGTGATGATCGTGAGGAATTGGGGCAAAGTCTTCTGCTTCACTTTCCTCGCCAGGCGCTCTCCTCCAGAACGCAAAACCTCAGAGCTGAGAGATGAGTTGGGTGTGCTCTTTCAGGCATGCCGCGCAGCAAGGAGCCATCGTAAGTGCTGCCTACAGCCTCACCTTTCAGCTTGGCTTTGCCACCTCTCAGGCAGGATCAAGCCTCAAACCCTGCGATGCGATCTCTGCTCAGCCCATTCTCCCAAAGGTGGCAGAGTCGCTGGCGACGTCGACGCAGGTCTTGCTGGCCCAGGCTTTGCGCGATGACGGCTCCTTCGCGCCCTTGCCATCCGACTGCACGCGGAGCCGTGGGTCTGTAAGCACTGCCCATTTAAGGCCCGGGCTTGAGAAAGTGGCACTTCTTGGAGGTCTACATCGAGATCTGCCCGGCAGGTGGTTCTGCGGGGCTTGCAGGCATCGGTCACACCGATCTGGTGATTGCATGAGAGAAAACAAGCAAGAGTACTGCATGACGCTTGCAAGTGCTATCGAGGTCCAAACTTACTCGTGCCATTGCTGTTGCTTCATCAGCGTCGCCGACTGCGGCGTTACAGTAGTGTTTCGCTATTTCTTGCTGTTACGACTGCTGCCAAAGTTTTTGCTGTGTCTCTTACTTGCCGGGGACGGGGAGACTTCACTGAATACTCAGTCCGTCCGTGTGCTTGCCTCGTTAAATTGGATGACCTCCGGTCCTTTCTGCCACCGTAGAATATGAGCCTTATGGGATCGCTGAGTCATTAAAAGTAAAAGCTGATGCTTAGAGTCTTAGATGATTAGAACTGCTATGCCAATCGCAAGCTCGTCGGAGACTTGGTTTTAGTCGGCTTGATCCCCGTCGTTAAGGCAGTTTGATGTTACGTAGCCCAAAGGCCAAAGAGCACTTCAAGCTACGCAGATCCTGCAGCAGTTCAGCAACCACGACTTGCTGTCTTCGTCAAGTCGCGAGGATGTAGCAAATCCAGTGTTGAGCCGAGAGAAGACCAGGGTCAGACAGGCAAAAGCTGGGGGATCTTTGACTCTGAGGACCCCGACGTGCGCTGAGAATGGCTCGAAGTCGGCCAGGGAGCTTCTCAGATGCTAAGAATCCTTTGAGACACAAATAAGGCGGGGGAGTGTTCTAACAGACACGACATAGTTCGGTCTCACAGGAGTGCCTCCTGTGCTCTGTGTCAGCCATGCGATGTAAGCCCTTCGAGTCCGCGGCCGCCGAGCTGGTGGACGAGAGCCTGCACCCCCTGGAGCAGCTGGAGATTTTGTCCGAGAAAGCCAAGCAGCTGAAGAACGAGGGCGATGCGGACGCAGTGATCGAGTGCCGAATCAAACAGCTCACGCTGCAACGAGTCCTGGCGCATTTGCATCAGTTCCCTCTGCAGCCTCTCATCCAGGCTCAGGCTGCACTGGCCGAAGCCTACGGGCAAGGAGGTTACTTTTTGCAAGCCCGGGAGCACCTGGCTCAGGCGCGCGAGGTCTGTAATGGTGGGATCTATGATGATCGGCAGCACCTGCGACTGCAGGCAGACCTCTTGGTGGCTGAGGGCTCGGTTCAGCTTGCACAGGGCCAGCTGGAGGCTGCCGGGAAGACGCTGATGGAAGCTGCACGGTTGGGCCGTGAAACGCGAGGAGAGCTCGATGAAGAGGCCGCACATGTGCATCTTCTGCTTGGCCAGGTAGCCTCCCAGAAGGGAGACTTCGAGAAAGCGATCGATCATCTCTCTGAAGCTTGGGAGGTGCACGATCATGTTGATGGCAAGGCTGCGGAGCCCACTCTTAGAATCAGAATGCAGGTCGCAGAGGCTGAAAGGTCAGCCAACAGATTGGAGGCAGCCGTGGAAACGGTGCAGGCTGTCGTGTCAATCCTTCAGCATGAAGAGCCGCAGAAGACGGCCTTGCTGATGAAGTGTAGCTGCCAAGTGGCTGGATGGCTTGAGGCTGACAAGCGGGAGGCAGAAGCTCTGGAGGCATTGCAGGTGGCAGAGAGCGCTGCGGAACACCTTGGTGAGGAAGATCCCCAAGTTGTAGACGTGAAGCGTGACATGGCCCTCCTCTACATCAAGCTCGGTCGACATGAAGAAGCGCTGCAGTACCTGAACGACGTGCACTACCTGGAGCGACGGCTCCATGGCTCGCAGTCCTCACAAGTTGCTCGGACGCTGAAGGCCTTGGGATCCGTGCACCTGGTCCTGGGAAAGAATGAGGAAGCCGAGAGCTGCCTTCGCCAGGCCCTGCGGATCTTCGAGATCGACAGTCACAATGCCGCGATTGTACGTGATATTCACGCCAAGCTGGCAAGCATACCAGCAGGCGATGTCTGAGTCTGAGGGGAAGCGGAAGGCCGAAATGTGGCCGACGATCCTCCTCCTGAGGAAGGAAAATCGATCTTGCCTGCAGTTCACTTAGCGCGATCTCTTACAGGGTTTGATGGAGGGCGATCTCTTACCGGTAAGACAAGAGAGTTGAACTCTTCACGTTCACCTTGTGACGTGCCTGGCAGAGGCAGGCTTGATGCTGAGTGCCGCCCTGGGCCTTGCGACCTTCGTGGCCAAGGAGACGCTTCTGTGAATCTTGCGGCCCCTGTCCTGCAACAATTCGAGGACAATGTCCTGCGCTTCCTCACAAGCTCTAGCCAGGTCCAGGCCAAGCCAACGCAGAGGGGGACCACGCTCATTCCGTCCGTGTCCGTGTCTGTGCTGCGTGTCCGTGTGTGTGTGTGTGTGTGTCTCTGTGTCTGCACGCGAGCCTTCTTCAGGCTTTGGCCGGCGCGGTGATGCCGTGGGTGCTTGTGGCGCAGGCAGTGAAAGCCATGGCTTATCCAACCAACGGTGCTCTCATGGGAGCCCTCGTGACCTGGCCCGCACAAGGGTGCAGTTTGCGGTGACCCTATAGATCTTTCCACAATATGCACGTGCATCCTGTCTCGTTCGGCCTCTCACGCTCGCTCTCTGTCTCTCTTTGTCCGTCTCTATGTATGTGCATGTATGTATATACGCATATACTGCATGTACATATCCCACTTTCATGTTGTGCCTCAACTTGTTGCATCATACCGAACCCACCTGACATCGGATCACACCCGGTTTTTTTCCAAAGACTTCCCAGGATTGGCTCTGCTCCGCGTACATCCTCTGGATCGCCAGCTTCCTGGGGCAAGCGCTCTGCAGGTTCAGTGGTGGAGGCTGGCCTCGAACTTCTGAAGGAAGTGAGAGAAAGAAAGACAATTCGAATCTTTTACAAGCTTTCCAATGTTACGATTTTTCCTTCCCGATCCGGATTTTGGCAATCTATTTTGGAATGTGTGTGTTCCTTAGGTGCCTTAGGTTTTGGCAGGTTCGTGCTTGAAAAGTGGAACTGTCACACGGTTTCGCGACCCTAAACCTCAAATCCATATCCGCCGTCATATGCCTCGCCTGGATTGTCCGAGTGTGAGCGCCGAAATCCATATCCGTACACACACACACACACATATATATATATATATACATGTATATGTATCTATAGTATGTATGTGTATGTATTTGTCAGAGGGGGGGGGTTCTGGAGTTCAGGCTCAGATCCTCGTGGTGCTCTGGTGAGCCTTGGCTACCCCCCTTGATCCTTCCTGTCCATTTCGCTGATCCTTTTGTCAGCAGCGCTTCAAAGTGCGACACGCCGAGGAGTTTGTGGTTGGGACTCATCGGCCCTCCTCGAATGTTTGTTTAGGGTTTAGGGTTTGCCTGTTTTCAATGCAATTATCTTGGCTCTCTGGCCTTCATCGACTGATGGAGCGCAGCCGTTTTAAGCTCAGGCACGATCGTATATCCCACTAGCCAGATTGTTTCTTGTATCGTTGCCATGGGTGTCAAGACACTTGGCTTGCTCTCCGCAGAACTTTGAACGTCGTTTCCAGTGGAAGGTGGCGACAAGGACTAGTGCAAGGATCACAACGGTGGATGCCATTGCTGCGATCTGAGGACCTGGGCCACCTGGGTGCTGCTTGTCCTGCCGGCATGGGCTTTGCAACAGAAGGAGCTGGAGGATTGGTGGTCCGGTTGCAACTTTGGCCTTGAGAAAGGGAGCGCTGCGAGATGTTCGCAGGGCCTCAGCCCAGGCTTGTGTCGCCCAACGGCCTGGCAATGACGCTGAGCGAGGCAGCTGATGCGGCCAGCCAGCCTGTCCCCGAGTGAAAAGACGGATGTGTTTTACTTGTCGCCATGTCTGGAGCCCATGAGAAATTGTAAGCAGGCATTGGAATGCGCTTGCGCATTGTGGAGTGGAAATCCGAAACCTCCAGTCCTTGAAGGACCCCGCAGACGTGAATCAAGCCCCGCAGTCACTGCTACACTCTACTGCTGTCCCGAAAACATAGTGTTATTGGAAGTATCTAAAGTATTACTGTTTCCTGCTTTTAATTGCATCAGGACACCCTGTCGGACAAAGGCTCGATCGATCTCTCCTTGCCAGAGATCCGTTCTCAGATCTTTCTCCTGGCGGAGCAGCATGTGGCTGGGGAGAAGTTGCAGCAACTCTACTGGGCCCTGTCGGCTTCCTACACGCTGTGCCTTGGTCTGCATTTGACGGCTAAGACATCCTTGGTTCACTGGTACTGTCGTGGTGATAGTGATGGGCATCACGATCTTCACGCTTCGGACAGCTCCGGCCAGGGGTGGTGGCCTTGGCCTGCCGAAGGACCAGGCACAAACCATGATGCACCTCCTGGCCTTGAAGAAGGTGGAGCCGGGGACACTCCTTAGGTACATACTACCATCCCAAGCCCCTCCAGATTCCTGTGCCAAAGATTCTTCAGCAAAATCTGCGATTCCGGCGAAGCAGGCGGAGCCGGACCAGTTGAAGGAGCTCTACAAGGCAAGGGCACCCAAGTGCCAACGCCAAATTTCCGCCCCCTCCAGAGGTGATGTATGGCTATTACGGGCTGGGCTTCGCCAAGTCCCTGGCTCAGACCACGTCTATCCAGCTTGCTCAAGCTGGGGCGAACGCAGCCACATTCAAGGCTCCCGGGTGTGCTCTGAGTCATTGAGAGTCTTTATGCCATGGGCACTCCTTAGAATTACTAGAAGTTCAGAGGAGCTCGGCTTGAGTTAAGGGCCTTGCAGAAGCCTGGGCTTGTGTCTTTGAGTCTTGTTCCAGGTCCTGGGTTCTGGGTTCGCTTATGTGCTACTTCCCCTGATAGACCACTTACCTCGAGAACGCGAAGCGGGGCCAGTCCGCGGCCATCGCGGAAGCCTCCAAGGAGGCGGTCGTCCAAGATCTTGCAGGCCAGAGATCGTCAATAGAGACAGAGAGAGATGCTTGTGTGTGTGTGTGTGTGCGTGTTTTTTTTTTTCTTTGGGTGGGGGGGGGGGGGGGGGGGGGGGGCAGGCTCTTGAGGAGATGTTTGTTTCTGTTACTTCGTGCAGGGGCGTGGGGTTTTCCTTCCGGAAGGTCTGGTACGACGCTATGCCCTGGATGTCAAGCCTTACACTGCAAGCGAGTTCCTCCAGCACTATGGAGAAGGCCCGGAGCTCTTAGAAGCCGAGTTTTATAGGTACGGTACATATACATGTACGTATGCATATGGATCTAAAGTTATATGTGCATATATGTATATATATATATATATATATATATACAGATATCTATACATATACATATGTCGGAGTTGATGAGGAGCCTGGATGAACCAGTGGTTGGACAGCCCACTCGAGAAGAAGATCTCCAACGACAGGCGAGCCTACACGGCCAACCAATTCTCAAGGCGCGAGACCTTAGTAAGAGCAGAGAAGAGTCACCAGCCCGAACCCCAACCCTACGTGCCGAAAACCCAGAACCCACACGGACCTGCAACCGTTACAATTCCACAACTCGAAACGCTGCACGCTGAACATGCCTCCTCTGTATTTGCCGGGACTTTGCTCTATGACTCAGTCCTGCAATGCAGGCTCGTCCAAGCTAGGTGGGAGGCACAAAACTCGCTAAACTCGGACCGAGTTATGAGCGCCGAAACCCCAAAAGCACCCTGCACCCTGAGCCTTGGAGGCACTTCCCCAGCACCTGGGAGCCCATGTACAAGGGCAGCCCCGAGGCCACTCAGCTCCGTCTCGCCCAGGACGGCAAGGCGCGAGGGGAGATTTGTTTGGGGGAGATGTGGGTAGGTTTTGCAAGGGGCTCGGGGTCGGGATGAGGTGTACAGCATGGCAGAGTACCAGCAGTACTACGGAGACCAGTGGCATGACAAGTGGAATGTGTCATCCTCAGAGCTTCCGACGAGGGGTAACAGGGTTTTGGGACGTGCTGCACCGAGGTCTCACCTGAGCTTTCCTGCAAGGAGTGCGCTCCCTATGTGGCCCTTACGGTGCTGGTTTGAGCATCGGCGGCCTTGATTCCTAGAGTTCAGAAGCTTAGGGGGCTTGCTCCTAAGCCTGGCACAGAGCGGCAATCGCACTCATTGAAAAAGCCACGTGCATGCGAGTGCAGGGCCAAGGCAGGTCATGGCTTGGGTTCCTCTTTGGCGAAGGCTTGAACTTGTGATCAGCACGTTCCCTTCTTGGTGTAGGTCTTTGCAGCTCGAAGAGAACCGCCTACCTCCGAAGTGAGCACTTGGACTTAGTGAAGCCTTGATGCAAGGGTTCTTCGGCACGCAGCTGGTTCTCGGCCTGCTCCGGATTTTCTCGGCACGAGGCGGGCATGCGGCTTTGTCATGTGTGTCTACATGCCTCGATGCATGCGTTGTTCTGAGATGTTCTGAGTTTCCTTCTCTTCCGCTCTTCCCTTGCCTCTTTTTCTCCTCTCCCTCCCTCCTGCTTTTTCTGTATTTGTGGGATGTGCTGCTGTGTTGGATTTGACTACAGCGTTCTTGCTGAAAATGTGTCTGCAGGCCGCTGGAAAGTTCTCAGCCTGCAGAATTGAGAGTGAGGGCTGCGTCGCCGGGACCAGGGTTCCGAACATGGCAAAGTCCATGCTTCACAGGACTGTCCTGCAAAAGGAGGCTCTCCAAGAAGACCCCTCGTCTTGCTGTTTCTCCGCTTGCCCAGGGGCTCCAGAGCAAGGACTGGTCCATGCGTGCGAAGGCTTGCCAGGCGAGAAGTTTGTTTAAGACTTGCGCTCTCGTGGAAACTTGTGGGGCGAAGAGTTGGGGCTCTGACTTCCCTCTTTCGTGCTCAGTTGGCCGCCAGCATCGGCCCTGCTGCGGCCCCTTCCAGCGCTTTGGGCTCGGAGTGCACTGTTTTTTTCAGCTCTGCGGGAGCTTGGCCTTAGGCCGCTCAGCTCATCGATGTGATGCTGAACGATGGCGACTCGGTGCCCCGGGCCCTTGCGGCCCAGACCGCTTGCTGCTCGATTGGCTCAAGATGAAGCACTCGGGTCGTGCAGTGCCTCAAGGCTTGCGGTACTCCCGCACTGACACCCGCATTCAGAGATTTGTTGCGAAGAAAGGCCAGCATTGACTACATGTAGCGCCGGATAGCCAGAGAAAGCAACTGGCTGACAGAAGCGATGTCGCATGCCCGTGCTACTCGCTGCCTGCTGAACCAGGACTCAGGGCGACCATGGGAGCCATGCGCCTCCTCCGTCCCCGGGAAATCTCTATATTTGTCCTTGCTTGGAAAAGCATCTTCAAAGACTTGGAAGCAGGAGTTGGCTCCGCCCATCCGGCCTCTGTGACAGTCCTGTGACTCTGAGGTGAAGGCGCAAGTTTCGCTGAGCCATGCTGAGCCATCAAACTACGCTCATCACCGAACATTCCACCAGTGGTGTGCAGTCGCTTTCCTCCGGACACTTGATTGACGGCACATTCTGCCAAGATGTTGCTGATACTGCTGCCGCCGTATAGCCCCCTCTCAGCAGCACCCAGCATGGACAATATCGTGCAACGGCAGATGCTGAGAAACGAAGTACAGTGACATGAGAGCCAGTGCATTCACAGATTTCTCGATCCGACTGATTGAGCCATGGCGGGAGTGACCCGGCTCCTGGCATGCTGCGGGCTCCTCGCATGCTGCGGGCTGATGGTGCTTGCCCTGGTGGCTCCCTTGGCTGGAAGCCCACCTGCCCGGGAATTTCACGGTGGGAGCATAGGAGAAGAAGCCCTGTCCCAGGGCCGAAAGGTCGCGACCTTTCTCCCTGCAGTTCCAAGCCTGCTCAAAGCACCAACCTGCCAAGAGTGGATCCCCACGCCGTGGTTCATCAGCGTTCTGATGTATGCGGCCACATACGTTGCAGTCTACGTGTCGGCTTGTGTGGCGGTTGCAGTGCTATGCTGCAGAACCCAACGGCCGGGGTCGGGCTCCTCCGGAGCTAGGACTGATACATCTCCTGCGGTCCCCGGAGATTCCAGCACCGAACGCCAGGTTGGCCATGAAGACTCGGAGCGAGCTCAGGCTCAGGGTGATTTTCGTAGGGTCCTTGACCTGCTGGTCTACGGCGCGATGGGCCCAGCTAGCTTCACCTACGCCATCACTTCGGTGCCCAAGGTGGGAAGCTGCTCTCTTCGTTTTCTCAGCCGGCCAAACCACGTGCTCCCGTGGCATGCCGGGAGCCATCTCTAAATGGCAGTGAGAACGAGGACAGGTTCGAATACTATGTTTCCTCTCTCCTCTGGCTGCTCTTTGGCTCCTACATGTTCGGACAATTGCTAACTCTCCTCGGGACCGCAAGCCGCAGCTTGCTGGCACGCGTGCGTCGCACAGAACATTCGGAACCTAGCTTCGCCCTCTTGCCAGACCGTCTCGAGCCCAGGGAGGAAGATGACCAAGCCGCTGGAGGCTCCGGCTGTTCCCGCATACTGTGGCAGCTGATGCTGCATGGGTTCTGTGCCAGCCCGCAAGGGACTGTGCTGGGAAATCTACGAGTTTTGGGCGCTGGTCATGTTGACATGTTCGTTCCTGCAAGCTTTGGCGGTGATCGTCTCCGTTCCCATGGACCAGAACTTGCCCTACCTGGGCTTCCCGATCATCCAGGCAGTGCTGCCGATCTTTCGGGAGCCCCTGGACATCTTCAAGGATTGGCTATTTGTTGGGCTGGCGGCGTCCACGGGGTCGTTCCTGGGTTACATCCTCGCAGCCTTCGGTGTGTTTGTGCTCTTCGTTTCGGGCGCCTATATGCAAGCTTTCCACTCTACTGCGCTCTTCAAGCAGCTTTCACCCGTGCAAGCCGTCCGCTGCCGGTGGAGAGCTCACAGCCCGAGGCGTGGCAACGACTGCATTAGCGATTGCATTCACTGGATGCGGTTGACCTTGGTGCAGACCTGCTTAACCCTTCTGGATGAGCAGACCTCGCCAGCGAAGCTGGCCGTGGCGATTACAGAGGATCTTCCCCAATCATTGCTCCAATCAATTTTCGTGGTCGGGTTCGGGGGCTCCGCCACGGTGTTTGCCTTCATCGGGATTAGTTGCTTCCGCATCATCGCCTGCCTTCTTCTCCGCCCTGTCGTCCTGAGCGTGGAGCAGCGCCACGCGGAGCTCAAGGAGGCCTGGCGAACGGCACAAACATCAGAAGGTGAGATTCCCTGTGTAGATCTGAGGTCCGACTCCTAGCTAAGTTGGTCCCACTGTGTTGGGAGTCTTTGCCACTGAATTGTGCAGGCGCTGGCGCACTTGATCCAGGTTCAGCTCAGCCTCACCCACGTCATCCTGGGCCCACGCCATCCCAGTGGATTGTCTCTGCAATGGAGGTTGGGTGTGGCTTTGGATGGTTTGGGCAGAAGGGAGGAGGCTCTCTTGACGTTCCAGCAAGCCCAGGAAGCCCAGACGGAGATGCTAGGCCAACACCACCCCGACACACTGGCGAGCCAGCACTCGCTGGCAGTGACTATGTCGGACCTGGGCAGGAACGAGGAGGCTTTGCTTGTGGTGCAGGAAGCGCTTGAAGCACGAAAAGAGGTTCTGGGGCCGCACCATCCAGACACGCTCAGTTCCCAACACAGCCTTGCTGTGTGCTTGGGGAGACTGGGCAGGTTCGAACAGGCGCTGAAGGTGATTCAGGAAGTCCTGACGGCCAGCGAGGAAGCGTTGGGGGCAGAATTGACGCTCACAGCACAGCATGGCAGGGCTTTGTATTTAATGCACCTTGGCAGAGACGAGGAGGCATTGCAAGGGTTCCAGGCGGTCCTGGCAGCCGTCAACGAATCACTTGGGGCAGGACATCCACAGATACTCCAGATCCAAAGCCGCGCTGCTGGTTGCTTGGAGAGGCTGGGCAGGCATGAAGAATCTTTGCAAGGGTTTCATGAGATCCTGGAAGCCTGGAGAGAGCTGATGGGTCCCCGCCATCCTCAGACACTCGTAGCCCAGTCAAATTTGGCATTGAGTCTGTATTGCGTGGGCAAGAGCGAGGAGGCACTTGGCGAGGCGCAGGAAGCTTTCTCTGCCAAGAAGGCAGTCTTCGGTGCCCAGCACCCTAGCACGCTTGAAACTCAAAGCAACTTAGTGGCGATTCTAAATGGTCTAGGCAGGAGAGAGGAGGCAGCGCAGATCTGCCAGGAGCTTCTGAGCACCCAAGCTCAAGTGCTGAGCCCGGGGCATCCCGACATGGTTCGCACCGAGCAGATGCTGGCTGAGCTCTCGCAGAAGCTACCTACACTGCTGAACCGACGCGGCAAAGCAAGCCTAGGGAAGGTGGGCATGCCAGAGACCAAGCCATCAGTGTGGCGCAGACTGATGACGGGGGGGTGCTTCCGCCAAAGCCAGCCATTCCCAAAATGGCAGCCGGCGGTGGCTGAAACGCCTCTTGCTCCACAGGAGGCTGCATGAGTTTTAAATAAGTAGGCCAGCGAGGGCTTGAGGGTCAGGCTCGGCTTAGGTGGGCTTGCTGCTATTACACACAGAATGTGCCTTTGGACTTGGTGCCGTTGTGACATCGTATTCCACCCTCCCATGCTTATAAACGAGAATGAGATAAGTTTTACGCACCAATTGGCCTGCGTGTATTTATTCGCCCACTCATCGAAATTTTGGTGGCCTTGAAATTTTTGACTTGAATTGATCGGGCGCGTTGCGAAGGAGCAGCGAGTGACTCGGGCCTAGCTTTGCACAAGTCAAAGGAGGCAGAAACTGGAAACCGGAAAAATCGGAGCGTGCTTTTTGCTGGATGTTCACACTATGCTTTCGCTTCCCGGCTCGTCCAGGGCCTCGCCGCCGGGGTGACTGGGTCGGCCGGGCCTTTTGGCCAGCGGCCTCAGTGCTTTTGACTGTTGCCAGTCGGGAGTTTCCGAAAATAGGGGACCCTAATGTAGTACCCTCAATAGTAGGATCCTAGTACCTACGATTCGGAAACCCCCAGTTGTTTCAAGCCGGCGACCACGTTCTCGGCCTCCGGTCCTTGAAGGACACTCTGACTCTGGCTGCGCCGATAGAGGCCAGGATGCTACTGGTGAGGCCGGAACTAGCCGGAGCTTGCAAGACCTGGAAAGTCTCGTTCAGCTGGGATTCCGAGTGCTCCATTCCTTTCTTCTCTTTTGGCATCTCTTGGTGTTTTTGGCTCAACAGAAGTTGGAGAGATGTGGGGGCAGATATGGGGCCATGGCTGCCTTTGAGGCCCTCGAATATTTCCGGGCGCGCAATGCCAAGGACGGGATTCTCGCGGTGCTGAAGCTGAGGGCTGCTGCCTCCTGGGCGCAGATCTCTCTGCAACGTGCTGCGGGCCCGCTCTTCTCGGAGACAAGCACTGATGGATTTGCAGCAACCCTCCAGACCGTGCAGGACCTGCTTTTTGAATGCAAAGCAGAGGGCCAACAACAGCAGCAAATCCAGCTTCTGGACGTCCTCGCGCACCTGCACCTTATGCGAGACAACTCCAACCGCGCCTTGAAGTGCTACAAAGAGGCGCTGAGCCTGGCCAAAGAGGTTTCCAGTTCTGTGGGCCATCTGCAAGGAACCTTCGACATGATTCGGCGGCTGCGATCGGAGCCTCCTGCTGCAGAAGCTTTCGACGCAGAGGCGCAGGTGCCCAGCCTGCCCGAACTGGTCCAGGAGGCACTGAGGGGTAGCGGCGGCGCCTCCGTGGACCGTTGCCGCCTTGCGTTGGCGGACTTCTTGGCACACAAGGCGAAGACGCATGCGGGCAGCCGAGCGACCATCCACGAGGCTGCGCAAGGCTTGGATGGCTCGGGCATGGGGCTCCTGGTGCTGGGCAAGATGGACTTGACCGCCGCCGAGGCGGTGACGAGGCTTCACCAGGCGAGCCGGGCTTTCCGGGCCGATGGCCTCACGGACGCCGAGGCCACCGCGTTGCAGGCGCTGGCCACGGCTTTGTTGGTGCAGCCACGGCCCGATCCGATGAATGCCTTGCAGGCTGCAGAGGAGGCCCAGGCACTTTTCAAGGAGGTCAAAGACCTTCGTGGTGAGGCCATTGCCCTGCAACTCATCGCCAACTGCCGGATGCTCTTGCAGGATCGGGATCGATGCATCACGGCAGGTTACGAGGCCTTCCGGCTCTTTGTGCAGGTGGGGGATGATCACGGCAGCAAGATCGCCTACAAGCTCCTCAACAGCCTCGGGCAATCCGATCAGCAGATTCGTGCATCTGCTGCCAAGAAAGAAGTGGCACGATTCGATGAAGTGAAGGCCAGCGAAGAGAGGCCGGAGGTGTCAGAAGAGCTGCGGGCAATCATGGCGGAGCAGGTGGTCTGGGAATACGCTTGGGTCCCTTCCGAGACCCAAGATCCCAAGTACTTTGGCGAGAAGCGCCCGAGTGGCACTCGCCGCATCCTGGTTGCCAGTGAGCTTCGAGACCCGCGGCTCACACAGCAGCTGGCGCGTTGCCGGGCAAAGAACCAGAAAGCGAAGCCTTTCTTCGCAAACCTCATCAACGGCCGGCTTCTGACAGCGGCTGCCATGGAGTCTGCCATGCAGGCGTCCTTGTGTACTGCGGCTGTCTATGATGTGACACGACTCAACAACCTAACTCACTTGGAGGTTATGGACGTCGCGATCCGATTGGTGAAAGCCTTGCAGCCCATCGAGGATCCCAACAAAGTTGCCCTCGACATTGTGTTGTCTTCCACACAGAACATCGCTTCCGTCCAGGGGATCCGCGTGCCCTTCCATTCCACTTTGTGGGGCTTCTGTCGGTCAGCGAGGATCGAGAATCCAACCCACGAGTTCCGCGTCCTCGATGTGGATGCGAAGACCTTCAAGCAGGACATGGCCTTTATCACCCGATACCTCTTGGGTGCACAGAGTACCAGGCCCATGGAGGCCATCGTGAGGAAGGGGGCACTACATGTGGCCAGGTTAGTGAGTGCCAGGGCGGAGCTTAAGGCACCTATGAAGATGGTCCGGAAGGTCCAGGAATAGCCAAGCAAAAGCACGGTACTAGAGCTGCAGCTTGGGACGATGTTACAAGTGGGCGGATGGCCCCACGCATCGACTGAGGCTCTGACCCGCGAGGATCCCAATGAGACGGATCCGACATGCGCCTCTTCCCGAAAAAAGCATCTAGATTCTGGGAGCACCATCTCTCGGGCACAGGACGACATACAGATATCAAGCAGGGAATGTTTGGATGCGATGTGCTAGCTGGTAGCACTTCCGTACCCTAGACGGAGAACTGAACAACCTGCTCTTGAGCTTGTTTCGCTGCAGTAAATCTGTCTTTCCATATGTGCCATGTTCTGCAAAGGGGCGATATTCAATACAGGCACGCGCGTCCCAGGGGATTCGAGCTAACATAACAGCCCTGGAAGCCGCCGGTTGTAACGCTGTCTTGAGGGCCTGAGCTGTAGCAGAGGAGGGTAGCGGGCTAGTTGGCCTCTGGCAGGACTTCGCCGGTCCGAGGAGATTTTCTTTTTGTAGAGAAATGTCCAAAAACACGGGACGGTCGAGCTTGCACCCCAGCTTAGCCCGTTCCTTTAGAAGTGTGACAGGGAGTATGAACTTTGATATGAGCGTTTTCCTGTGCTGACATGCCTTGTGATGGTGCCAGGCTGGCCGCTTGCTGTTCGTGATGGTCCACTGATTCATGGCTGCACAAATCTAGAGTTGATATTTCACGTCGCTGACATAGCTTTTTTCAGCTCATGTTTGCCCACACAGAGACGTCTTCAACTGCATGCGTATGCTTGCGTATGCATGCGTGCCTGCTGGCATGCATGCATGCATGTATGACTGCAAAGAAGCATAGTCATTTTTATACAACTGTGCACATGCACACCTGATCATACATGTGTATATTCATGCTTGTGTCTTCGTTTGCATGTGTGCAGGCACCCCTGCCATGCAACAGACTCAAGGCACTGCAGTAATCCAGTCCGATACAAACAGCAAAACATGAGACACTTCACGTGCATCCATGCATGCATGCATACAGATACAGACATACATACAGACATGCACACATGCAGACATTCTGATTATGTCCGGAGGATTTGTGGTTTAGAGCAGCAGGTGAGGTGATCGGCTCGAAGCCAAAATGAGCTCGAATCTCCTTACCATCAGCGCTTCTTGTGCACCAGGATTTTGGTTCTTGAGCACAAGAGCACGGATGGTAATCAGATTACGAGGATGGAGTGTCAGGCGTCGCAGACGGTGCATAGCTTCCGAGTATGTTTTCCGAGTGGTACACGTGTCGCCGCGAGTGACCAAAAGGTGTGGTCTGCAGTCAGGATCATTCCAGTCGTCTTGTTTGTCGCGGTCATCATCATCAGCGCCATGCTTTTGCGACTCCTGCTGTTGCAGCTGCTGGCGCTGCAGTTGTGGCGAAGTGGTGATTGCTTTGCTATTTGCAGTCTGCTCGGTCGTTCTGTCTCCTGCCTTGATGGCCGAAGTTTTGCACTTCCGGCTTAGGGGCTGTGAAAGGGAGGGAAATATGATTACTAGCCATGGCCTGGCTTTCTGCAGGAGGTACGACATGCTGCAGTCCTTGCCATGCAAACGCCAGAGCCTCAAGAGTGCGGCTGCACCAGCGGATGTTCTTTGATCTGCCGCGAGGTTCCCAGGCGAAAACAAGGCCGAAGCTGTCCGGCCCTGAGGTACATCGAGACTGGGTTGCCGGAACACACAGGGCTGCCGCCAGAAACTCTACCATAAACCTTTCGGTGTCGGTTCATCGGCAGAGCTTCTGGTCGGCTCTTCGATGCAGGCCCAGCGCCTCTGCGTGGACGGCTTGCGCTACGAGAGCCTTGGCAGCAGAGATCCCGGGAGCAGAGTCCTTGTGCTCTTCGGTGGCGGTCATGTAATGTGGTTGTCCAGCCCTGCCGAAGATCGAAGGTTGGAGTCGCTGAATAGCAGGCTGCCTCGTTCTTGCGGGGCTGCTTGAGTCTTGAGTCTTGGGTAGATTGAGAAAGTTCAAGGGGCGTCTGCAGACAGCCGCTGTCTGGTTGACATTGAATGGTGTCGTTCCGAGTAATGGTGTCGCCGCAAGGAGTTGAAAGACACATGCTGCCCCTATGTTTTTTCGCCAGTCGGCGCAATGTGAAGAGTGCCGCGTGTGCTGCCCTCGCCCTGTGGGAGCCTCGATTCGCCATTGGCGAAGTCCTTGCAAGCGGGCGGTTGCTCGTGACGGGGGAGGCTGGGGCACGACGTTGGACTGCAGCGCGCTCGGATGAGTGGAAGCCTTGACTTTGATTGCTTTGGCCGAGAGCTGTTTAAGGCCGTACCTTCAGGATGTGCAGGCTTGCCTGCCTCAAGCTCAGGGAATGCTCAAAGCCAACGCCTGTCAGGGGAGCGCCCGGCTCTGTCTGTGCGATTCGAGGCGCGACCGCTCGAGCCTCGTCAAGAAGCACGCCGCCACGGTGCTTGCCGCCTGGGGCTCTCCGGTAGCACACCACGAGGCAAGCCCGGCATGCCTGCAGGCGGAGCGGACATGCGGCGTAAGTATCACACGCACACACATACACACATACAATCACGGGCAGTCCGGAGCTTCTTTTGAATTTGTTGGCCTAGATTCACAGCCTCTGCAGCCTTGTGGCTCTGCGGCTCCAGCTCCGGCTCTCTGCCTTCGGCCCATCGAGGCCGGCGCCGCTCCGAGGCTCGGCACTGGCAGTGTGCCCTAAACCCAAACCTTCGGCCGTCGCTGTGGGCCTTAGAAGTCCTCAAAATTCCTGTATTTAAGGGTTTAGGGTTTAGGTAGGGCTTGTAGGGTTTACAAGGGTTTTGGGTGTAGGGTTCCTGCCGTTGAGAGGTCATGGCATTGGTCGCGACCATCCGCAAGTCCAGTGCGGACAGCGAGGCCAGCACCGCCGCCCCTTGGACTCAAACGGAGTTCAGGCCGCAGTTCGGGGGGAGTCCGGCTTGGGTCGGCTTGAGGTTCCCGCCGAAGAGAACGAAAGACAGCAGCTTGGACCTAACACTGGCGGTTAAATGTGGCCACATGGGCCCGCCAGCTGCAATGTAGAATTGCTGCCAGGTCGTCTGCCCAGCCTCTGGAACCAGTTCTACTGGAGCAAGTGCTGGCAGGTGCCGAGACAGATCTGTAAGACCCATCAAGCGGCGGCAAGCTTACTTTTGCAGTTCTGGCGGTTGCCCTGGCCTGGATGGTGCCCCTCCCACTTTGCATGGGGCATGGCACCCAGCTCGCACGATTGTTTGGGAGCTTCGGGCACCGCAGACTCCTTCGCCAACTGCAGTGCTGAACACCTTCACAGGTGTGCCACTTTCCTGAAGGGTCGCCGTGGTGCGACTCCTGCGATTTTGCTGGTGCTGCTGCTTCGGTGCGGGCCTCAACAGATGTCGCCAAACCCGAGCAGTGGCAGCTGGGACTTGTCTCAGAGCCTTGTCCTTCGCACCAATCCGCTGCTGCCCATCAAGAAATCGTTCCGGTTGGAGATTCGAAGGTATGTTGTCATCCAGATTTGTGTTAGGCGGATGCGAGCTACGAGGCCTTGAATAGCAGAGTTCTCTCTATAGTTGCTACCCCGCAAAGTAGACGAGTGAAGTTGTCTTCCTCACACATGAGCCGCATGGGCCTCTGTTCTGCGCTGCAGCGCTGCGGCGCTTCCGCCTTGCCTGCCGCGGCTGTGGCCGCGCCTGTGACTGTTGCGCCTGCCGCGCCTGCCGCTGCCGCCGTGCACGAGACTTGCATCCAAGGAGGCCCTGGCAGAGGCGCGGTCGCGTGGCTTGACAGCGTGCAGGCGCGCGCGTTCGTGGTGTGATATCTGCCATCGCGCGGGCTCCAGGAGCCAGCGACAGCCAGCCACTTCAAGCGCTTCGCAGCAATGCAGAGGCATCCGGGCACCTATGCCAGGTGGCCAGACGCTTAAACATCTCGTAGCCCTTCCGACGTAGGCAGCAATGACCGAGATGGAAGCGAACTTTGACACGGGCAACTTGGACACTTCTGTCAGTGTGTTCACGATGAAGATCGCCAGAGATGTACCCATAGTATTTACGGAAAAGTATGCAGGCATCTTCGATTTCCTCGCTCCGGCGCCGGCAGCAGAGGTTGGCAGTGCGACGAAGGAAACTTGGGAGTTTCCGAAAATTGGGGGTACCTTATTTAGGGGTCCTTATCATAAGGAGCCTACTATTTAGGGCACTATAATTAGGGTCCCCTATTTTCGGAAACTCCCACTTGGCCTCCCTTTTGCTTTGAGGGTTTCGGTTGCTTTTGGCTCCCAGGCCGGCGGCCGGGATCTCCTGGATACGCTCCTCGAGAAGAGAAGCCGAGGTGCGGAGTCTTACCTTTGGTGAGTAGGGAATGGAGGAATGGGGTACAATTACAACTACTATCAGCAGGGAAGTATAACTACTATTACTACCATGCTTCCATTCCCTACTGACCAAAGGTAAGGAGTGCAGCGCGCGGGATGATATGCATTGGGCGTAGGAACCTGTGCGCCCAGAGTCTCACATGTGCAAGGCGCCATCGAGGATGTGGAAGGTGGTCGTTGGGCGACACACTTCTGGGACACTCGCAGTTCCTCGCGCACCCCGCAGTCGACGCCGTGAGGGAAAATAGCGATACTGCACGAAAGCTGCACGGAACATGCGAGGGTCCCGAATGTTCCTTTGTAAGCCCAGCGTGCTGGGATGAGCGACTCAGGTCTTATCGTCGCAGGACAGTGCCGAGGATCACTTCGTAGGCCTGGCTTGCCTTGGGTTACGAAGACATAGACTTGATATGATTAAAACAATATAGACTTCACCATTTCTGGAGTCTATCGACATGTCGATACTCTCCACAGATGCCGCTTGCGGCTGCAAGCCAAGCCCGATGCTGCCGCGGACTGCAGCCGATGGTCTGAGAGGTCAGCGACGAAGCCCTCCCGTTTTTTTCTCCTGCTTTGACCTGGAGGGTCTGTGGGAAGGCCTGTAGGTTCGTTTCAAGGGCCGCGGTGCCCAACAGGAAGCTGCTTTGGACTAGTGACTAGTGGGGGTTTTGTCAGAACGCAGTACGACCCGATAGTGCAGCATCTTCATATTATGCGTTCCAACTGGATGGGTAGTGTGTTTTTGCTTGGGTACATAGGTGGCGGTGCTGTTTGCTCAGAACTCCGCAGGGCACCAAGCCAATTCTGGTAGGCCGTGGTTACGCCGGTTTTCATATCCGAGGCCGGGCGAAGGTTCTGCTATGTTCAGCTCACCTTCTCGAAACCACGGGAACAGGAGTGGAACCATGCAGCTTCCGGTTCCTTAGGATCGAAGGACTTGCAGCAGTTCCTTCCGAGCCTTTAGTTTATGGAGTCCTCGGGTGTCGGAGCCTAAGTTTCAAGTTGGCCCGACCCTGGACACCCTCCGATGCATGTCGGAAGAAAACGATTTCTGGCCCCGACCCGACCTAGCCAACCGCAGGGTTTGACTGGTCGGACCTTGCTTTGGCAGCTTGGGAAGCGATGTGGCGATGTTTCTAGTCGCAAGTAGTCAGTTTCCTATATATAGGACGATCCTGCTGGCTTTCAACAACAAACCTCACATGAACTTGCTTGAACTTTGATGACCCCCCAAATCAGGAGGGAGGGGCATGCTTACAGGTTGCCCTTGGTGTTTGGAAACCTTGCCACATCGTAACTTGCTTGTGCGCGGCGCTCGGTCGTGTAGTTCAGACCAAGCAGCCACCTGGTATTTCGTTTTGTTCTCCATGTGTTGGGCTCCAGCTAATATCCGCATGTACTTAGTCATCCACATAGATCCCTCCTTGCTTCCAGCGACGCACAAGGCTGGACAACACAGAATATGTACCTGCAGGTCTTCATGGGGGCTTCAGTCGCTGGCTTTTGTTCACAGGCGGTGCCCCGACGGCTGCCTTGCGAGTCCCGGGACAGCATCCAGAATGTGAAGGGCCATGCCCTTAGAGTCTCAGAGATTCCGAGCACGACTCAAGACCAAGACGTCAGACAGTCGCGATGATCTGCCAGGCTTCATCACCGAGTTGTACGGCGTTCCCTTCCTGCGGCAGGCAGGCCCTGCCAGCGTGTTGGAAGCAAGAAATGAAAGCTGATAATTCCCCCCCCCCTCTCCCCCAGGACCTGTACTTCAATGGCATTCTCTTGCATGACGACGGCATCACCCTGGACTCGCTGGGAATCGACGACGAGGCTTGTCAATTCGTGTTGGGCAGGAATGTCGGCAACGAGCTGAACTCATGGTAGTACTTGCCAGCTCCTTGCATTGTCATCAGAGCTGTCACGTAAGCGCGAGATCAGATCGGTCAAACGATCACTGCGAAAAGTAATTAGTGCTAGACAAGCTAGTCAAGTCGGACTGTTACCACTTGAAGGTCGTTTGTATGCATATCCTATATTCCGCACGTGCGAAGTCTCCCTTCCGACCACCGACATTGTCTTTACTCTCATGCCACGTGCGTCGTTTCAGGTGCTCCTGATTCTTTGCTAGGATGCTTCGAAAAACGTTGCTCCTCACCTACCCTCCATCAGTAGGTTAAGCTTCCGGTGGCTTTGACATCTAATCTGCCTAAGTCGAAAGAACTCAGGAAGGAAGAACCGCAAGGGATATTGTGTTACGATGTTGGCCAGCCCGCGTCAGCCCTCGACACATCGGCGAGCGTGCATTGCATGTGTGGTGGTGAGTGTCCAAGCTTCGGACAGGATGAGCTCGCTGTGCGCCCCAAGCGCCGCCAGGGTGCGCTGTTGCTTGGTGCAGCCAAGACCGCTCGAGCAGCGCGCTGGGCTCTCATGGGGTTCCTTGAGTGGTGATGGTGCCAGACTGCTCCACGGCTTTGTTGGGCTTCGCACGCTGCGGCTGAGGTTCGGGCTCTTGGAGCACAGGGGATGCCCGTGGCAGCTTCGAAGCGCCAGTGGCTCAAGAGATCCGACGCGTGGCTCGGAGAGTTGCAGTCAAGTCGTAGCCGCAGCCTGAGGCAGAAGGTCTTGCAGCTGCCCGGAGGAGAGGTGGCCTTTCAGGTGCCGGCCCGACCAACATGTCACCGACCACGTGTTTTGACACCCCTGTGCGCCCTTAAGGCCCATTTCAAGTTAGCCCAGGCCTAAGGAGCACGATCCTAGGGTGCCAGCAGCGGCTCACTTTGCATGCAGTGGCCCTATGTGTACGCAGCCGTACTGATGCATGTGCTGGGACATCGCCCAGTCCACTCTTGAAAGTCCATATTATCACTTTCTGTAGTTCAGGTCTGTGAGCAGCACATGCCGAGAGTAGAGTTCGTGCAAGGCCTCGGCCATAAAACTACGACGAGTAGCACGCTGGATCAGCAAGTTACATAGCCTAGCTCAGCAAAAGAGATCTACACTCTATACCCTCTATACCATACCGGTGCTAGGCAATCGCCGTCCGAATGGATCGCTTCCATCAGCCAAGCCACAGGGGCCCAAAAGCCCAGAAGAAGGCCGAGAAGTGCATCTCGACCTGGCGAAAAGGAAAAGGTCCCAGAGATGAGCGACCCAATTTGGGGAAGGTGAGCAATGTCTCATTGCTGAAGGGTTTGGCATCTAGAACTGCGGTTCTTACAGACAGGCCCCTTGGTATGCCAGGGGATTCGGAAGAGGCGGTTTGGGTGGAGTACTTCCGCGGAGTGAAGACCACTTGGCGGGTGTGCTTCACTGTCAAGAACTTCACGCTTACGCAGCTTCTGCAGCGCCAGAACGAGTGGCTGCAACTCCGGCAGGCTATCGTGACAGCGACGCGTTATGGACTTCAGAAGTCCTTGATTCGGGAACGCGGTGAGTTCAGGGCCCCTGTGTCGAAGATCGTCGTGGAGGCCGTGAGGCTGTTGAGTGAAAATCCCAAGGGGGACTCGGGAGTAACCTTTGCCACCAACGTCTTCTTGGAATGTGCTGCAGAAGATGAGGCAGAAGCTGTGGTGCGCAAAGCCATGAAAAGCAGCGGCTTGAAAGCGGACTTTGCCGAGGTCCTCACCGGCTGCCTGCGACAGCTGGAACGAGGCCCTTCGGTTTCTGCAGAGGGGGTCACCGTGGCCCAGGAGCTGCCAAGGGAGATCGAGCTGAGGGGCGGTCACGGGGAGCAGCTCTTCGTGGCAGCCGTTCCCGACTGCAGCCGTGCAGCTAACCACGGGCTTTGCGAAGGCTTCGAGCTCCTGGCCGTGGTACTCGGACCTCCCGGGGAAAAGAAATCTATCCAGGAAAAGGCTTTGCAGGCCCTTCGCAGCGATCAGGTGGGGGATTCTTGGCATCCCAGTTCCCGAGAAGTGGTAGCGAGGATCGGGTAGAAGATCGTGTGGTTGGAGCAACAGACATCGAACTGGGCACCCCAATCCCCACATAGGAGTGTAGCCTTGATAGGTGCTGTCCAAGCTGGCGCCGGTTTCGGTCCGGCTCTGCTTTCGGAGTCCCTTTGCCAAGCTCCCGCGCTTTTCCTCCAAGCAGCTGGCCGATCGCATGGGCCCCTCGGACAAGGGGTAGTATCAGCGTTTGAATTATAGTATTAGTATCAGAGTTAGTATGAGTATTAGTATTCTGCCTTCGATTCTTCGATGTCTTGCCAAGGCTTCGGGAAGATCCGGGAGCCGCTCGGCAGGGAAGGGGAAGGACTGGGAGGCTCAGGGCTCAGGGTGGGGCAGAAGGGCGCCTCTGAGGCTGCACTTCCACCGGCTCGTAGAGAATTTGAAGTACGACTGGCGACCGCTGCACTTGGAGAAGCGCCATGAGCTGCGGCAGCTGGAGAGGGCCTGTGATGCAGATGACTCCGGTCGTGCGATGCTCGTGGAAAACATCCAGTGGGGAAGCCGTGAGCTGCAGAGCGACTCGATGCTGCGCTTGAACTCTCGGGCCGACTTCCTTCTGATGTCAGAGCTCGGTGAGCTTCCCCTCCCCGAGAAGCTCGAAATCGGAAGGCCCCGCGACGCTCGGAAGCTTCGGCTGAAAGGCCTTCGGGAGGCCTTGCGGGAAGCGGGCATCCACTGGCTCCGCGAGCCGGAGGCAGGTGCGTAGAAGTCGGGCTGTTGTTGTTTTTCGGGTTCCAACTTGGGCGATCGGCTACTTGTATCGGGGGTTCGACACAACAGGCACTAAGTTACTCTGCCATGGGTTCCAGCAGCCAGCCCGTGCTTTCAGGAAGAGATGCTCCTTGAGGTTCTGCAGAACGAGCGCTTCAAAGGAGATGATGAAAGCGGCGAAAGCTGGGAGGAGGGCTTGGCCGATGCTTTCGTCATCGACTCGGCAGGCCACTTCGCGAAGATTGGCTCCGGAACTTTGAGGACTCAGGGCCGTTTAGGGCTGTTTAAGGTATTACGAGTGTTCCCATACCGGATCACGAAGGGTTCCGATAAACCTCATAAGGTTTCCAATGAACCTCAGGACACATCATGTTTTCCACGTGACCAAGAAGATCACAGAGACACTGCGCTGCAAAGCAGAGGCGAAGGGAGGAATGCTCCCTGCATCGATCTCGAGATCGGAGTTTGCCAGCATCCTCAACGCGGGAAGCATCATGTGGCTGACCCGAGAGCAGATGGATGTCATCTTCTCTGTGATTGGAGGTCAAGATGCAGAGGCCGGCAACCTGCGACCATCTTGAGCTACTTCGGCCCACCCGCACCCACCCCGACCCCAAACTCCCGGAGTCCTAGCAGAGTATCTCAGCAACCTTTGCTTGCCGTTGAATAAAGGCCGGGATCAGCCTCAGCGACTGGGTCTCCCGCTTCTCCTGGGATCCGATGCAGGCGGCCACGGAGGTGCAGCGGGTTCTGGATGTCTGGGCCCGGCGCTTTGCCGACAGGTCCGTGCCGTACTTCAGGGGCTGGAGTGTGCAGAACCAGGGACGCGCCGCCTATTACCCCCCTCCCCGGCCTCGAAGCTTGCGCTTCTGGGATTTCCATATGGTGCTCACGGACATGGGGGTGCACTGGCTGAGCTTAGAGCAGCAGCGCCTCTTGTTTCAGTCGCTGGACGCGAATCGAAATGGCCGTGTGGAGGTGGAGGAGTTGCAGGTTTTCGCTGACAAGAGGGTGGAAGTTGAGATGAAAAGGGTGGAGCGCATGGCCTCGGCGGGAGAGGATGACTCAGATGTTGAGGAGGTTTCAGAAGACCGCGTCCAGACAGGGGTCGCGGCCGAGGCGGAGGCAGAGGAGGAGGAGGAGGAGGCTGATGCTGAGGTTGCGGACGAGTCCAGGGATCCCGATAGCCCTGCAACGAAGTACACAGCTTCTGAATTCTACGACGAGGCTTCTGATACTCCCCAGGAGCACGGGGAGGTGCCGAAGGAATCCGAGGAGAGTCATAAGATGCAGCAAAGCCTGCAGCTCTCCGAAGCCCCGAGTGGTGACTACAGCGGTTCCCTCTCGCAAAGCGCGAGTCCTAAGAGTGCCGGTCCTGACAGCCCAGCAAGCGGATACCCCGACTCTTTCGAAAGCCCCTGAAAATCAGCGTGCTGCGGGTGCTCCCAAGTTGTTGTGAGTCACAGAGGTGCAAATCAGACTCCGACCTGGGCAGGTCAGCTCTGAAGGCCGATGAAGTCGAAGCCGCTGTGAGAGCTGAGAAGAAGCCAAAGGGGCCAACGTGCCCTGCCTGTTGCTCTGGCTGGCACGCAAACCTGGCAAGCCGGCAGGCAATCAGGACCAAAATCAGCTCTCTGCTCTCGCTGATGTTCGGCATGTCACCCTTTGGCGACGTAGCCACTGTCATGCCAGAATGCGCACGCCGTCATCCAAGAGCTTGGCCGCATGGCAAGTCGGCTTCTGAGAAACCCGGTCAGCTTCCTGTTGGCGTTGGCGTTGCGCCTCGGGGTACTTGTCCGCCGAGTTGGCGATCGCGATCCCACAGTGAGGGCCGCTTCCTGCGATGCGCCGGGGCCGAAGACGCCATACTGACACGAGAGGGGCTTTGCTCGGCTCTTGTCGATACCCAGGCTTGGCAATGTGCTGGCCAAGGGCTCAGGAGGAGACCTTGCCCGAAGGAGTTACTTCCACTCCTTCCGGCTTTTCCTAATCCCCAGCCCAGCTTCTTCCTGCGTGCGTCATCGTGTAGTGGAGATCCTTTGGACTGTGTGGAGCCTTGCCTGCCTTGTGCGAGTGTGAGCGTCGAAAACCCCAGCCCTATCCCCATCAACCCTAAGGACGAAGTATTGCCAGGCAGGGAAAATGCACCAAAGTCGTCATGCCCCACTCCCACTCCATCCGACGCTCACAGTCCCAGAGTCCCAGAGTCGCGGAGTCCCAGAGTCCCAGGAAGGTGCACCGGAGCTCCCGCCGCTGCCGCGGCCCGAGGAGGAGGAGGAAGAGGCGGCCGCCGAAGGTGAGGCCGGGCCGCGCGCTATATCGGATGCATGACATGAGGGACTCTTTGCTGATCTACCGCAAATGTGTCGACCGCTTCGCCGATGCTTCTTTCTCGCTTGAAGGCCACAGCCGAAGCCGATGCCAAACCTCCGGAGGCAAGGTGGCATCTCAAGATACTCCCAAAAAGAGAGGATTGCCCGATGATTCAATTTCCCTTCTTTCTGGTTTCTGTTGTTTGCCTTTGGCGCAGTAACCAGCCGGTCGGAAAAGTTAAATGCGCAAGTCACCTGCAAGCCTAGGAGCACATCAAGTTTCAAGCTGCCATTTCTCGCTTCTTACTTCTGCTGTTCCTCCGCAGCAGCAACAGCCAGCGCCAACAACAAGCAAAGAGCAGCTGGCAGGATGACGATGACGACGAGGAGCATCATGATGATGATCACGATGGTGATTGTGGTGGTGGTACTGTAGCTGTGCCTGAGCTCAAAAATGTCTTTACAAAGAGCGATGACAGCAGTTGCAGCGGCAGTGGCTGCTGCTGCCATGGTCGCTAGCCGTGTTTTTTGATCGCCAATGCTGTGGTGGACGGGCACAGGATCAGGAAGAAGAGCGACAGTGGTAGTCTGTCGCGGTCGTGGTCGTCGTGGGTATGGATTTAGGAATAACTACGGCCAAAAGGCGAGAGGAATGACAGGAGACCGCAAACGGAACAGTCAGGCTACTTGTAAGAAGAAGTGTGTCGCTTGTGTCGCCTCTTGCTCTGAGCAGCAGGAAGCAGATGAGGAAGGAAAGGCCGCGTGCTTGGTCCCGAAGACAGCTCAGAAGCGGCTAAAGTTGCAGTAGTTGGGAAGAAGATACCGTAGAAAAATGAGGGGAGCTCCTAGACTTTGCAGAAAGAGCTAAGGTCCACCAGGTGTATGTGTGTGTGTGTGTGTGGCAAGATCATAAGGTGAAGGCAGCGGTGAAATTCGAGAAAAGCTGTTTGCATCTCATCTTCCCTCGCGGTAGGGACGACGCACACCTGGATTCCCCCGGCTCCGACATGACAGTTCGTTTCGGCACTGCCATCATGGGAGGACCGTGACGTTACCCATGCTGAGGCCGATGCAGAAGGGGAAGATGCGGAGCGCTGCCCTTGTCTTCGAGTCACTTCTATCAGTCCCCCATTGGTTGTGCGGTTGCCAGATCTTGCTGCGATCAAGTTATTCTGTGGGGAGCATTCCGCCGCTCCGAGCTCCGATTCTTAGCCGCTCCCTCCCCCCACCACGCAAGCTGCGAGCGAATGCGAGCGATAGCGTACACAGGAACGGCTGAACTGGACTGCGTTGCGCAGCAAGCCAGCATAGACCAGCTCTGCTCTTGCTGTGTCCAAGGGCTCGGCCGAGAGCTCGAACGCGCACAGACACGGACGAGGCCACCGGGGAGTTAGCAATCATCTGTGTAGGAATTCTCTTTGTGTACACGGTGGGGTAGTGTAGACGTAGCGTGTCCACGCATATCGCAAGCTTGATATGGCGCTACACCGCAATGCCTGTCTGAACCTCACCGTCTGTGTTCTCGTGTGTCGTGCTCCACCGAGAGGCCCGAGACAAACACAACCTGGTGCAGTTGTCGTTCATTTTGGGTTCGGAATCTCCCGCAATCCATGTGTCCCAGCAGCCTGCCGTCAGGATACCACACAATCCCACAGAAATGTCGGACCTCGGGCAACTATGCTCGTCGTTTCGCGGGTAAGGTAGCCATGCAAGTGGGAGAGGAAGTTTCGAGCCCAGCCCTGAACAGGAGTTGCAGCCGTTGGCTGTATCCGTGCGATACATTGCGCGGCTGCTTCAGAGCGACGAGTACGCATGCGCCCAAGTCGTGGCTCTAGGTGTTGTCCATACACGTGAAGCGTGTCGAGGCGTGGGAATCATTAATACAGCATTGTATTGCAGTACAGTAGCAGGCTAGCGTGGCAACATGCAGCATAACAGTATAGCACAGTATGGTATAGTATATAGTGTAATCGGTACAGTAGGATCCGAGCCTTGGTTCAAAAGTAGAGTAGAGTAGAGTATAGTGCAGTATGGTATAGAATAATGAGTGTAGTATAGTATACATGTCAGGTTGCACTAGGGCTTTGCTTTCAAGATGTTCGGGAAACCTCATGCAGCTTTCAGATGGCTGCCCTGGAATTTCCCCCACTCTGGAGCTTCAGACCCCTGGTACATCCATGTGGTTCGCGGGGGAGTCGTCTTTTTTGGAATGCTCTCCCATCCAAGAAGTCCTAGCGGGTTCAAGACCTGAGACCTGCAAGCCACATGGCACAGGATGAACCCCAAACCTCAGAAGTTAAGATTGCGCTTCTGTTGGCGATGAGCCATGGCATCCTTTGGCCGCAAATCCAAAGTTGCGAAGCCGGGCGCTGTCTCCAGCAAGACCACGGAAGAGAAGAAGGCAGCGGAGTGCGAAGAGGGCACAAGGATTCAGAGAGAGGTATGCCCACAGATGCAAGACCTTACTCCTAGCAATCCGAAAACTGCCGAATCATCGGCAAGTAGACATTGTTCTATAGTGAACACATTACCGCAACTGCCAGAAAACGAGCTCGTGTTTCTGTCAACAGCAAGCAAGACCCTTGACACGAGCCCGATTTGAACCCGCCTGTCCGCCAAGTTGACAGAGTCGAAGCCCACTCTGCGCAGCCCAAAGGCCTTGGTTCCCACTAGAGCAAAGTATCGAACACAGGTTCTCGTCTGGCGCAGTCCGAGTTGCGAGAGCGTAAAATTGAAATCCACAAAAAGAACATGCAGCAAAACAGCCCTATGAGCTCAGGACCGCGTGTCTTTAAAGGAGCTGCTGGCCGAAGAGGAGGAGAGGGAGCGCTTTGCAGACGAGCCGCCAGGACGAAGCAGCTGGCAGTTTCTGATCTGGGGTTCAAGGCTTGGGTTTAGGGATTGGGTTTACACTCAAAGTCCGTGCTTAAGAAGGGTTTGGGTTTAGAGTTTGAGTTTAGGGTTTAGGGTTTAGGGATAGCGTCTGGGTTCAAAAAAGGGTTCGAGGTTTAGCCTCGTTGTGGCTTTGGAGTTTAGGGATGAGGATTCTGGTCTTACGGTTTGGACTCAACGGGCTTTTGCGTGCATGCAGTGTTTGTGGGGGTTTAGGCTTGACAGCCGATTTAGGGAGCAAGGATTTGGTGGTTGCATAGATTTTCTCAGGTGTTGTGGGATTTAGTAACTTAGTCGCTTTTGTAGTCGTAGCCTCTTTTCCTGCCGGCAGTTGGTGGGTGTGTATGTGCAGTTGAGCAGTTTGAGTGAAGCTCGTTCTTGAGACAGAGTCTGGTGCACGGACCCTTTCCAATAATGAAAAGGCCAATTGCAGGGGTTGTAGGGGCTAGCTGTGGCTGCTTTCCCGGGAAGTGCTAGGTCTCGAGGGCTCGGCGGTCATATGCACTCCCTTTCTCTATGGTTGGCACCTGCTTGTTGGCTTGTCACTACCGAGTGCATATTGTCCCCGGGGCCTTCTCTCGAAGCTGGTTGACGAGTTCTGACGAGTTCCCTGCGGTGCGACATGTTCAGCTGGGCGGGTGGCAAAAACTTGCAGACACCTTACGAAACTTCAAAGCTTGAGTCTGAGATAAGATCCCGGTAGCAAGCGAAGTTTTGAGGGTTACTTTTGGATTGTCATGATGGTACATACGAAACATGCAAAGACTGCAAAAAGAAGTAAATGAATACTAAGCAACCCACAAATAGCTGAACAATTAGATAAACCAATCATGTCAAAGACATGCAAAAACATTTGTCCATATGCACATACACTGTACTGAAGCTTCAACATTATGTGTGTGTATATGTGTGTATATACAGATAGGTACATACTTACACACCTACAGGCAGATGCAGATGCAGATCTAGAAGTGAGGTTTGACAAGAAGGAGAAGGCCGCTGAGCAAGAGCGCCAGAAGCAGAGCAAGGACTGCTCTGCCTTGGGTTAGGGGGCTTAGGGCTTAGGGTTTTGGGGCTAGGGATTTAGGCGAGGCGTAGGCCTGTTGCCTTGACAAGTGGTAGGGAAACGAAACCAGGTTCCCTCCCTTCCCTTGCTCTAATGTGCCCCAGAATAGGGTGGAAAGCCATTCTACTGACGCGGTGTCTTGAAACTGACGAGTGAGCAGCAGGATCAGGATCGGCAGAAGGAGGAGCAGAAGAAGGCGGCTGAAGCGAGGAAAGGCAAACCGAACCCAGTCGTCTTTCTGGAAATTGAGGCGGGCGGCTTTGGGGCGGTGATGCAGCACTGCGCCCTAGAGCGAAACATCCGAAGATATCCGAAGAACTCGCAAGCCTACATGTCGAAGCTAAACACCCTGAGCCCTGTGACTTCAGCGAGACTCTCAATGCCTGCGTTATAGACCATGCTTGATCAAACGGCTTTGAAACGTGGGTGTGGGTGTTCGAAACAGATCGTGGCGCCAACTGTAGGGTGGGTCGGCTTACTGGGGAATTTTGCCGAGCACAGCGACACTTCAGCTCATTGCCAAGACCCCAAGATTTCATGGGTGTGTCTGTGTTACGATATTGGATTGCATGACGCCGCGTCCTTCTGGTATTCGGGCTGCCTTCTGCAGCAGAAGCCAAAAACGTAGGGGATGCTCGTTTCCAGCCAATCGACTATCCAATGGTCTCCCCAATCTGGGAGTGTCCGAAAATTAGGGGTACCGTATTTTGGGGTCCTTATAATAAGGATCCTACTATTTAGGGTGCTATATGTGGGTCCCATTTCTCCGAGAACCCCAGGGCCGAGTCCGCGAGGTGCGTGGCGCCGCCGGCTATGGAGAGCGACAGGGCCGTGTGGAGGCCTCTGGCCGCTTGGAGATCGTGGCTCGCATGCAGTGTCGTGAAAGACACCCCCCGTACAGAATGAGTCGGTATGTATATATATATATATATATGGCAGAACGTAACATAGTGTAGAAGAAATACCCGAATGTGATACGTCACAGTGAGAAGTTACATAATGTACCAATGAAACTAGATGTACTATACTATAGACATCCTATCACACCGTAGAGTACATTCTGGTGTAGCCTAGTCCAGCCTAGTAAAGTACAGCATCAAGTACAATGCAATATAATACAAGACAGTCTGATTCAACTAAACATAGCGGAAAGATAAGATGAACCAAGACCAGATAAGACAGCATAATGCTGTAGAAGCATGGCTGACGCGCCATTTCCCTCATGCCATCTATCCGAAGCATTGAGTGCAGGGACTTTTGAAGTATGCTTCTGCGGAAATGCCCGGCACTACTGGTGCAAATGAGTGTTCGTGCCACAGCCCACCTGAGTCAAGAATGACTGTGACCTAACCGTTCTGCGTGTGAGTCCGCAGACGCAGAGTTCGAGGTCATCGTCTCCGGTTGTGGGATGAGTGTTCCACTAGAGTTTAAGATCTGATCTGAGCACCATCCAAGGAGCTCTTCGCAGACGTCGTGCCGCGAACGGCAGAGCTCTCAGTCCCAATGGGCCGACAGCGTTGTGATGATGCAGCTTTGCGCTCCTCCGAGCAATGTTTAGGGTGTGGGTCGTTGAGCTAAGGCAGAGAACTTCCGTTGCTTGTGCACGGGCGAGAAAGGTGGAGCTCAACGACATAAGAAGATGAATCCCTTCCGAGACCTTTTGACAGAATGACTTGCGATGCGCCGCATGCCGTGACGGTTTAGTCAAGGCAAGCCTAGCCGTAGAAAGTCATAGGCTGCCCATGCCTCGAAACTCACAGTCTCAGATTCTTTGTGATGTTTGAAGCATTTTGACGGATGACATTTGCTGCGCCCTCTGGTCAATACGACTTGTTGCTACCTGCAGGCCGGCATCTACATTTCCAGGGCTCGGTGTTCCACAGGATCATCCCAGGCTTCATGGCGCAGGGAGGAGACATCACGGATGGCGATGGCACAGGACCTTGTCTTCTTTCTCACGGATGTGAGTCGTTGGGATGATGCTAGCCGTCTCGAGGAGGGTTGTCCATCTACGGCCCTAAGTTTGCGGATGAGTCCTTCACCCGGCTGCACGCTCGAGCTAACTTGCTCTCCATGGCGAACTCCGGGCCGAACACGAACAACTCACAGTTCTTCATCCTCTTTGGACAGGTGCGCTGAAGTTAAAGGGCAGCGTCCACGATTGGGTCACGCGCGCACACACACCCCGTAAGCTTGTCTGATTGGTTTGAGAGCACGGCATTGCCTGTTCGGGTTCTGTTTCCGGGCCTCGTGTTTGCCAATTCCTGGAGGCGAGGCACCTTGACCGGAAGCACGTGGTCTTCGGCGAGATCCTGCGCGAGGATGGCCAGGCGGAGCCAAGCCAGTTGCGGGAGCACTGAAGCCGGCTCAGATGTCTGGCGAGCCTCGGTCGAAGGTCATGAAACGACTTCAGGACTGCGGCTCGCAGTCAGGCGAAGTCAAAGGCGCGGTGCTGGGGAGTACAGCTTGGCGGCACACTGCCTCGAGAGTAGACCACACATGATCTGGTAGCTCTAGAGCATGAGGTCGTCATGTGAGTCTGCCATGGATGTCAGGATCTGTGGTCATCAGGTCCTGTGGAGAGCTGAGTGGGAAGGCTGACGAGCAGCACTCCCGCGAGCGCTTCCGGCGCTCGCGCAGCCGCACTCGCTCAACGAGCCGGCGCCGGAAGCAGCGAAAATGCTACATCTAGCTGTTTTAGCTAATGTCCTACCACATCATGAGGTCTTGCTATATCACGCAATTACACCTTCTATGACACTGCATTGAATCGGACATGCTTGTTTACGTCAAGTTGCGGGTGCTCCCGTGCATTTCACGTTTCAACGTTCCAGCACCCCCGAGCTGCCGCTAGCTCAGCGTGGCTCGTATGTCGCTGCGAGGGCCAGGCTTCTGGAGGTGCCCGGGGTCGCGATCGGAGGATCTCCATCGCATCGACGCTCCAAAAGCGCAGCCGCAGCTTCGATTGGCCGCGGCAGAACTTTTGCCGAACCTTGGCCAGCATGCGCGAGTGACTTTGCACCTTCCAAAGCAGTGGTCCACCGAGACATCGTCTTTCAAGAGCGGCGAAGAGAGATAAAAGCTTGTTGGCGCTTGTGTTTCTGTAGGACAGGGTTTTCTGTTCTATCGGGTTCCTGTTGGACCTTGTTTTTCGGTTCAAAGGGTTTTCCCTTAGAGTGAGCGTTCTGGTAAGAGCAGGGCTTAAGCGTTCTCATTTTGAACAGCTAACCTTTGACTCGATCAGACACTCTCTGAACCTTGAAGCTCTCCTAGTCTCTCTCTGTCTCTTTGTCTGTTCCTTTCAGACATATAGAAATACAAGCAGGCACACCTAGCCACATGCTTACACAGTACCATCGACTAGCACAACACAGCCGAGCACGTCTCGAGGAAGCTTCCCAGCATCTTGCGGCAGTTTGGAGAGGCCCAAAGCTGTGGCGCAGTCGCATTCGCGCCGCCAAGGCCAGCGTGCGCCGCGCAGCGGCTGCTGCTCTGGGAACAATTGGCCGGCTGCTAAGAACTGCGCCAGTAACCCTACTTAAACTCCGTATTAGGGTTCATAATCAGAACCTAGACAAAGTAGGGTTTGGTAGGTTAAGGTATATCTCGAAATGCCATTGCCGCTGCCCGTTCTCATCTCGTTGGGAACAGTCTTGCCTGCGCAGTCCTGTGTGCCGGCTCTGGCTAAAGCGAATTTCAAGCCCCGGTTGGAGCTGGCAGGGCGATCAAAACGGAGAGCACCGATTGGTTGGGTTATGCGCAGGAATCAACAGCAGCGCAGTGTCGTGCAGTCGTGAATGCGCAGGTGACATATTTCTCCGCATTCACTCCTTTTCAGCATTTGTGCGAAAGGTATTCGGGGTGTGGCGTGCAGCCAAATTAATCCCAGCTACGCGCTAGAATGTAAAACGTGCCCGCTCCACGTTTCATGCAGATGGCACTGGCCAGAAGTGCGACGCATGCGCCGCTGGTCCGCGGGACATCCGGCTTGCCATGCAGAGTTCGGCTCCCACCTCCGAAGCTCGTGGCCAGTGGCTCAGTGTCTTGTGATAGGAAGCTTTTGAAAACCAGTGCATTGTTTTCGGCATCCGTAACCCCTGTAACCCATAGACGCGAGCTGCATTACGAATTAGTTGCATATCTGTATAAATATATATATATATATATATATATAACTACATATATATATATATATATATATATATATGTATATGTATGTATGTATATATATATGTATATGTATGTATGTATATATATATATGTATATGTATGTAAATCTCTCTCTCTCTCTCTCTGTCTCTCTTTCTCGAGTGACAGGCCGTGGGCCATCGCCTCGCCGGGCCAGGCAGTGCTCGAGTGCCAGTGGCCCTCGGCCTGGCCCTGCTGGCGGCAAAGCGAGGCACTGCCCCGTGGACTCAGAAGTGCAAGACTCTAACATAGGGGCCTTAATAGTTAGACTAGGGTTTTGGGACCGATTATACTTTATAAGTATAAACTATAGTATGTATACCATTCGTCGAGTCCGTCGAGTCCTTGCCGCTCGCCGGGAGGTTCGCGGCCTCTGCGGGCTGCAGACGCCCGCAGCGAGGGTGCGGCACGGAGCTTGGCGGCCTTGCAAGAGAGGTTCAACGCTGCTTGGCTGACAAGATTAATCGTGCTTCTCCAGAATACGAAACAGTTGTCATGATGCGTTGCTTTTGCGGCGAAGACTTCATGATGCTACATGTCATAGGTCAGCACGTGAACCACCAGGTTTACGAAACTTCGGTGTTGCTCAGGCTGCACAGGTTCCTTGTTGGTGTCTCCGTTGAGAGGGTGCTTGCAGACTCCAAATCGTGGTCCTGCAAAGCAAAGCATTCGGCACGTACTGACGACTCTCCTCAGAAATCAGTGTTTCGACATCGCTTCCCAGGTCGCTGCCCCTTCCTTCGCATCCCTCCTTTTGCATGAGTTTTGCTAGTGGCCTATGTTAACTGATGAGAGTTTCCTAAGCCGGAAGCTCGAGACTTGACCAAACCATGCGGTGCTAGAGGATTTTAGCATAAGTTAGATCGGGCACTTGAACCTTCAGTGTCCGAAAACACTCAACTGAAAATCCTGAAAACGCAGACGCACGGCACATTCTGCCGAATAAAAGGAGCGCGACCCGGTGACCCGACTGTGTCACGGAGTAGTTAACGACAAAAGCCGGTGGCTTTACAGGCGAGATCTCCAGTCCTCCAAGCGTACACCGCTGTTGTAAGCAGAGCCCTCACCTCATCAGCCATGCTGTAAGAGGTGAAAACCCAGAGCGTAGAACTTCCACCCAACCCTATAGGCACTAAAACCCAAGAGCGAGAGCGAGAGAGAGAGAGCGAGAGAGAGACAGGTGAGGGGGGAAATCCCTCTCACCATAGCCCTGGCGAAAGAAAGAGAGAGACAGAGACGAATTTCTAAACGCAGAGCCCAGCTGAGGATGTACCGGAGGAGGAGCTGCTGCGCTTCGCCCGGGCGCGGTGGAGAGATCCCGACACTGCTCTCGTCGCCTGCCTTGACTTCATGGACTCCGACTAGCAACTAGCAGTAACAGAAAGCATTGTAATGAAAGAGAATGTGCGCCGGATTCGTTGCTTGCCAGAGCCAACAGCAATGCAGCGCTGCAGCCCGCCCCCGTCAACGTCGAAGTACGCAGGAAGTATGTCATCACACCCGTGGAGTGCAAGACGACAGCGATAGCACTGCCCGCTGTCAATCTGAATAGTGACTCACGAGAACAATGACTACAGTTACCTAGTGTTGCCTAGCGTCCAGTCGAAGCCCCCCGCGCGGCAACAAGGCGATGTTCAGCGAACATCGGCGCTGGAGACAGGGCAGCGGGCACCCTGAACAGCTTCAGACCGCCCTTGCCAAGACACCTGAGGGGCGCCCGGCCTGCGAGATTTCTGAAGGAGGCCGAGATGAACAGCAAGTTTCCTTTTCCCGAGGTTCTGTGCCTCAGGGCCCAAGGAGCCGGGTGCCTGCGATGGCACGCGGGTTCTGCTGGTGCAAGGGGCCCGCTACCAGCTGGGAGCCGCCGAGCCAGAGGCACGAAGCACAGAGGGGAGAGTTGATTGAATTGATGTACAGCCTTGGCATTGATGGCTCTGTCGGCATTGCAGCATGGTGATCGCGCTCTGCTGGCAGGAGTACACGCTGGGCATCTGCAGGGTATTGGATGAAATATTTGCGGATGCCGGTGATGAGGAGACGCCCGACGGCAAAAACCTACCAGATATTTCGTTTGGCTTTGTCATTTGTGGTGGCCCTGCCAGCAGATTTGCAGAATCATGCAGACAGAACGTCGATGTTTTCCAGCAGCGAAGAGAGAAGGCGCTAGAAAGTCACTAGAACCAACCTGCACCGCAAGTCTTCCCTGCTAGCTGCTAATTGCACTCGAACTCCTGTCGCTGAATATCGTCTGTGCATGAGTATTGGTGGGATCGGTGCGGGGCAGTCCTGAGAAAGCAGTGCCGAAGCTTCTCAATGTCTTGTGACCTGTGAAAGTGCCATGAAGTGCTCTTTTCGTGTAAGAAGTGTGAGAGAGCAAGGGCCCGGGTTACGGTGCTCATCGACGTACGCCGGGGCGAAGGCTGGCCGAATCCACCGGCTTGGGACTCAGCAGACTCAGTCGGGGCTCCTCAGCTCCTTTGCTTCCTTTTGGCTTGTTGAGGCGATCAAGCTGCTTCCCTTCATCCAGGCATGTGCTCGCATCATCTCGGCTCACTATCCTGAGCGCCTTCGCCGCTTGAGCCTTGGCCGCCCCCAGAGCAGAGAAGCCCCGGAGCCATTCGCTCTGCTTGGGACTGCGAGGATTATTTACCCGGTGCCCTGGGTTGCGACCATGATTCTGAAAATTGCCGGCAGCTCATTCGAGCCGCCTGAGCAAAGCAAAGCAAAGAGGGATTTCAGACAGCATCAAAGTCCGATAGACAACAACACCTAATGTGCAAGACAAGGTGAAGAAGCTACTGGACCCAGTAACCTTCAACAAGATCGTGGCCATTGCCGGCGACGACCAGATTGGATCTCGTTGTCCAGCGGCTGAGCTCCGAAAGTATGTGGTTAAAGAAAGCTTGCCTGAGCATGCTTGGCCGATGCATGACGGTCTTTGACAAACGTCAAAGAGCCGGACGGTGCTTTTCGGCCCCTTGCAAATAGAACACTGGCCTCTGCGGCTTGCGGCCTGCAGGGCCTTGCACCAGTCGGATCCGCGTGTGTGCAGCACGCCGGATCGTTTCAAATCCTGCCAGAAAACGCGCCAAGCATCTAGAGGCCAGCCACAGGACAATCGATGGAGCAAACACCGGGCTCGTTTGTGCAGGTGGGGACGTGTCTGTCGGCGACTCGGTTGCTGTGTGACGCTGTTCCCCCGGCTTTGCCAATAGACCATGAAATTGTGAAAGCTCTGAACGCAAGCCATGGCCCTCAGGGCTATGCCCTTGTGGCACTAGTTGCCCAAGTGGCACAATCGTTGTCCTGCTGTCTCTGAGCCTCCACGAAGCATACTCTGCAAGAAAGAAACCTCACTCTTTCACGCCTCATGACGGCTTGACATCGCACATTCGGTTTTTGGCACCGGTGACTCCACATAGTTATCCTCAGAGCCAGAGCTCTACTCCCTCACCGCCTTCCTTGCCAGATCGTGGTTCCCAGATTTTTCCGAGTGCAGAACTTGTAGTTGCAAGTGCAAAGCCAGATTTTGCCCAGTGAGGCCGCTCAGGCAGAGTGCCTTTTCGTGGCCACCCTTCAGGACCCCAGCAAGGAGGCCAGCCATCTGCTCTAGACAGTCAGGATGCTCGGCGCGGCACTGCAAGAGCGCATGTATGTGTACCGACGCACGTATGCATCAATGTATGGGCTGGGTTTTTATTTCACCCGTGGGCAGCAAACGCAGACCCAGGCGGGGCAAAGACCCTAGTGAAGCAGTTGGGTCTCTTTTCGCTCGCTCCCGGACTTTCAAGCCTCCCAGGCGGGAAGGGGCCACAAAACAGGTAAGGAGAGACTCAGGCACAGAAGCAAAAACGGCAGAGACCCGGAAAATGCAGTAACAAAAGCCAGGACGCGTTGGGCACGTTTGCCCCGCACTTTGTTGTGCAGACGCCATGCTTGAAGAATGTTGTTGCTGGAATGGTGATGGTTGTGTTTCATAACTCGTATCAGAAACCTAGGAAAACGCTGGCAGGGACGATGAATTTGGGATTCGACAAGAGAGACGACACAGATGACGACAAGGAAAACTGTTGGAACATGATATTGTTGCAACTGGTTTGGAAGGGTGCATTCAGGAGGTCGAACTTTGGAGTTCGACCTTTGAAAATGGGAATGCTTCGAGCAATTGCGCGGCAGGGAAACCTTGTTTTGCGTGTGCACGCCTGTCATTGTGCGAGGCCTAGCCAGGACGTGTCTGTCCAGGCCACAGCGGGAGAGACTTTGTCTTCACAGAAGGCTCTGGAAGCAACCACAGCATCGATGACACTTTGCAATCCAGGCTCTTGGTTCAGGTGGAAGGACGCCAGGGCATCAACGTGGTCACGATCTTTGCTCAGGCATTTCTGTCCGAGCTTATTCGTTCTCCGCAGGGCCTTTTTGATCGTCCCGGCGAGAGATTCTGCACGTTGGTCGCCTCCCACCATTGTGACCTTTCTGGCAGTGATCTTCGCCCGGTTGCCAAAACTCAAGTTTGAGAGAGCATGCGAACCCAGTTGTTTTCTCGGGACCTTCGGCACGGGGGTGTATTCTGCTCTATTGTGTCTGGCTGTCGCCGACACCATTCCGAGAGCTCGCCATGCCTTTTGGAGGCCTGTGCCAGCATCGCTGGCGATGGCGTGGTCACCCTTGCGAACCTTTCGGGGGGATAGCTTCATGCGGGAGGTATTTGTTTCCTAGGGGTTCAGGTAAAAGCTTCAGGTCCAAGGTTTAAGGTTTTTAGGGTTTAAGGTTTTAGGGGGTACGCATGAAAGCTTCCTTGGGCCTTCGTGGAAATGATGCCGATGACCTCGTCGTAGGATTCCGGCGGACCAGGTGAGTTGGCTTTGCAGTGCTTGTTGGGAAGCGGGTACACCACAGACTGCGGGCCGGAGCGGTGAGCTCCTATGAGCAATCGCCCACGGTGCTCTGAGACTTTGCCATCTGGAGTCTTTCTTTTCCTCGAAGTGGTTCTGGTGCCGTCCCACTCCAGGATACTGTACCTGGCTTGAAGGTCGTGGCTGCATTCTTCGCCATCTGCTTGAAAGCAAGGGCATGCCGTATCAGAGCATAGTGCTTGTCGGTGCTCTCATGACTTCGGGCCAACAAATGGGCCGCAGCATCCTGAGGAATCTTCAGGCCTGCGATGTAGGCTGCACGAAGAAACCCTTGACAATCAAGTTGCTGTCCTCCGAGCTTCTGTCGCCAAAATGGCGTGTACGCAAGTCGCCAGAGCAGCCCTTGCAGGATTCAGGTTTTAACCGAAGACTAGACCAGGCCCCCAAAACAATCTAAAACCGAAAACCGCCCCACAAAACAAGAGGTTTGACAGGATTGCTTTACTTGTGCGTGTCAGTCAAGTGACGTGGCCTGCTTTTGCTACATGCTCTGTTGCTGCAGCGCAAAGTGTCCCAACGCGTTGTTGGCACCATCCTCGCTTGGCATGCCCAGCAAGTTTTGTTCTTCTTTTGGCCAAAGACGTTGTGCTTCGTCAACCAAGCTGCAGCGGTCTTCTCAGGCATCTGCACGATCTCTTCGTAAGACAACTGTGACAACCTTCTGAGAGGTGCCAGCAGTCTCTGCTTCTGCTTGTCTTTCCCAGGCCCGGCGCAGCTAAGGCCTTCTGAGTGAAACTTTCGGTTAACCCCCAATTTTCGAGCGATGCTCTGGCTTGGTGGCTTTTTCCTGCCAGACGCATATCTCGGAACATCATCCCCCAGCTTGCCTTTCATCTTGACCCCACATGAAAGGCTGCGGAATGTAACAGTGATTCAAAGCTCGGCAAGGCTTCAAGTTCACGCTTCGGGATTAAGGTTTCAGAGTCTTGGGGGTCGGAGTTCAGCCTGCAGGGCGTCGCAGCAAGAGAAGCAAGCGTGCTCACTGAACATGTTTTGGCGTCCGTTGCGGGTAACTTAAAATCCAGGGCAGAGCGAAGCACGACATCACGGCATATTTGCAGTCGAGGCGGCAGGCATTGACAGGAGCCCGACTACTAACAGAAGGTGGTCATCTACTATGTTCATCCAAAGCAACCAGAGCTGCAACAGTTGACTATGTGTGGCCAGGACGAGCATGTTTCTGCGAAGAAGGTCCTGGGACTCCATGAGATCTGCTGCCAAGCGCTCCAGATAGGACCTCCAAGATGAACCCGCAACTTCCTGGCAAAGGCTTATTGTTTAGGGCTTAGGGCTTTAAGGCTTTATGGTTTAAGGTGTCCAGGGCTTAGGGCTTTAAGGCTTTATGGTTTAAGGTTTAGGGTTTTGAAGTCTACAGTCCTGAACACGTACACGGAAAGACATATCCAGAGAGCGTCTCGCAGGCCGAACGACCTGGTGAAGCTCGAGCATCAGCCAGTCGTCATTGCAAATCAACGTCTGCAAAATATCCAGCACAAGCACCATAACAGTGAGGACATCGTCATCGTCCATGGCTCGCAACAGCTGCGTCACGCGAAGCGTGGCTTCGCGAAGTCTCTCCAAGTCCTTAGACAATGCAGAAAAACGTAGGGATATCTGGAGAAAGAGTAAGAGCACCAGAGGCAGCACTTACAATCGGCTTCCTTTTCCGTTGCTCACGCAGAAGGGAGTGCTGCTGCCGTTTGTACAAACTGAAAAGCACGCCTTGCCTGGGAAGCTGTTTCAGTGAAGGAACAAACAAGCAAAACTTCACGGATGGCTCAGCCACAGCTGAACACGGATGTCTTTACACCATTCCTTCTCGGATGCTGTCAGATCATCGAACCGGTCGCGAGGAAAAGGCTTTTGGAACCAACATCTCGACTCGTCAGCAGAACCTCCAGTGAACCACTTCGAGCAAACAAGCGCAGGCCTGCCTGGATTTCTGCCACCCTGGAAGATGTGAAAACGCAGTGGATGCAAGCAGCGGCCACACCGGCCCCATTTTGCAGCACGAAGGGTGCCCTTGGCAGCTTTTGCCCAGAAGCCTTGCCGCAAGTGTGGCGCCGTTGAAGAAGAGGATGGCACCTCCTGCTCCTTCTCAGAGGCACGCACGTCTTCTAAAGGAACATCCTCCTCCACGTCTTCCACTGGGTCCGACACATTGGACACAGCGTCTGCGGCATCAGCTGCCTGCTGTGCAGCCTTTGATCGAGCGATAAACATCTGCCATCGAGATGCTGTCACCGGCGCAAGGTCACTCGAAGCAGCGGCTGGTGCAGCGGCTGGTGCAGAGCACAAGCGGACACATCCATCGCAGTGTCTGTCAACGGCTCCGATACTTGCCAGCGCAGAGAAAACCTCATCCACCTGCGCTCGAGATTCTGCGGAGAAGTGCCTGTGGACCTGCTCTGCGCGCAGCCAGGGTTGCCCATCTCCTGACAGAAGCATCAAAGCCTGGAGGACTTCTGCACATGGATTCCGGCCAAAAGAAACTCCGGCAGCCACGTCTTCATCCTCTGAGCAGACTGTCAAGGGCGAGAAAGCATGCAAGGAAAGAGCGTCGCTTCGGATGCTCCATGGCGAAGAGGGATCATATCTCGCCCTCTTATGGGGCGGGGTTTGGTCCATCCTGGCTGCTGCTCCCAAGCAAAGAGTGTCAGGCGTACGGGTTCAATGGACGTCATTATGGTTCTGACAGAGGATGCTTTGCCCATATGACTCACAGAGTGACCCAGGGAACTAACAAAAGCCAAGCATCGCTGACGGTGAGGTCGTGACTAAGCTCAGTCCACGCATCCCAGATCAGACTGCTCCAGCGCTGAACCAGCTCGCCAGCAACTTCCATTGCTAGAGAGGCTCGAGTGCCTACGGCCTCTGAAGCCCAAGAATTCACATATTGGGTGACAAGGTTAAGGCTGTAAAGTCGAGGGCTTAAGGAGCGGGGCCTCATCAGCCTTGCCAGCATTGCCAGCATTGCCAGCAATAGGCATCATCATCACGGTCATCATCAACTCATGATCACCATCAATGCGGGCAGCAGCATCGGCAGCAATATCGCCATCATCATGTCATGATCCAAACGGTCATCATCATGTGCCATCATCAGGTCATCATCATCATCATGTGCCATCACCAGGTCGTCATCATCATCATCATGTGTCATCATCATGTCAATATCATGTCATCATCATGCGTCATCATCATGTCAACATCAGCAGGACGAGTAAAAAAAACCCATGCAATGCAGCAAAAAGACCCAAAACGGGGGTTACGACGGTTTTTTTAATGGGTGCAGAGGGGGTGCTGCCCCGAGACCGCAGGACGAGTGAGGAGAGATGCATGAAATGCAGAAAAAGACCCAAAATGGGGGTTACGACGGTTTTTGTTTATGGGTGCAGGGGGGGTGCTGCAACGGGGGGCAGAAGGCCGGGGGGGGGGGCGGGGGCTGCCGTTTGCGGACACACGTCGGGTTCCCTTTGCGCCTGTTCCAGCGACAAAGCCCCGAAAGAGGCGGGAAGGGGACCGCAGGACGAGTGAGGAGAGACCCATGCAATGCAGCAAAAAGACCCAAAACGGGGGTTACGACGGTCTTTTTTTCATGGGTGCAGGGGGGGTGCTGCAACGGGGGGCAGAAAGCCGGAGGGGGGCGGGGGCTGCCTTTCCCGCCTCGTTGGGTCCTTCTCTCACCTGTCAACCTGTTTTGGGTCCCTTTCTCGCCTGTTCCTGTGTTTGGGTTTTTTTTCACCTATCTACCTGTTTTGTGTTTAGGGCTCGCCTGTTCCTGTGTTTGGGTTTTTTTTACACCTACTTGACCGTGCGTGCGCGTGCATGCGTGCGTGTAGCCTGTTTTGGGTCCCTTTCTCGCAGGAACACGCGAGAAAGTGGCCCCGGACAGGTCCAGTAGGTGTAAAAAAAGCCAAACACAGGAACAGGCGAGAAAGGGACCCAAAACAGGCGGAAAAAAAGCCAAGCCCTCAATGTATGCATGCCTGCATAGATGCACAAAGGCATTATGCAGATGTGCGTCCGCATACGAACGCATGATTGTCCATGCACGCCCGCATGCATGCTTGCATGCATACATGCGCAGATGCGTAGATGCATAGATCCGTGCATGCATGCTTGCATGCGTAGGACAAATACATACATGCTTACATCCATGTCCGTATGTGTGTCTACGGTTATGAATGTCCTGGTTTACACGAGAGCGCGGGTATATCCACATCTGCATCTGTCCCTTCCCTTATCTACTTATCTGTATCGCTATCTCCATGTAGGCATGTATGCGTGTGTGCATGTATGTATGTATGTATAACCTCCACAAACCTCGCCTGACTTGTCGAGCACGAGTGACAAAATATATGTATGCATGCACAAGTGCGAAGTCTGCATGTAGATGCATCGGTTGGCGGGAATATGTATTTGCACACATACTTTGACTGATGATGCGCGCTCGCGTGTTTTTGAGGGGAAACGGTCACATAGTTACCTTGGACAAACTGAAAACAGCAACCTGGATGATGTGATCTCGGAGTAACTGTCGTGCCCCTGTGCATGAGTTAGAGCCTACATACCTAGTTCGCAAGTAAGGCATGCGCACACACACACACATCTGCATGCACATATATGTATAGATATATATGTGTGTATCTACACATGCTACACTCACATGTGTATATACATACATGCGACACATATACATACGTGCACACATGTGACTTGATACACATATGTGTATACATATATTCGTAATACATACATGGACAGTCACACACATGTATATGTACGTTTTCATATATTTATATACACACATACATACATACATGTATATATATATATATGTATATATACACACATAGTATATTCGTTCGCGTGCGCACGCCATTCTGTGTGATACCCTACAAACTGTAAGCAAGAGTCTCGCGCACTTCAAAGCACTTGTGCGAAACTACGTTGCTATGTACACACCCAGGCTCATTCGTACATGACATATCCGATTTTCGGACTATCTTTCTGCAGACGGGAGTTTGATAGTTCCATGTGAGCTGTGTGCTCTATGCATGTCCACATCAGGGATCGTGTCTGCAGGCATGTGAACAGATTGATGCTTTCATTCGTCTGCTGTTACATGCATGCTTAAAGGATGCGTAGCCACAACTCCTTGCTGTTGTGTATAGTTATGCCATGATGTGCGCCGTATCTGCCACTGTTATGCAGGGTTGGACGTGTGTGAATTCGCCTCCTTGGCCACTTGTAATGCATTTCTCGCAGGTCCGGCTCACAGCTGCTGCCGCCCTCACCAAGCTGGGCTTGGCCCCCACGCCAGGGCGGGTACGAAGCATCGGGGTTGAGTTTTGAATCCTGGGATTCAACCGGCTCCGGACTTGGACGGGTCCAAATCTAGGAGAAGAGCTTCGGAGCTTTGCCTTCTCTTGGCGCTTCTGCTCTGTTGGCCTCGCGAGCCTCGGACATTCTGACAGCAAGGCGGTCTCTACACCCAGCAGATCGCGCGGATCCAAGAATTTGTCTGGGTGCATGCTGTCCGCTGCATGTCGCAAGCGTCAGGCCGAGGCGCTGGCAATGGCTTTGGAAGGCCATGTTGCCTGCGGCCTCTTGGGAAAATAAAGCCGGGTTGAACAAAGGACCCCCAAATAGTCTCTAACATATCCCGAATACCCGCTAGTTAAGGGCCATACGGTCTGTTTAAAGGCCCAAGCCAGGTACAGAAGCCTAAAAGAGTCTCTTTAAGTTCCCGCGACTCTCTGCCTGAACTGGTGCGTGCTTCAGGCAGCTCAAGGACTCGCTGCCCTGGATGGCAAGACAGACTTTTTTCAGCACATGGAAGCAAGACGGGTTCTTTGAACTTTACAGGGGTATCCGTTAGAAAGCATGGCAGGCTTGGATAGTTTTACCGCCGAGGCACGAGCCTCGCACGTAGAGGTCTTGTGATCAGGCGCCTGTGCCATGCCGCGGCCGGCGAAGCCACAAGTGGAGTCAACTGAGTGTGGCCCAGAGCCAGGCAGGCATCGAGAAGATGAGTGTCTATGGGTGACAAAGTAGAGCAAGTCAAGGAGGTAAGATGACGAAGACCGAAACCTTCGGGCTCTTCACTTCCAGTCGCCTGATGACGGGTTGATGACAGACCAGGATGCCTGAGCTCTATGAACTCTACTATCTGACTTCGCCTTAAAGTCCCAAACCTCGATGCACCGCACTAGCATATGCCGGGCCATGCTGCACACGCGTATCGCTTCGAGGGAAGGTTGGAGGTCTCCTTGGCTGAGCTATGCTCAGCTCCCGGAACTCAGAATAGAAACCGCCTTCGACACAGGCACGGCACTACTGGCGGCCTTGACCAGCGAGGTGGAACGGCTGCAGCGGCAGTTGCGGCAACTGGACGAGAATGGCCAGGCAACGCAGCATCATGGGATGCAAGCCGGTCTGCGCTTATAAGTACATTGCCACTTAGTGGCGCGGCCCTGCCGCGAACCTGCAGTACATCCAGCGCATTGTGCGAATCAGTCCATAGTAGTTCCTGCGCAATCGGTCAGGCACTGCAGCAGTTGGTGTCCAAGGTAGCAGAAACTGCTGCGCGACTCGGACGCACAAAATCTACCAAGTCGCCTCGCCCGAGAAGTCGATGAACTCTACAGCGGAAGCAAGCGATCAAAAGCTGGCAGCGGCAGACCAGTTAATTTCAGGCCACGGCACTTCGAGCTGCCGAAGGTCTTCGAGCAGGTTCTTTAAGAGTTCAGTGTGATGCTTGAGTTTGTTACCCAGCGTCCTGCAAAGTCGCGGCAGGAGCCTGAAGCGGAGCATCCGGCTCAGCTTTGTCTGTATGTTAACTGCTTCGGGTCTGAGAACGCAAAGGAGTCTTGGACAATCATTGTTGTTAACCAGAGAGAAGCATGCTGTGCGCAGCACTGAGGGCTCCAGGAGCTTTCAAAGCAAAGCTGGTACACTTACTGAATTCAGTGGCCTCATCGCAGTATCGTAAACTGTGTATGTTAGGCGTTTTCAGAGCCTCTAGGGAATGAGCCTGTCACCCGAGCTCTGCATGGCGCTGCAACGCATAAAGCCTGCAACAAGAGTGAGCGCTTGCTGATGGTGGTGAGTGACGACCTCATGAAAAGCTTGCAAGCGGGACAGACTGCTTTTGCTTCTGCCCATGAAGCGTGGATGCAGCTTGAGCAGCTGGGCGCGGACGTGAACTTCATCGGGGAGCTTGCCGAGAACGCACTGCAGAAAATGCATGTGCAGAAGAGCAGGAATGCCTTCTTGGACAACTCCCCGAGCTGACGGGAGAAGGCAATGCTGAGGTTGTCGCGTTCGACAACGTCACATACAAGTTGCACAAGGCTTTCAAGGACTCCAAGCTGCTGATGCGAAACGGGGTGTGTGGCAAGCAAGCTATGGGTCGTTTCCGCACGATTCCTACAAGGACTAGCTCAACCTCGAACCAGACTGGCAGAGACTGCCCATCGATGGCGAAAGATCCGGAGAAAGCTGCCAGGCAGGCGGGAGGAACTACGAAAACTGCAAGCGACAGACCATGGAGCAGCATGGCTGGCACTGGCCACCGGAATGGCAAGGAACAGCAGACAGGAGCTGGCGACCAGAAGATCTCACCGGGCAGACTGCCCCGGGCCTCATCTAAGCCCTCCGGCCAAGGAGTGCGGCCGGGCAGACTCCCCCGGGCTGCGTCTTCTTTTCTATGTCAACAGCCAGGCCAGACTGCTCTGGGGCTCTGGGGCACCGTCGAGAATGGATCCTTGTAGGATCCTTCAATGCGCGATGTGAGTGCATGCCGCTCCCGCTTTCATGCAGCTGCTGTCAAGCCGAGACGGCCATGGAGGCAGTGGAACCCTATCGTTCGACGATGGGGCTCGCAAGTTCCGCAAGCTCGATTCCTCCAGGAAGAGGTCCTTTGCACTTGCTACGTGTTCCTCGTTGCAAATTTTGCAATGATGGAGCATGTTATTCGCGAGCAATGCGAGTCGAATAAAGACATGCCGCAGCTGAGCATTGAGGCCCTCCTCACCAAGCTGCATACGACACATTCACACTGGCAGAAGGCAGTCCTCAAAGATTTGACATGCTCAGAAAATGTTGGGAAACGCGCACTCACGAGGATTTCCCAGCTTCAGCACAAACAGGCTTGAAGTTGTTCCGCTACCCAGTCTATTGCAGACTCCATGCTGCGAAAAGATATGAACTCCTATCGGCACAGCAGTCGTTTCGCTGAAGCACTGAGCCTCTAAAACGGCAGGCCTTTGTGCAATCTGCAAGTGACTGGCGCAACACCGTCCAGCGGGCCGTGTGCCCACCACCGTAACTGTCACGATGCGAAGAGTCACAAAAGAGCGGGACAAGCTGAGCGTTGGTGGCGGAGCTCGGGTCGGGGATATGTCGCAGAGGAGCTCAGGTTTCAGCGATTGAACGTTGAGCAACTTAAAGACAGCTCGAGGGTAGGAGGAGTAGGTCGACGATGCGGGTGAAGAACCGAGCAGGAACGGAAATTTGCAGCTCTGCAGAGCAGGCCCGTACTTTTTCCGGACAGTGCCCGCAGTGTTCAACTGCTCTTCCATCCTAAGGCTTGCAGAGCCCTGTAAGAATGGAGCATAGCGAAAGATGCGCATGTTTCAGTCCTTCCAAGTCTGCATGGTATCAACGACGGCTCCATCAGCTTTCGTTCATGCTTCCGTCTGCCTGCACCCGATCGTGTCACAAGGTCGAAGGTCTCCTTCCGACGTGCACCAGCCCCGGCTCGATCGGAGCGATCGAAGAGGAGACACGTGAAGCAGTGAATGGTGATCCTAAGCGCCACAAGTTGGTACGCGTATGATATGATCGATGGCCATGATGTTCGATGACCGTGGTGCTCATGGTGAACATGTCGCCAGCTTGCAAACCACATGCTTGCTGGCCACTGTGTTAGTGGCAAGAGACAGGGGACTCTAGCCTGGGTGACGATAACAGTATCGACATTGAGTATATACTCGTGTTGTTCGTACGCAAGACTTGGCTGACGATCAAGACAGCAGCGATGACACACAATTCAGCGTTAGTAGCAGTGGTCATCGCAGGTTGCAGCGACGTTAATTTGTTGCACGATGTCGAGTACTACCGTTATCACCAAGCAGGGTTCGTCTCAGACGCACAAGTTGCGCGCCAGGAGCAGCTCAAAGCAGAATTCAAAGCCAAGAGCAACTGCTCTTCCAGTGTGACTCAGAGCTCAATATCATGCCAGTGGGAAAGGGTATCTTCGGGTGTGGGGGCTAGGGTGTAGCTTCGGATTGCGCAGAAAGTGAATTTGCATTGGTATTACTACTTTGGTGACGGTTGTCCATGTTGTCCATTATTACAGGCTGACCGGCTGACCTGAGCCTCTACCATTCAAGGCGGCCGCGCTACACAATGCTCCGAGCCTTGGACGACGAGGGCTTGGCAGGCCTGCAAAATTGGGCGTGGGTGTCGGGCAGTGTAGGCTTGTAGGGTTTAAAAGGGCTTTGGGGTCAACATTGTTCAGAAGATGCTCACTTTCAGTGTACTCCCATTTTCACAGCTTCAAGGTGTCAAAAGCATTGTTGCGTTAGCCGAGTGCGTGTGTGTGTGTGTGTGTGTGTGTGTGTGTGTGTGTGTGTGTGTGTGTGTGTGTGCGCGTGCGGGTGTGTGTGTGTGTGTGTGTGTGTGTGCATGTGCGTGTGCTGCCCATGCGTGGGAGAGTTAGCCAGTCAGTGCTAAGTAGTCTGTTTAGTAGAGTTTAGGAGGCAGTGCTGCTTCCCAGCTGATCAGCAGAGTCTGGATTCAAAGCGGTTAAGGGCTTTTGCCACCTCACTGTCCAGGCTTGGAGACAGTGGGCGCGCAAGACGTGCGGAGGGTCCGCGAAGATCTACTGAAGCTCCAATTCCGTCGGTGGGGGTCTGAGTGGGAAGATGGGGAAGAAGAACATGTAGATAGTTCACCAACAGAAGCGTATACGTATTATGCCACATCATACAGGTATCAATGAGTAGAACTCGTCTTACTAGCCCATGATTGCTGCAGGGCCTTGCGCGATTTGTTGTGTTCATCTTACTTACTGTGCCAGCGGCTCTTTCATTGATCACAGTTTCATGTACATCTCTCGCACGAGACACAGTTTGGTTGTGTCAGGCTGGACGCCAAGAACGAAGGATTCTTGCGTTCCTCGGCTGGGTTGGCACATCTCGTGCTCAAAGCATTTCAGAAGGCCAAGCAAGGATGTAGGGCGTTGCTTGCAAGTTTTGGGTTTGGGTTTGCGCCCCTGGCAATGTAGATCTGTAGATTCACTGTAGCTGGGAAGTGTGAGGTGCTGATGAGCTGACGCAGCTGGGAGCACGTTTCGGGGAGACTCTCCTCGTGACCGATGTGGCGCGCGTGTGCCGAGGACTTGACTAATTTGAGCTGGCCGTGAGCCTTTACGGGAAGGGGACATGAGAGATCTGTGTTATTTGCGTCCTGCGGCCTCTAGCCTTCCTCTTGAGGTGCCAGGAGATTAAGGCAAAGGGCTCCTCGCCCACCTCGCCTGCCAGGTGGGCTCTGAAAAGCCCCGGGGTTCTTTTGGGGCTTCCCGTCTACGCTCTATGAAGCTTTAGGTTTTGTTTTGCAGTTTCATGCCCGGCTGAAAGGCAGTTTCAGTGAGAGCTCCCCCGTCTGAAAGCTTTCGCTTTTGCTGGGCAGCGCTTGCCATCACGCACTGTGCCGGAGGTCCAGTCCGGGTGTCGACTTTGAGGGCTTCTGCTCCTTGATGTCGCCTGAGGAGGAGGACGAGCGCATCGGTCGAATTGTCGACAGAGACGTCAGAGAACCGGACAACCTTCGAGTGATTCTAGATCTCACGGAGCTAAGGGAGCACATGGAAGATTCGGTGGCTTAGCTGCACAGAACCAAGCGAGCCATCCTTGTGCGAGCTGTTTCTGTGAGGCTCAAGAGACCCTCGCCGCCGTCAGGCGTGGTAGAGTGCACTCCGAGAGAGCAGTTCCTGGGCGCAAGACATCAGGCGGGCAGTCCGAGCAGAAGCCAAAGAGAAGCTCCAAGGCGAGCAGGCTCTCGACGACACTTTCGCCTCCAGAGCGCTCGGTCGGTGTTTCTCTTGGTGAGGACCGGAAGCTCCAAACGAATGCGCACCGGATGAGAGGCGTTTTCGCTTCTGGGCTGCCTTTAGTCACTTTAGTCCTGTCCTGTCCACAGAGTGAGAGTGGTGACTCTCAGGCGGTGGTCTTCGACGTCGTCTCGGTGGGCCGCCGGAGAGATCTGACGACTTCGGCTTTGCTGTGAGATGCTCAGGTCCTGGTGATCATTGCAAACGCCCTGGTCATGGGCTTCAGCACCGACGTGTCACCGACTAGCTCCGGATGGGATGTGGCTGAACTCGAGCCTTGGACTTCTCTCACCAAAAAGAGGTGCATGTTGATGCTTCCTATCCTGGCCCTGGTGGTGAGGGCTTCTTTGCGTACTACACCGTGGAGTACGTGATCAAGCTGCGGCTACAAGGTTGCTCTGGATATTACTTCGGTTTGGGCCTCAGAAGCGGGTAGCTCCGGCATCTCTGCTGTACTGTATACTTAACGAAAACTCAGGTGAGGAGGCTGCCTGGAACTGGTTCGACAACGCCTGCTTGGTTGTGTCGTTTATCGTTGCCTGGCGCATATTGCATGCAACTGTGGCATGGCGAAAAGGGGAGCATCGATGGGCGCATGTTGCAGTTCTTCGCACAGGAACTTCTCGTGACCTACATCGCAGACCCCACACAGGATGGGCAAGGAGGCGTCGAGTGATGAAGTTTGCATCCAAAGTGCACGGCAGCTTGTGCTGCAGAGATGCAGCATTGCAAGGCAGCAGGACTGAATTTCGCAAAGGGCCCACTTGTCTTCTAGTATCTCCGTGCTGAACTTTCTCGCGTAGCAAGGGGTTTCTAAGCTGGGCGGAGGTGATGAGATGCCTCAGTGCTTCGTGACACTTCCTGATGTATCTGTGTTGGGTAGGGCAAGGCTTTCCAGTTTTGGTGCTCCGCAGGCTTCATGTTGATGCGGATGTGGGGGCCTCGAGGAAAAGATGGCTCAGTTATGTGCATAGGTCTAGGTCTCCTGGGTGCTCTGAGGCTACGTCTTGCCAGACTTGCCCGCCTGGTGCCATGGCCGCGGTAAGGGCCGACTCGATGTGCAGAAACATTCCTGCGACGAGTCAAGACAGCCCAGGTCCGGCTGATGCGCTTCCGCATGTTTCGAGAGCTGAAGCTGATGGTGCTGGGCCTTTTCTCTGGGCTCCGTGCCCTCTGCGACTCGGCTTGCCGAGATCTTTGCGGCCGCCTGTGGGATGTTCTGTTGATGCTTCCGGCTTCCTTCGTAGGCTGGGCGATTGTGCTGCTGATGCCTCTGCCTCGGCTGCCGCTTCTTGGAAAGTCCCGTGTCTGCATGTGAAATGACTTGTTTTCCCGAGGTTCATCATCTATACGATTGGGGTTCTCATGCGGCCCGGGCCACGGCGGCCACGGTGTCGGGCTTGTCGCAGGCACTGAGAGCGAAGATGAGCCAAGATGAGCTAAGGCTAGTGAGTGATGTCGAGGACGCTTCGCGGGACCATTGCGCAGAGATTCTCTGAACCCTCGCCGTGACCGTGCTGTGCCCAGGAGTTTGGTAGCATGCCGAGATCGATGTTCACCTTGTTTCGATGTTTCGGACCGGATGGATGCGCAGCCTACGAAGCTTCAGCTGCAGCTAGCAGCTAGCACAGGTCGTTGCCGGTGCGAGAGATAGAGGGCCCAATGAGATGAGGACGGCACACCGCTGCCAGAGCGGCTGCGGCTCGAATTGGGCATGCCCTTCTTCGTGCTCTACATTCTCACGACGATGATGCTTGGCCCAGCCTGGGGTGCTACTGAGAGTCGTTGGTAGTTCTTGTTCGGAGCTTGCCTGGCAAGGACCGTTGGAGTCGTGCGCCCAGTGCGAGAGCAGAGAAACTGGAGTTGAGGATTGCAGTGCAAAGCAGGTCTGGATGAAAAGTTTCCGATTAAGATTACGAACATGACCTTGGGTTTCTGGGGCGAGGGCTGAACGTTGCTGCCCAGGTGGGCCTCTTCAACTTGATCATGGCAGCTTGGCTGTGGCACTGGCAGAAGGCTCAGCTCGCGATGTGTGCCCATTCAGCCGGAAGCCGAGGCTGTGTTTCTGGACAATGTGCCTCGGTGCATCAAGTTTGTTGAAAGCATAATCTGAACGATGTGCAATCTGGTGACATTTGGTGAGCCGAGATTAGGAACTCGTGAGCCAAAGCTTGTGTCTAGCCAATGGACTCTTTGGTTCTTTGGGCTGAAAACATCTTGCAGCAAGAGTTGCTGGCATCGTCGTTGTTGCTTCTGGAGCCTCAAACTGGACCTGGGTCCCTGTCGATTATTGGTCCCGACCTCACCAAGCGCGCGTGTGCACGTGCACAGACGAGCTGCTAAATGCTTTCTGGTTCAAAAAGACTCACGCAAGCATCCAGATGAATGTATCTCGTTCTTCTTCTTTTTCCTTTCCTTCTTCTTCTTCTTCCTGGTTGTGGCGGTGGTGGTGCTGCTGCTGATGCTGGACGTATGTATGTTCTATGTTGGTGTTGCTACTCGCAGAGATTTCTCGCATGTCCGTTTCTCGATCAGGTGGACATTGTGTACATAGGGTTCCTACCTTGCTTCATTTCCATCATCGCCAGCATCGGGATCAATATGGTCACCTTGACAATCCCTAGCAGCTGCGATGTTTCGGTCATACTTGTCCTGGCTGCGTCTCTGCGCGACTTGGGCTTGCCAAAGGTGTTGAAGTCGCAAGGGCAGCGCAAGATGCGGGAGATCGGCGACTTGGCAACGGGCAGATGATAAGGCCAAAGAACTCTCACCACCGCAAGGGGGACGGGTGGTGTGACAGCAGAGCGCAGCAGCAAGATTGCAGCATCAGCAGCAGGGCCAGTGCGTGGCAGAAGTTGCGCTACCAGTAGGCGTGTACCTGTCGGTATCCCCCTTGTCGTCGTACTCGTGCTGCTCTGGGCAGTCTAGTCTAAGACTTAGACTTTCAGTCCTGTTCCAGTAAACACGCAACGTAACAACTCCGCTTGGGGCTTCGCGAGCACCTTTCGGAACATCAAACACGATCATAGTAGTACGTAGATTAAGAGTGCGACGGGCAGACTTCGGCAGTACTGGTGCGTCCGAATGCGGTGGCCAGCTCATTCAGGACGACAGGTGAACGGCTCTTGCTGCGCTCGCTTGAAAATATGTTGATGATCAGATCAGGGGAACTGCCTGCTGTGTGTTCCCAGTTAAGGCGACTCCTCTGCGGCTGTGTGCACAGACCTGCAGCTCCACATTCGGCGGTACCTTGCAGAAGTTTGAACAGCTTGACGCGCGTCGTGCACCAACGCATTAATTGCAGGCGTTGGCCGCGTGATTGCTCAGTAACTGCACTGCACGGTGTTCTCTACGTAATCGCGCAGGGACCGATGTTTACCATGAGCGTGCGGGCACGCGTGGGCGAGGTTCTTGTGCGAGCCTGCCTCTGAGACTGAGCGGGGGCTCTTCGATCGCTTGTCCGAGTCTGCACAGCAGTCACTTGGCATGGGCAGGCGGGAGGAAGATTGCCTTTCCGGACTAGAGGGCTCCCAATGAGTGTCCTCACCACATCAATGACGAAATGCAAAGCAGCATTACTGTACCACCAGCAGCCCAGCACATCCAAGCAGTCAGAACTGGTCACCTGCAGAGACATGTAGAGTGCAATCGCAGCAAGCAGGGGCCCGAGCCATCCCTGTAAGGGCTTCCATGACCGAAGGTTGCAGGGGCCTTTGGAAGTGTGTAGAAACGGCAACAGGCTACTTGTAGATCTAATCACGCACCAAGAATTCAGGAGTCCCATGTCGGTGAGACCCAGGAAAGCAGAAGGCGTGCTGGTAGGAGGTGCTTAGAAAGCTCTGTGCTTGTTTGCTCTCTGTGGTTCCAAGGAAGCTGGCGCATGTCACGGAAGAGGGCTACTACCGAGATCAGGACTCAGACGGGATGTCAGACAGTCGGGTGATGGGCGACCACGGGCAACGGTGATGGAATCTGACTTGGGCTATGCGGCTATGCGGCTATGCTTCGTTGGGGCAGGCGACCAAGAAGAAAATCGCGGAAGCCACGTACCAGATCTTGCAGGAGGATGAGGCGAGGAGTGCGAGATTTGACTCAGCCCGGGGAGGTAAGTGTGAGCAAATCGCAGCTTTCAGCATGACATTCGCCGTGTCCAGGTCAGCATCTCCAAAGACATGTACCGTGCTCGCAGGTAAAGTTAAAGTTGAAAGTGGACAGGCATCCTTTTTCGATGTGTCGCATCCATAAGCACTCCAGCCACTGACCCCTCCCTCAACCCTACGCACAAATCGAAGCGACAACCAAGGTTCACGGTATGGCTGCAGGATCCCGAGTTTGTGACAATGCTCGAGGAAGCTGATGTGGACCCCCAGCTCGAACAGCTCGGGTGCATTTTTTGATCCTCGTGCCCAAACGCTAAACCCGAAACGCTGGGAGACATGGGTCTTGGAGTCGACGTAATAGTCGATCTGTGGTGGTCAGGGTGTTTGCTGTTGGCTTTGACAGACCTCCCTCAATGCTGGCTCTGCAGCTGGGGACTCCCAAAGCAGTGGAAGGTGCTCAAATAAAACCGAAACCTCAACCCCCCCCCCCCCGCTTTCGAGGACATGTCCGACAAGTTTCGCATGTTCGACATCTTGGACGTTGACATGGGCGGCAGCTTGAACGAGTACCCTGTAGACCCTTTCACCTCTGGCCTTCCACTGCCTCACAAGACGCTTGATCCCTTGCAGTAGTTATGGAGACTCTGATATCCGTGCCTGCCTCGACCGGGTGTGCGAGTGGAAACGAGGATCCTGGAGACCCCCGAGAAAGGTACCTGCATGATTTCGAAGCCTGTTTCATGAAACATGACTCCACATGGGAGTTATCGAAAATTAGGTGTCCCTTGTTCTGGGGTCCTTATAATGAGGATCCTACTAAAAAGGCTACTACATTAGGGTCCCCCATTCTCGGAAACTTCATTTCGACCCGCAGAAAAAATCACACAAGCCCCTACAAAGACGAGAGCCCAGAGCCTGGGACGCTTCTGATTTCCCACACCACGCCAAGGCGAGCTGTCAGCCGACGAGCTCGTGACAGGGCTCATGCAGCTACTGGGCTCATCCTTTTTTGCCCCAAACGCGGCGGGGGAAGGGGTTGTACTTTGGATGATAATGGTGAGGGTGTTTTGCAGGGCGGCTTTATAGGTTTTTTTTGGACTTAGCATGTGTTTGGAGATACTCGAGAGTTTAGAGGTTTCGGCGTTCATGGGTGCTAGCAGTGGGCAGTTCAAGACGTGGTGCTGCTCAGGTTGCGAGGTGACGTTTCGAAGCTTGGCCGGCAGTCAGTCGGGTTCCATTACCCCACAGACCCCAATCAGCCTAATCCTCAAACGCCCTGCCTGGCTTGTGCGAGTTGCGATAGTCGAAGCCCCAAACCAAAACCCTCACAATGCGTGCTTCGTCCTTGCTAAGTAGGAGGGAAAGCCTCAGAATGCCAGGAAAGCGGACATTGTGGCGATCCAGCTGCAGGCTGGTCTGGTCTGGTAAGCAGGACATACATACATACATATATATATATATATATATGTATATCCGTATTGTATATACTAATATATGTTCGATGATATATTATTATTGTAGTACTCCTGAGATGAGTTTGAAGGACTGCGTCGCCGCAGAATGAGTGCTCGAGGTGAGACATCTGACCTACGTCATGGAAGAAATCCAGGAAACCTTGAAGGACTTCTGCAGCTGGACGGCACTTTCAGTATGCTTGCTTCGGGCTTATCGTCACGACCTGATGTCTTTATTCATCGAGCATTTGCGGTGAACCTGCGGTTTGAGGTCCGACGGTCCTGGCCCGCTTGCCCTGATTTCGAGCAGAGACTGACGTTGGCCATCGGGTCCAATCTGAATGCCCTCATTGAACGAGCACACGCGCAAGTGGCGCAGTAATCATCACTCTACCATCCAAAGAAGATAGAAGAAGTGTGACGGTACATGGGTCAGAATGCAGAAAACACGAAAGGCAAGAACGGCAAGAGCAGCATAACTTCAGCGAAATTGGCATCCGCACCCGTCGAGCAGCGCCAAAGGCGCAATGCTGGCGGGAGGAGCCAGGCCATTTGCTTCAAACGGTTGAAATTAGAAAGAGGGCGAGCAGGAAGTTTGAAGTGATGGCCGGGGTCCATTGCGCTTCCTGCCCCTGCTTTCCGGGATCTCCCGCTGGTTTGGACGCTCATTGCCTCAGGACCACAACCTGAAGAAGCGTCGCCTCTTTTGGAGACCTGGAGAGATACTCTTAGTGCAGAGGGCCGCATGCCTGGCAGCCTGGAAAAAGTCGATGCTTGCTCTCGCGTTGAGCAGAGTAGAGAGTCCTTAGTCCTCGGGCTTGGAATTAGAAGTGTTGGTACGTCACGATTCTCTTCTTCGTCGGGCAGATAACGGCTTGTACTCGGAGCTTGTATTTGTCAAGATTTGCAGTCTTTTCCGTAGTAGCCGGGTTTCGCCCACATTTTTTTTCACATCGTGTGTGTGTGTGTGTATATACATAAAGTATGCATGTGCGTATATAGAGCGAAACCCACGAGTACACCTTTTATGCTATGCCATATGTATGTGATATATATATATATATATATATATACATACATACATATGTAGATGTCTGTGTGTGTATGTGCATGTGAAAACTCACACACGACCAAAATGAAGCAAACATACATGCATGGCCATGCTTGCATGATGCATGCATGCATACATGCAAACATGCGTATATACATGCAGATATGCACCAACGGACCAACGGAGGTATCTATATATGTTCGCATGCGTGTGCACATTATAGTGATGTATCGAGTTGTATCTCTTCCTGTGTTTTTATGACTGAGTCTAGATGTTAATGACTGTATATGGATGCCTGTAGATGTGTGCAGATACCTGTCGATATATGTAGATATGTGTATATGTGCCTATGTGTGTATAAATATGCAGGCATGCATTTATGTCTTTGTGTATTTGTGTGTATGTGGTGTATGTGGTGTATGTGTGCTTGTGTGTTTGCATGTATATTCGTGAGTATGTGCAACATAAGTATGGATCTATGTGAATGCAGGTGTCACACATGTATACATACGTAAGTCTGTATATATCTATATATCTATAAGATAGAACGAATGTGTGTGGCTGCTTTAGTGGCAGTTGCTCAGTAACCTCGCCTGCCTCGTCGAGTGTGAGTGCCCAAAAAAACACATCTATACATGGGTGTGTATACATTATATAAATGTGTTCATGTATCTGTGTAGGATCCAAGGCACCCCCGCCTTGCCAGGGGGAGAAGATGACTTGGCCACCAAGCCGGGGCCTGAATGGCCGCTTGCGGCTGGAGCTGCTAGGGTTAGGGTTCAGGGTTTAGGGGGGTTGCTACAAGTCCGTGCTTAAAAAAGGGTGGTCTGCTCGGTTTGGGCTTCGTTCGGACAGGTTGGCTGCCGTGGAGGCCTTGCGCACCCAAGGCGGGCGGGAGGGATTTTCCTGTAGGCTCTTGCTCTTGTTACAGTGAACAACTGGGATAATGCTCACTAAATGATGCCTCGCTAGCTTCAGAGCATTGCCCCGTTCGTTCTTGTTTTTGTTTCTGCACAATATTGTGATGGGAGCCTTCCGAGGGTGTGGCAGATCTTCCGTCCTCTCAGGTCCATGCGCATTGCAGCATGCCACGGCAGTGGGCACGGCTCTGCTGGAGTGCCGGGGTCTGAAAACCAAAAGCCAAGCATGTTCGCACAACTTACAGTAAGTGTGCATCAGGAAATGCAACCAAATGAACCCAACCATCGTTGTAGCGTGAGCTTGCAGAAAATGCAGCCAAGTTGGCTGAGATTCAGTCGGGTTTAGCACAGTTGGTGATGGTAGGGACCATGGGAAAAGCGAGCTCCAAGAAGCTGGCCACACAGGAAAGGCATCTCAAAGACGAAGCGCCCCGAACTGATACGAAGATGAATGCCTTGTCGGCTTTAGTGCTCTTCGTGATGTGCATGTCGTCGTGTTGGGTACGAAACTTAAAACGCAGAGGGGGGCAGACGACGCCACAGTACCAGACCTGTGAAGTACAATGGCGAATGAGCAACTAGGGCAGGGTGAAGGGCGTGTTGGCCGGTGCAAGCTTGTCAGAGTGTCAAGCTGTGATGTGACGGAGGCCGAAAGTGCATTAAGTCAAGGCAGGCGGCCACAGGGACCCTTACCGCCGAACTTGATTGTGCGGTCCTGCAGTGGTTGCTGGCAAGCTTGATTAGGGCTAATCCATGTGCAAGACATGAGGGCAATAAGGCAACACGTGCTGACGCACTCGAAGCTGTTTCATCACGACAGTCCAGCAGGGACAGTCCTGCAGGACGTGGACGAAGATGTGCGAGAGCTTGCAGCTCTGACACTCCTTTCTGTGGAGTTTCCTGATGGCGAGGCAGGAGCATTTTCCACTCCCAATTCTTCAGACGAGCATCTGATCAGTTTCAAGCCGCTGCGATCAGATAAATCAAGCGTAGAGCGTGGAAGAGACTTTGAGGAGCACATTGTGGGAGTAATGTCTTCTGACACTCAACACGCGAGTCTTGCAGGCATTGTCCCCCGTGTCAGCTGCGAGCTCAGCCTTTGAGCTTCAAAGTATTCCTGGTGCCAGGTGATCCGGTCTGCGGCATAGGAGCACTAAGCATCGAAATGCCTAATTATTTTTGTTTCAAAGTGCTAGTGTGGCAGAAAGTCGGGCAGAAACCATGGATAGGCGGCGGCCATACATCCCTGCAAAACATCTCTCTCTCTCTCTCTCTCTCTCTCTCTCTCTCTCTCTCTCTCTCCGTAAAAATACGTGTACAACTATATAGTATATATATATATATATACACGTACACACATACATACATACCTGCCTACTTGCAGACATACATACATAAACACAATTGCTTGCTGACCTGCTGAGGAGAGTGCCTCCCGCGAGGCGCAGAGCCCCTCGGAGAAGGCTCCCCCCAATTCACACTGTGCAGGGTTCGGTTGGTTCGGGATGTAGGCCATGTGCTGATTTAAGCTTAACTGAGTTTAGGGCAGCGGGAATCGCCATCCACACCACAATCTTCATCATCATCATCATAATGACAGTTGTCGCCACCATCGCACTGTTTGTCACCATCGGCTCTTATCGTGACCACCATCTTCACCAGCAAGAGGAATCGTCATCAGGAACTTCACCACCACAGACATCGACGTGGCCAGCCGGAGTCGGAGTATCGTTGAGTAGCCAAAGCCACGTCTTTGACATATGGACATAGGCCGACTGCTGGCGTCTGAGTGCGGTGATGGATACCTTCCTTTGGAAGTCAGTGCTCGGAAGCTTTGAAAAGCGGGATCAGGTCATCCCTCGCCTGATGAACACAGCGCTTCAAGACAAGGCCGCAGCTGAAAAATCACACTCGAAGCTGCCAAGGCTGTAGAAGAGCATATCACGGCATGCCCTGGCATACTGTCGCCCGACAGACTTCTTAAGATGGTAGAGGTCCCGCACGTGCAGCTGGCGGCCATCCGCGTGCTGGAGGCCCTCAGTGGTCGTATCGCCAGGCCCCAAGAGGAAGACTAAGATGGATTGGTGGCTACTCCGAAGAAGGGTGGCAGCGCATGGAATCAGAAATCCTTGTGCCAGCGTGTTCAGGACTTAAGTTTTTGGAAGTGAATGGCCTTTCGCGGTGCGGGCCCATCTCAGTGGCTTAGTTAGGGAGAAAATTTTTCATATTTTTCATCTTCCGCGCATGAATAGTCTCGATGGAAGCTTTGCAGCTCCCAGCGCGAGCTCAGGGCACTGCCGAGTATGCGGCCCAACTTGCCGGCGCCCTCCAATCAGAGCACGTTGCGGCACGCCTGGCGCTCGGATTCAGAAGGGCTGCAAGCACCGTTGTTCTTGAGTATCGCGCCGGTTTCGAGGCTGGGGTGCAATGAGGGCCCTGCGGGCTTTGGGCACAGATGCAGCCAACGCCTCAGATCCGAGCTATCCTAGCCGTGCTTTCACTATAGGGTCTGGCTTCAATGCATCTGGACGGGGGTTATCTGTTTGAAAAGACTTCCCTGCAAATGCAGGCAATCAACTGTAGGTTGCCCGTGTGTGCTGTCCGGGAGGATTGTGAGAAGGTGATAATCAGCAGGGTGCAAGACGTGGCTGCAGCGTGGCACTCCATATTTGGAACCTAACTCAGGTAATCAGGCCATGTCATACCCGTAGCATGACATGTTGGGGGAGGGGGCGGGTCTTCCACGTGATCTTTCCAGATGACGACGTATGCTCGCGAGCTTGCCATCCTCGTGACGGGCTCTCGGCGTCAGAAGAGAGTTGGTTTGTTGCAGCAACCGTCACCTGCAACTGGCACGATGGGCTCAAGCACTGTGTGCGGCGATCCATGCATGCAAAAGATAGTCAGTAAAATTTTGGCGGATACGCGCAAAAACTCGAAGATGCAACTTGCCTTCATGTTCTGCTGTAAGCTGATGAACGTGGACTCTCGGACGCAACGGGCAGCTTGCTCCGTAGTACCCGAGCTGAATCCGACCGCAGAGAACAGCAACTGGCCTCAAGCATCGAGCAGCACTTTCGCAGTCGATTGCCAAGCCGAACCTGACAAAGGCGGACTCGTCATGCCTTACAGCCGTATGTGCTCCACATGACCCGCCGGCGCTGGTGGGCATCCTTGTGGGCTGTAAGCATAACAGGCCTGTCCGGGATCGCGCGTGCTAAGGTACGCTCCTGCTACCGTTGATGTGGCTGGTGCAGCTGGTAGCTCGTCCTACCCCTTCACGGCGCCCACCCCACCACCGGCACCACCACCGCCACCAGCACCGCCACCAGCACCAGCACCGGCACCGGCACCACCAGCGCAAACACACCGCCAGCACCACCACCCCCACTATAACAACACTATCGCCACTACTTCTGCTGACTGCTCCTACAACCGTTGCTGCTGCTACCGCTTCTGCTACGGCCACCGCTACAGCTTCTGCTGCGAGGAGGAAGAGGACGACGACTGCTACACTGCTACTAAGTCTCGCGGGTGGATTTGGGCAAGATGTAAAACTAAAACGGCTCCCTGGAAGTCGGTGTCCCATTCGCGTGCTGCTACTACCATATTACAGCTGCTACGAGTAGTGTTGCTACGACTGTGACTGGGCCCTGCTGTCTTCAGGCCTTGGTGGTCTCGGATTTTGGCCTCGTGGCCTTCGCTGCAGCCGTCGGGCATGGAAGCCAGAGGCCCTTCGGCTTGTGAAAGCCGGTGCCAAGATGGCAGCCTTTTTTCGGGAAGAGTCGGACGCAGAAGGCTTCGGCATTGGACCGCTACTGCCCTGCTGCTTAAGGTCGGTTCTCCCGAGTGGACCGACTCCACGACACGCAGTCGAGGACCAAGGGTCTTGGAGGCGAGGCTGCGAAGCTGCTAGACTGCGAGGTTGCGATTTCGGGCTACCGCTGTCGTCCATGATGGCAATATATGGCAATCCTGACAATGCTGATCAGAATCACGATGGTGATGATAGTCATGTTGGTCAAGACAACTCCGAACACGACACGTTTGGCTCTGCTGAGTGTGGTTGGGTGAGGATTCCAGTGATGATGACTGACGGCAGTGACTGTGGCAAAGTAATCATGGCGGCGGGATGGTGAGTGCAGGCAGTGACGGTGGCAACGATGCCGTTTCGAGCATGGTTGCCGTGACAATTGCTTTGGCTTTGATGAATGGTCAGTGTTTTCCGCGCAGTCCGGAGGTGATACAGCGGACCCATCCGGAGCGCCTGTCATTGCTGGACGGTTACGCCCCGACCGAAGAAGACAAGGAAGGCTTGGGGCTTCGAATGGCCGCAATCAGCATCCTTATCCCCACCGACATCTTCATCATTACTGTCATCAAAGCCAGCCAGTTTCTGTCTTCGGTATGCTCCATCAACCCCTGTATTCCGCTTCTTCACGACTATCTAACCTTCACCCTCTTCCTACCCAGTACCACCGAACAGATATCTAGCAATATAATTGTCTTTCTTGGCTGCTGCGCACTGGTTCCGTTCGGAAGAGATGAACTTCAGGAGAGCTACTTCAACCAGTATGGATGCTTACAAGAGCAGCTTCCAGGCCGCACAGATGGCTCAGAGGCCTCAAGACATTCAATACTGAAAATCCGATGGGAACTCGATCTTGTTGGAAGTTGGGGAGAGGCCAAACCGCTGTTGCGTGGTCCTGCCGAGGATGACTATGCTCCAGGACTCAGTCAGGATGCAAGCATATCGAAATGCCATTGAGACCAATGCTGCAGACTTTCGTGACAAGGCAAAGCGGGGACACTGGACACGCGTCATCCGTTCAATCCCCGACCTGGGCTTTCTGGATAGGTAGTCTTGGATGTTGGCTGCGGCACTGGTGTTCTGGCCATCTTTGCTGCGAAGGCGTGGGGTATCTTGCGTTTCCGCCGCAATGCCCGTCTCTGCGCCATTGATTCATGTTGGAACATGCTGCTATTGCCAGCCCCGGGGAAGGATGCCACTACTTCTGTGAGATCATGTTAGTACTGCCACTACGCATGCCATTTCCGAGGTTGCTGTGTTGATTGTAGTCTGGTGACCACCTTGGTGATGTTGACGATGCTGATGCTGAGGCTAAAGAGGGGAAACATGACCATCTTCATGTGAGTCTCCCTTCTCGCCCAAGGCAGGTGCTCGAAAGGTGTACGCGGTGGAGGCTTCGGACATGGCCAGTGCGGCGAAGCAGGCACGGCAAGTTACCGAAACTTTGAACTAGCTGCCGACGCCTCCCTGCAGATTACCAGCTGTGCTGGTTTTGGATGCGTTTAGGGTCATGGTCTCATATGCCAGCGTTGCCCCTGTCATCCCATCAGGTCGTTGCTGCCAACGGGGTGGAAGAGGTGGTGGAAGTGATCCGAGGAATGGTCGAAACCATTGAGCTACCAGAGCAGGCAGCTTTCTCTGGAAGATTTTTTGTGGTATGTAGTTTTACAGATTGGCCACAAGAGGTCTTAACCGCAGGGATTTTGACGGGAGGGTTGTCAGAATTTGTCAAACGCGGCGTGGCTTCTTCAGATTCAGCGGAACTTGTGCGTGAAGTGTCGTTACACCCAAGACGACGTCACATGTTTCATGTGCAGCCGGCGTTTACGTGACAGTGTCCTCGCCGGCGTCGTGTCCGGCTTTGATAGATGCAGTGGCTGCAGCAGGCGTTTCGTTACGGTTTCGTTGCCACCCGATTTTTCCGATTTGTCGGATGTGGTGGAGCTTTCCGGCCGTTCTGGCGATTGTTTTGCTGCACCCGCGACGTTTTCAGCTCTTCCAGATGCAGCGCTGCTTTTCGTGACAGATTCCTTGAGCCGACGATGTTTTCTGTCTTGCAGCGAAACGCTTTTGGAACGAGTTCCTTGCGTCCACGTGTTTCAGCGAGCGTTTTCGTGACAGATTCGCTGCGGTCCAAATCTTTCATTTCAGGTGCTGCAAGCTTTTCTGCCACAGTTTCGCTTCGCAACTGTTTTCCTGAAAGTTTTTTGCAGCCACGCCGTGTTTTGGCTTCGCTGCATCCATCAAAGCCAGCAGGTGGACGTGATCATCTCGGAGTGGATGGGGAACTTCCTTCTGAAGGAGTCGATGTTGGACACGGTCCTGATCGCCAGAGATCGCTTCTTGAAGCCAGGCGGGCCCAGACTTGGCGAGTCTCGAAGCTGGTATCGTGCGCGCACACGGCAGGCATCGTGCGCAAGGCGGAAGGTCTTTCTTCGACATCGTACTGAGGCACTAACGAAGCAGAATTGCCAGTCGAAAGTGAGAAGCAACCAATGAAGGTGATCATGACTCAACGGTTATGCAAAATTCACCTGTGAGTATTGTGCGGTTGCTGAAACAGCCTGCAATAACCAACATTGGCAGCCAAGTCCTTTTCAGCGGTGATGACTGACATTATGGTGGATGTACTGACGAAGACATTTGTGGAACAAAGGCCGCCCACAAGGGTACAGTGTCAGCTATCCTTTCAAAGAGCAGCAATATCATACAATGTATCGGCAGACAGCTTGGGATTTTTGGGACGTTGTTTGACACCCGGGCAACGAGGGATCGCACCCTGCACTCCGAGGAGGCTTGCTGTTCCCTTCTCATGCTCGGCTGTTCCTAGCCCCCTGCGCTCACAGCTGCTTTGCTGAGCGCTGGCAGAGCTATGTGGACGAGCTTTGGGTGTTCCGGCTCGTGGTCTGTCGATTTTGGGGCTTCTTAACACTATGGAGCTTCTAGTGATAGTGAGGATGCTTAGACCATCCTAGTAAGTATTCATGGTTGCGAGAAAGGGTCCCCCTGTTTTCTAAACCCCTCGCCACTTCGTTCAGGGCCAGGGGAGAGTCCAAGGCTTGGCGCAGCTTCGTGCAGTACATGCACGTCAGCTTTGGTCGGGTCCCTGGATTTGACTTGTCCCGTGTCATTGCGGCCGGCCAAGACCCAAGGCCTGTTTCTTCGGGCTTGCTGGAAATAGATCGCATGTTTTGCTGGTTGGGTCTTGCATCTGTTGAAGGCTGCATTGTACATGCAATGTGTCTGAGGATTGAGCTATGGACCCTTGACCACGCAGCAGGAGAAGGAGGCGTGCAGCGGCGGAGCGCATGGGAAAATTGCTGGCGCTGAAGAACTCCGGCCGCCAGGCGAGCGAGCACCACCTTCAAAGCTGGGACTGGGTGCATCTGAACAGCTCCCACCTACGCGGCCCTCCCGTGCAGCTGCTGGCACTGGACCTGGCGACTCTGCAGCTCTCAAAGTGCGAGCCTCGCACATCAAGCTCGCGCGTTCTGCAAACAGCTCAAAACGGTGTTGTCTGACCCGAGGCTGCAGAGCCTGCATGAGCAGGCTTTCGCGGCTTGACTTCCAGATGCTTGCCACTGCAGGTCTTTTGCTGCTGCCCCGCAGCTCAGGACATTGTGCTGCCCATCACCAAGGAAGGGACGGCTCCTGGGCGAAGCAACACTCGCGGAATTCGGCGAAAAAGCGAATGTTGCATATCACCATTCAGGTCGGCGGCCTCTGTGGCTTCTTTGACATTTCCTTTCAGCACGTTTCGGGTGAGTCTGAGTTCGTCAATCTGAGCACAAGCCCCTTCAGCAAGGCAGGGAGGATGTGACGGTGGGAGACAGTCGACGGTCCGTCGAGCTTTTGGAAGCTTCCCAAGGCCACCCATTGGGGACAGCAGCTCTTCGGCTTCTTCCCCGAGGACTCTTGGCAAAATCGCCTTCAGATGTCCTTCAAACCTCCTTGTGAGCTTTGGAGCCTGGGCTGAGTCTGTGGATCTCTTTGGTCCTCCAGCGCAGCTGGGCCTCGCCGTGCTGCAGGGCGACGAGTTGTGCGGGAGGTCTGAAAGTGATCGACGGTTCATGGGCAAGGAAAGCACCTGCAGAGCCTGCGACCGCAGGTGGCGCCTGGGGCGCGTGGCGCAAACTCGGGACTTTAGACTCGAGGTGTCCGCCCCAATTTTTTTTCGTACTTTCAGCATGCTTCATCAAGATCGCAGGTCGAGCTGAACCACACCTCAGCAAACGGTCGCCAAGCCGCACACCGAGTCATTGAGAGCCTTGGGCATGCCCGGAACCGAGGTTTGCTGGGCTCTTACCACGAAGCCTGGTACGTCTGAACCGTCTGAGCCCCGAGCTGCGAGAGCTCCGGGAGGCCGGCAGCTGCCCCAGGCCTCACAGAGGAGCCGCACCCCGCTGCGCAGCAGACGGAGAAGCCTTGGTCTCGGAACTCCACGAGGTGTCCGGCCGGCCGGTCTTGCCAGAAGTTGCGAGAAGTTTCGCCGACGAGGGATCTTGGAGAGAAGCGCCGTCGCGTCGGTCGAAAACTTGCTGCGACCGCCTGCACCTTCGCTCCCTTTGGCAAGTCCTTGAGCTCATGCTGGTGCTGAGGAGCGATGACTCCTGGTATGTCCGGACTTTGGCAACGGAGCTGGTCCACGAGTGCGACCCACAGATTTCCGCGAGCTCCTGGAGAGACCCACGACTCCTGCCGCTGCTGCTGCTTCCACTGCCACAACAGAACCTTCCTCCTCCTCCTCCTCCTCCTCGACCTCCTAGTACTTCTGCTACGACGACTGTTACTGTAGTACTCTGAGAAAATGTTGCGCTCACGCCGAATCTACTCATGGGTTCAGTGCTTGCCCGCTTTACGGAGGCTGGGTCCACTGGGTGCGGAGAGCAGCCAGCCGGTTTTGTCCAAGGCAGACTCATGAAGCTGATCAAGGGGGTTTAGGGTTCAGGTTTTAAGGTTTGGGGTTTAAGGTTTCCTTTGTCTTTGCTGCTGGCATTCGCGAGAGTCCACTTGTAAAAGGGTGTGGGGGTTAATTGTGGTCCTGATGGCGATTTAGGCTTCTAGGGTGTTTGGGTTTTAGGGTTTTGGTCTTGAGGGTTTAGTTTTTGGCTCCAGGGAGAAGCTGGGCTGAGCATGCTCACTTCCACCGAGCACGCCATGCTCCTGCCTCCGCTAGATTTAGAACAACCTCACAAGAAGCCAGCAGTGGGTGCAGCAGCAGCGATTGTCGGTGGGTAGGCAGGGTGAGGGAAGGTCGGTGTGTGCCCCAACTCTACCCTAAACCCGAAACATCGCTCAAGGGCGCTTTTTGGTAGGCGCTGCACAGCCTGGATCAAGAAGTACGCCGGAATGCGGCGCTGGCGCTTGGCAAGCAAGCCAAGGCTGGAGCTGGTTTGCCGGGGTTCTATGAAGGCGACGATAGAAGGGGTACAAGTACCTCAGAGGGCTACTGTAAGGGCACTACCTGAACGGGATCGCAAGGGATTGTAGTAAACCCTACAGCGGTGGAAGTGCACGAAGGTCGCATCGAAGCATGCTGGGGCCCTGTGCACACGGATGTTGGGGAATCGCCCTGGAGTCACAAGCGACTCGGCGTGCCTTTCAGCGTTGCCCTTGTGCCTCTTGAGCCCCGAGCCGCTTAAGCCCTGGATGTGACGAAAGGCGATGATCCGGATGCTGACCTGAGACCTGTGCTCAGTATCCCTTCCACAGAGATCACCTCGACTGTCATCTCTCTTGGGGCCCCAGGCGAGCGGCTTGAGGTTCGCACGGCGTGCATGCTGCCGCCTCAGAGGACCAGGGGCGCCGCTCCTGGGCTCTTTTGTAGCTCAGAGCTCAGGTGGGCTCTGGGGCAGCTGGAGCCGGAAGCTGCCGGAGCCCCCAAAATAGCCCTTGGTCCGGCGTCCGTTCCGGCGATTGAATTTGGGAGTTTCGTGAAGGTGATGCCACACATCCATAACCTCGACGATGGTCTTTTTCACCGGAACCCGAGGAGCGGCGAGGGGCTCGGAGATTTGCGGTGAAGTCTGAAATCCGAAGCTCAGATACCGACTCGTCGCGACGCAAGCTCTCGCCAACCTCGGGCCGAAGGCGATTCAAACCCGGAAGGCCAGCAGATGTGGCTCTGCTTCTGAGGATCTCGGAATTCTGCTCGATCCTTGGTGCTAGGACCACTTGATGGTGATGGAGTCCACCGATAGGGACGACGATGCGCGGTGCCCAGGGGAATAACCACAGAGACATTGACCGACATGCATGATTGTGGCGGTGCAGCCTTGCGCTCATAAGTGTGCAAGTTCATGTGCGAGTGCCAGCATGTGAATGCACGCATTCACTACAGTGTCTGCACCTGGCTCAAGAAGCAGGTTCGCTTGAATATTGGCAAGCAAGGAACACGTACTTCCATACATACGTATGTGCGAACAGACAGACGGGCGTACGTACGCACAGACACAGAATAGGCAGAATTGTATATAGTTGTCTGCAAATTTTTCATATACGCACGCATGCATATTTTGATTTTTGTCGAAGCCTCGCTGTACAGAAAGGCTTTATGCACTTACCGGACTGCCGTATGTGCCACCCGACAAAGCAGGATAAGTCGAGTTCATGCGAAGTCATTGAATACTTGCACAAGCCCGTAGTATTGCATGCGTTCTTGTATTGCACCATTTACTCCTTGACAAATATCTCCTTGTAATTTTTGAAGATTTCGATTCTCCAGTCTACACGCATGTGGCATACGTTGCGTGCCGTGCGACCAGAGTCACTCCCTACTCGCACGCACGGCCACACACGTCTTTATACACAAGCTGTACAAGTGTAGACTGCATGTTGCAGCAGCATGAACAGCCGGAAACAAACAAAATTCCGCATACACCACGCATGATCTAGTGCAATCTGTACGCCTGTCTAATGCACGACATCTGGCAGTCGGCTACAGTAGAACCCTACAAGGCACTCGTGTTTCTGTCTTTGAACCTGCAGACTGCTAATGCATCTGTTTAGTTACCTGTGCATCTGTATGCATGTGTAAAGGTAAAGAACATGCAGCACTGTTGACACATGTGCAGCACTGACCTGGTGAACAAATACGACCGTTGAGATAGTGTATCAGTATATCACCACAGAATCTTATGTCATGTGATCAGTGGTGCTGCTTTAATTATGATGCGTTGCGGGGATAAAGGGCTAAGGAGGCGCCGGCATGCAAGGCTAGCGCTTGACATCCGCAATGCACAGTGCGCCATGCCTGGTCTTGTTGAGCTATGGCTGCCCAGACTCGTTGAGGCAGGGGATGGATAGCTGTAGGATGTGGCTTTCGCAGCGCTTGCACATCCGCTTGCCTTGCCTCCTCATGCTACAAAGATACAAACAAAATGCCGGTTCCTGTTGGGCCGTAGCCTCAAGCTGTCGCTTAGTTGCGGGAAGTGCTCGCAACTTTTCATGGGCGGCGCCACCTCCACGGGGTCCACGAAGATGAGGCTTGGCAGGATTTACGGAATGTGGCGGATGCATAAAATGTGCTGTCCATGCCTTAACTACACGTAGGTGAGGATGTGATCAATGCATACGTGCGTGCATTTTCAGAGATCTGTATATATGCACATAATTCATTATGCATTTGTACTTCTGTACCAATGTAACATAACACATGTACATGCATATACCTTCACATAGACCATACATGCACAATGCACACGTGCAAGATGCACATGCATGCTGGCATGTTGCCGAGGAAGGGGCGGAGCGACAAGATGAAGGTCAGCCCGAAGCATTTCGTTTTGTGCCTCTTCGGCAACGTCATCAGGAACCTAGTCGCTGACGGCATGTGTTTCGGGTTTCTATGACTCTCTGCCAAGGAAGACACCCATGGAGGGGCCCTGGCCGGACAACATGAAGGCGACCGGCCGGGATCGACGGTTTACGTTGGCGAAAATACTCCAAACTAGCCAACCATCATGTATTCACTAACACCAGCAGATTCTATTGCCTTCAACCCGGGTACCCAATTTATGAATTATTCAGTGCTTTCACACGTACGGATAGGGACCACTACCTTCATCATCAGCTTCGGCCTCCTGCAGGTGTGTGTCCTGGCGAATGGATGCTTTTGGGGCTCAGAGAAAGGCTTTTGGCGCCTACCAGGCTCGGATCTTTCCGTCGCAGGTGTGACACCACACAAATACCTGTAAGCTTACATGTTTGGGCGAAGAACAGTTCAGTCGAGATGCACCCCTAAACCCTAAACCCCTAGACCCCTGACTAGGACAGGGGCTGGAATCCTCGCCAAGGTTTATCCCAGAGTGAGTGCTGAAACGCTTAGCAATGAATGCTCAGGCACACAAGGATCTCAGGGAGAGTGACAGCTGTGATTAGTAGGTTTAGCTTAGGGCTTTGGTGTTGTATTTCTGTCCCAAACTCGTTTCACAACCATAGCAGACCTCGAACCATCTGCCTCGCCTGGATTGTCCGAGTGTGAGCGCCGAAACCCCTCAGCCCCTAAACCCTAAAACGCCTCCTGCGCAGTCAGAGACAGCGCAGGTGGCGGCATTTACGCCACTGCCGTGGGCTATGCAGCTGGGCAAACGGCTAACCCAACCTACGAGGAGACGCCCAGAAGAAGTGATGGGAGCATATGGGAGCTTTTCAGCTTTTGTTGAAGATGGTGGGTTTAGGGTTTATAGGGTTTCAGGTGGCAGGATGGAGAAGCTTTGCATCTCTCGTCTCTTGTGCCGCTGCCTTTTTAGATCGAGGGGGGGCGGGGGGGGGGGGGTATTATAAGGTCTCAGAGCATAAGCCTCGACCATGGTGTCGACACCACTGCACGTGGTTGTTGCAGAAGGCGACATCTTGCTTGTGAAGGCGCGACTCCCAAAGTACGGGCCCAACATCCTTGACATCATGGGGGACACGCCTCTCCACACAGCTGCAAGTTCCGGCCGCAACGAGCAGCGGCAGATCACACAAATGCTCTTGCAGGCAGGGGCAGCCGTGAACGTGATAAATCGGTTCGGCGAGACGCCACTGGATACTGCAGTCTTCTGGGCGATGCGGCACCGGCTGGACGGTGACCGAGGCAAAGAGAGAATTTGCAAGAGGGTCGCGAAGCTGCTACATCGGAACGGAGGAGTGCGGTTGACTTCATGGGTCAACAGCCAGCACTGGCGCCGCGTGCTATGCGAGTACCAGAAGGTCACTGGTGACGTCGAGGAAATCGACTCCAGTAGTGACGAAGACCGCCACGGAAAGCACTAGCAGCCCAGACGCCGGAAAACAGAGCGTTAATGCCCTCAGGTCAGGCTGTACACCAAGTTTGATGGCAAGACAGCGCCAGAACTGTCACAGTTCAGCCCGAAGTCATCTTTGTGGTGCGGGTGCGTGTGTTTGGTTTGATGCCAGATGACTAAAAGACTTGGCTTGCTGCAGGAGTGCTGTAGCGGACGAACTGGCCACACAGAGGCCGTGCAGGTCGTCTCCTGGTGTGCTATGGAGTTCTGCTTTTTTTCTTCGCATGTCTTGTACTGTGAAGTTTTTCAGGGTTTATGTAGTGCTTAGCTGGGTTCAGAGTTACAATCCGTCATAGCATACCCTTGCATTGGGGTCTGCAGGGTTTGTCCAAAAGAGGACTATGACTGCTGTCTGCCAAAAGTATTCCCAAAACTATCCCCTTACTGACTATTCAGGACCCTACACTGCGATTGCTCCAAGTCTTCGCTTTCAATTCTGCTTCCCTAAGGTCTATGACCCAGAAAAGGTCAGTCTGGTGGACATTCTGCGCTGGTTCTGGGAATCCCACGATCCGACCCAGGGCAATGCACAAGGGAACGACCATGGCACGCAGTACAGAGTCCAAGCTGCACATCATATCGTCGCAGAAGACGCGTTCTTTCGTTCTGCTTCCTTCACTTGTTGGTGTCGTTGCTGTGATAGACCTCACCACCGCTCTCCGGCACCGGGACTGCACGGGCCAAAACGAGAGGGACGACCGTCCTGAGGGCGCTCAGCATCACCAGCAGCAGCACCAACACGCAGCAGCTGCCACGGCCGCTACCACCACCAGCCTCATCATTACATTACGAGCAAAATCACCATGATCGCAATTGTCAACCTCATAACACATCATTCTGCAGGCATGGCGAACATGATGCATATGGGGTGATAGCCAAGAAGACAAACGGCAGCGATTCTGACTGTGGTGATAAGATGGAAGTTGTGTGACAGCTGTCGTCGAAGGCGTTTTATCGCAGCATTTGATGATCATCATTCCTGGGCTTTTAGATGCACTGGGACCCCTTGGGCTCGGCGTGGAGGGCAGCACGCTGACCATGTGATGATGATGATGATGTTCGTCTTTGCGTCATGATGATATACGGCGTTGATGTTGATGATGATTGTGAATCGCGGCGCGACTCGACCTTTTTCCGATTTTGCTGAGGCACGTACCCTGTTCACACCTTCACGTTATCTTCATCCTTTCCTCCTTCTGTCAACCAATTGCCGTAATGGCTGCGCCCCAGGAAGTGCCCTCATCTATTTTGACAGCGAGCAAGAGCAGCTCATGCGCGCCAGCATCATGTCAGAGTGCCAGTCGTCCGGTTCGGTTTTCATTGCCACGTCGCAAAGATGGGAAATCCAGCCAGGGCTCCGGTTGGCGATTTGCACCTTCCCTTATAGCTCAGGTTGCTCGTAGAAGAACTCGCATGCGGAACTGACGCAAGTTTCGGCGCGAATGCATGGGCAGGGCCCAGGAGAGATCCGAAGCAGAAAGTCATTGGAAGTTGCGCCCATCCGGATGGGAGCCAAGGCAAAGCAGCGTATGAGAAGTCACTTCGAGAAGCTCGGAGAGGCTGATCCGAGACAGCCTCGGGACACTTTATGCACCCCCATGTTGTTTTTTGTGTGTGAGGCAAGACAGCGAGCATTACGACAGAGATCGTGGCCGCAGCCGACTTCGAGCAGCCGTTTTACTACGCAGAGGACCTTCTGGAAATGTTGGAATCCTTCTTACCCTAAACCCAGATGCCTCGCCTGGATTGTCCGAGTGTGAGCGCCGAAACCCAGAGACCACTGAGCGCAGGATTACCATCAGCAGTATCTGGCCAAGCCTGGAGCGAGGCGAGAGTGTCACCCTTTATTTGATCATCTGAGCCCAGCGGCCTAGTAATAGAGCAGGTAACAGGTAACCTTGAACCTTTGGTGGGCGTACTATCATCCGCTTTTTGGGGGTACTATAATCCCTCTGAAGTAGGTTAGAGGAAGGGGCAGAGAAGAGCAGAGACACTTGGGCCTTGGGTCGCCCTGCGATGAGGCCCTACTGCAGCGCGCAGCCCTTGCAGGCTCCTGGGACATGATCTAGATTCTGGGGAGTTTCCGAAAATTAAGGTATCTAAGGATCCTACCATTTAGGGTGCTTTGTTAGGGTCCCAAACTCCCAGCACCTTATTTGGGGGTCCTTGTAATAAGGATCATACCATTTAGTGTGCTATACTAGGGTCCCCTATTTTCGGAAGCTCCCAGATCTAGACCCTAAGCTGGCCGGAACCCTTTTCCGCTGAACAACCCTGCAATGTGGGCTTCGGCCTAGCCAGGTGGGAAGCAACAACAGTTCTGAAAGCCGAAAGCCTGAACGATACGACTAGCTGCCGTGGTTGGTCTTCTAAGTTCGATCTTTTCACACGGTACCTCGCCCGACCTCGTCAAGTGCAAGTGAGTGCTAGCGAAGTCGTTTCCTTGCATGCTGCCAAGCTTTGCCAATGGCGTAGTTCAGACTTTCGACTTGTGCTTCCATAGAAAAGAGGCGAGTCTTCTTGAGAGGTTGCCTTGCCGGCCTTCGAAGACTGGGCGCCCTCCCCTGAGCTCCTGAAGCTCCATGCGCCAAAACTCTCGGAGGAGAGAGTTCGCTGTTCTCAGCACGGGCTCTGGTCATCTCTAGCCTCTGGGGTCTATCTTGGATTTTGGAGGTCTGTATTGGGGTTCTTGGTTCCAAGGTGTGAGGTTTCTTGTTCTTGGGTTGTTAAGCTTTGGGAGGGCTGCGGATGGCCGGGTAGAGGGAGAGTAAGAAAGAGAGCTTTGAGGGCAATGACCTGTCAGGACTTTTGGAAGCAGCATGCTCCCAAGCCACATTGCCGCTTGGCGACGCTTGGAGTCCGGACTTGTGCTGAGGTCCTGCAAGCTCGAGCCACAACGTGAATCGAAGCTAGTGCATGCTCAGGTGTCATCCGCTCTCCTCACGAGCCCATCTCCTGGCCGTGATCTGCTCATGATCGAGGATCTACCAGGTGCGAAACAATCTCCATTACGGAATGACAGAGTCTGTATACATAAGCTTCATGTATATGTGTGTGTATAAATGAAGTGCGCGTGTATACAAATATGTATGTATATATATATATATATACACTATATATATATATATACACATGTATGTATACACATGCCAAGACACATACTCAGGTGCATACACAATTAGCTGAAACATATACATGCATGCATGCATGCATACATGAGTACGTCTACATACATGAACATAAGCACAATGCATACAGGCACAGATGCATGCATACACACACACACACACGCGCGCGCATACATACACGCCTGCATGCATACATACATATACACACATACACACACACACACACACACACACACACGCAGAGACGACTTTCCGATTGAGTAGCCATTAAGACCATGCACGTTTTGTTGCCCGCAGCAACCCACGAGCGTTTGAAGCGTTGACTCGAGACGGGCAAGATAGTCGTGTCTGTGACAAGCCGGTGAGCGACATAGTGGCCGCAAGTTCTAGATTCAGATGCGGGAAGCTCTCTTGAGTGGTGAGGAGGATGTTGACACAACCATCACGATGACGACGAAGAGCAGGATGTTGATGTGGTGGTGCTGGTGGTTCGCGTTCTGATGTTGCTGCCTACGAATGAATACTACAGAGAGGAAGTGGACCATGCTGCTGTTACCTTGCAGGTGTGTGTGGCTCTGACCGGATGCTGTGCGATTTTCTGGCACAGCTGGCAGCTAGTAGGCTGCTGGCTATCGCCGCAAACCACAGACGAGAGAAGCGATGAAAAAGTGCTCTCCGAGCATCTGCCTCGAGCTGGTTCTTTGCACTTGAACTGCAGTCTACCAGTTCATTGCGCCTAACCACCGTCGCCTGTTCCCGGCTTCGAGAGCAACATGGGTGCCGGGTGACGACGTGCAGATGGCTGAGCAGACTGAGCATGTCCAGTCTTGAAACGAAGCCAGGAGCCTGAGCCAACCAGAAGTCTTCTTCTGCAAAATGTCCCTTCCCTTAGGCCTTAGACTGCAGGCAAATAAGGAATCTGGAGCCTAGACCTTGTAGACAACTCGTAGCTAGGTTGCATGTCGGCCCCCGCGCCAATGGCTGACACGGACGAGGAGGCCGAGAAAGTGCGTGTCTTCGTCCTTGAGTGGAGGGAGATCCTGCGAAAAAGGGAGGAGCAGGAAATCGAAGAGTTTCTCTCGCAGAAGGAGGTGCACGGCCAGGATTGGCCCCCTCTCCTCGGGCATCCAACCGATGCCCAAGAAGCGAGCTTCGAAGCGCACGAGCTTGCCAACACCGCAACCACATGCACTCCACAATCAACATCGCCGACGGCAGAGAGGATCCCAGAGACTTTGGAGGAAACGTCTCCCCCAAATGCGTCGGAGCAGCCGCGAGCAGAGCCTTTGCAGGCAGACGAGCCGGTGGCAGAGCCTGCAGAGTCCACCGCACAGCAAGCGATGCCTGTCAAAGAGCCTGTGGCAGAGCAAGCGGAGCCTGCCCGCGATGTGACAGAGCCTGTGGCAGAGCTTCCTGAAGCGGAAGCTGCCACGGCTGCCACGGCGGCTTGCGCGAAGCCGGAGGCTCCGAAGCCGGAGCTGGCTGAGCTTAGGCCTATCCAGCCAGAGTCACGAGATTCGGCGGAAGTTCCAAAAAAGGAGTCGGAGCCACCAAAGCCCGTTGAAGAGGTGAAGACCGAAGAAGCCACGGCTTCGAAGGACTCGGACCCGGCGAAGCCGCCTCAAGAGGATTCTTCGAAGCACAGCACAGCCGGTGGGGGTAGTGAGGCACACACAGAGAAGCAGATCGACCACGAAGCTGTGAAAGCCGCCGCGCAGCGTGGTGCGGAGGTCTTGAGCGACTTGACCAAGCCCTTGGAGTACGAAGTCCGGGAGGCGGCGACGGTACATGAATCCCCTGATCCACGCTCGCCAGCTCTGGGCAGCTTGTCGCCCGGTCA